CTCACTACATCCAGTCAAAACCGGCGGAAAACGATTTCGCAGGAATTTGACCAGATTGTAAACATTGCTCCGGAGTTGGTCTGGAGTTTGAGTCAGTTCCGAGCTGCCGGATCACAAACCGTCATGACTTCCAGCGGAGTGGATCTGTTAAAGTGACCGGACGTCGTTTATCTGAGCGGGTTCTGTTTCAGCTGCTTCCTGTTCGGTCAGCAACCAAAATCTATTTCTTAATTTCCTCTCAAGCGGTTGAGTTTTGTGTTCGCTGTGAACACGCGATGGGTAAAGTCTGTGTATCGGGATTACTGTAGAACAAAATGATTAATTTTTTTAATGTAATTTATTGAACCAGGTTAAATAAATCTAGATGTCATTGAAACAGGGACCTGCAACACACAGCAGCCTGGTTCCAATAAAACTGTCTGATTCATCTGCAAAGAATGAAACAAGTGTTATCAGGAGGGAGCGGGGTGTTTGTGGTGAACTGTGACATGTGACCTGAGTTTGTTGCCATATAGTGACGTCATGACCAAGGACATCGTCCTGGGGGATGAACTACCTGACTGGGTGGGGGCCAAGGAGTTCTACCAGAAGTACGACCCCAAAGAGGTGATCGGCCGGTGAGTCCAGCGGGACAGCGGGGCAGGACGCGGCGTCCCGCCTGGCGGCGCAGGGAACATGATGTTCTTTCCGGTGTGCTGCCTCTGCAGGGGGGTGAGCAGCGTGGTGAGGCGCTGTGTGCACCGACACACCGGCCAGGAGCTGGCCGTGAAGATCATCGAGATCACAGCCGAGAAGATGACGGTCCAGCAGCTGGAGGAGGTGAAGAGCTCCACCCTGAAGGAGATCCAGGTCCTCAACATGGTGAAGGGCCACTCCTCCATCAGTAGGTCCATCCAGACGCCACCAGAACATGGAGGAATGATTTCTGTTATCAGGCAACCAGTCAAGTTTATTCATGAGCTTTGCATCATAAAAACACAAATATAAAGACAGACACACAGCTGGGAAGATCAGTAAACATTTTGTCATCATTTCACATCAAAATGTTGGTCAGAGTCTCATTTATTATCATCATAAAAATTATACTCAACAAAGAGCTGCAGCAGCATATTTTACCAGGTAAAGGTGAAAAGTAGCCGTCCAAGAAATTCATCAAGAGTAAAACGTGTTTGGCAAAATGTCAATTTATCAATCATTTCAATCTAAAAGTTACATGATCAGATGGACCGAAATATAAAGTTAAGAGGAACCAAAATGATAATAATTCATATAAATAGGAAAAAATAACAAAATCAGGGAAAAGGACATTTTCCCAAATGAGTTTTTTTCCAAAACAACAACAACAAAAAAACAAAAACGAATGAATCCTTAACAGAACTGCAGGTGTGAATCTTGTCTGGTGAGTTTCTGGTTAAAACATGTTTGTTTCTCATTCAGTGGGTAGAAAATCCAGAAATTTCTCTCCTGTAAGGATAAAAGTACTTATAATAAAATTACATACAGTGTAGTAAAAATACTGCTAAAAGTACATTGTTTCAAAAAAAGTTACTCAAGTTGCCAGCCAGCTCTACTGACAAGCAGCAGTAATAATATCAGTAATAATATCAGTAATAATACCAGTAATAACAGCAGGTAAGCTGTACGTGCTGCTTTGGGGCCCCAGTGAAAATCTGCCCAGGGCCCCAAAATGCTTTTAACTCTTTCTGTGTTTTGTTTCCTCCAGTCACCCTGATTGATTCCTACGAGTCCACAACGTTCATATTCTTAGTGTTTGACTTGTGAGTATCAGAGCAGAGAAATGAAGGGGGAATATTATTTAGAATATTTTCTAGATTTCTGTTTGTTTTTCTGGACAGAATGAGGAGAGGAGAGCTGTTTGACTACCTCACAGAAAAAGTGACTCTGAGTGAGAAGGAGACGAGGTGAGAGCCTGATCGTTCATGTTTCTGCTGATTGTAACTAATATGCTGCTATTATATACACTGATATGCATCTCTGAGGTAAATGAGTAATAAAACAAACAAATTGACAAAAAATAACAAGTACATAAAGTAATAAATAGATAAATATTTTAAGTTTAGTCAACTTTAGTTTTTGATATTGTCAGTAACATTGAGGGCTGAAACGATTAATCATGATTAATCGTTCCAGTGGATGCGATCGCTGGTCGATTCTCAGACGGTGAACAGAAGCGTGAGCCGCTGTGTTTGTGTCACCAGGAGCATCATGCGCGCCCTGCTGGAGGCGGTGCAGTACCTGCACTCCCTCAGCATCGTCCACCGGGACCTGAAGCCGGAGAACATCCTGCTGGACGATCATGGACACATCAAGCTGTCTGACTTCGGCTTCTCTGTGCAGCTGCAGCCTGGAGAGAAGCTCAGAGGTGAAGTGGAGATCCCGCCCAGCAGCTCAGAAACAGAAAAACAGATTATTTTCTGTCCTGACAGGGTCTGAAACGCAGTGTGTTCTTAAATCAGAGCTCTGTGGAACACCTGGATACCTGGCGCCTGAAATACTGAAATGCTCCATGGATGAGATGCATCCAGGCTACGGGAAGGAGGTGGACCTGTAAGTGGTTTCCCTGCGCTTCACCTCCCTGCAAAAACACAAAACCAAAGACTTTTTCTAGTTCTGGGGGGAAATATCTTATGACATCTGAAAAAAAACTACCTTAAAGTAACTTTCTGTAAAATATAGGAGCTTGTTTTCAGATTGTTGGCAGATTGTTTCACTTTTAACATTTTTCCCACATTAAGTGAAACAATTTGCCATTGAAATTAATACTTATTTTAATCGATATTAAGGAATTTTTGACTCTCAATAAGCTCTTATTTCTCTATAAAAACTTACTTGTAAATTAGTTTCATCTTATTTCGACTGAACTGAGATGTTTGGTGTCGATGCAAGACTAAAATTACTTGGTAAGATTTTGTGTTTTTGCAGTGCAAGAGTGGAGAAAGGAATGTTAGCTTCTGCGCTGATACGGTTTCCACTGTGTGTGTTGAAGTAAATTTGGGGTTTGGAATATTTAAAAAGGCAGCGTTTCATCAATATGTTCTAAAACAAGCTCCGATAACTTGCTGAAAAGTTACTTGTTAGTTTTGTCATATTCTAAGACATTTTATGGACCTGATAAATCAGCCGGTAAGGTTTTGTGTTTTTGACCTCTGTGTTTTGTCCCGACCCCAAGCTGGGCCTGCGGCGTCATCCTCTTCACGCTGCTGGCCGGATCGCCTCCGTTTTGGCACCGCAAGCAGATGCTGATGCTGAGGATGATCATGGAGGGCCGGTACCAGTTCAGCTCGCCCGAGTGGGACGACAGATCCGACACCGTGAAGGACCTGGTGCGCTCCCCGTCGGACCCGCACGGTTCTATGAGAAAGCGCTTTGGTTTCTAACGTCTGTGTGAACCGTCAGATCTCCAGGCTGCTGGTGGTGGAGCCGGCTGCCCGGCTCACTGCGGAGCAGGCGCTGGCCCACTCCTTCTTCAGGCTGTACCAGAGGGAAGACGTCCGTCTCTTCAGTCCCAGGAAGACATTCAGGGTGAGTCCCGGGAAATCCAGCAAAATTACACCATGAATAATTCTTTGATATTTATTTTATTTCAGGAAAAGCCAGGAAGCTACGATAATATAATACTGATTGTTTTATGCACAAACCTGTTTCCTGTTAAAAGCAGCAACTTTATGAGAAATCGACTCTTTTGAGCTTCATGTCACTTTATAAAGACATTTTATTAGTTTCAAATTTCCACTGAAAATTTTTTTTTCTAGAAAATTTGAAAAATCAAAGATTTGCTTGGAAAAAAACATTTGAATTTTTGAGTTAAGATTTTTTTTTGAAACTCATAAAATTTACACGTTTTTTCTACAGTAAAGCTTCTTTGTGACTCTTGGTGATGATTTGTGGCTCTCTCTCTCTGCTCGTCCCGTCCAGGTTCTGATCGTGAGCGTTCTGGCCTGCATCAGGATGTACAGCCGGTACCGCCGGGCCCGACCTCTGACCCGGGAGGTTCTGGCCAGAGACCCGTACTCGCTGCGCGGCGTGCGGAAGCTCATCGACGGCTGCGCCTTCCGGATCTACGGCCACTGGGTGAAGAAGGGCGAGCAGCAGAACCGGGCCGCTCTGTTCCAGAACACGGCCAAGATCGTCCTGCTGGGCCTGGAGGACTTTGAGACGTAGAACCGCTTTAAAACCTGAGCCGTTGCTTTTAGTTCATTTTTATTTAACCGTGTGCATGTCGTGTTACTGTCTAATTCTGACGTGCAGTTCAGGGATCAGGAAGTGCGACGCCTGAACGCATCGCTGCGAGTTCAAGATGTTGATGTTCCTTATCTGTGTCGATCCAAGATTATGACTGAAACGTTTTTTTCTGTACAGACTTCATGCGATGCACTTTGTAGAGGAGGACATGTTGCACAATAATTTCCATAAGTACACTGTGTATATTTAGACTTTTGCCTGCCAGGAAACTGGAAATGAAAACATTCAGATATTATTTTTATAGCCTGGTTATTTTAACTCTTCCAGAGTTGCATATCGGTACTGTATGTTACTGTAGATGTGATTCAGGCATTCCTCAATAACGTAACCACTCACTGATGGTAATGCTAGCAGCAGCATTAAAGCTAGCAGCAGCATTAAAGCTAGCAGCAGCATTAAAGCTAGCAGCAGCATTAAAGCTAGCAGCAGCATTAAAGCTAGCTGCAGCATTAAAGCTAGCAGCAGCATTAAAGCTAGCTGCAGCATTAAAGCTAGCAGCAGCATTAAAGCTAGCTGCAGCATTAAAGCTAGCAGCAGCATTAAAGCTAGCTGCAGCATTAAAGCTAGCAGAAGCATTAAAGCTAGCCGCAGCATTAAAAGCTAGCAGAAGCATTAAAGCTAAAGCTAGCAGCAGCTAGCAGCAGCATTCCCGACTCTTTGCTTTGATCATTTCCATTTTAAGTGCCTGCTTCAGGATCGTACTGTATGTGAATTCAAATGTTTTACTGACAATAAAACATGTTTAAGTAGTTTAATTTAAAGTTGGCTGTTCTGGTTATTTTTTGCCTTTCTTGCCAGACTTGGCGGACTTGGCGGACTGGGCTTTGCCGCTCTGCTCGGACGCCGTCTCTTTGATGCGCTGGTCCAGTTGCTTGGACACCTGCTCCATCTGCTCCCTGACCTCCTGCTCCACCAGGGCCTTCAGGTCCACGGAGGCTGGAGGGACACACAGCGCTAATGCTGTCAACACAGACGGCCATTTTGATAGCTGCCTCTGATAAAACATCCCTAAGAAACCTTAAAGTTATAGATGCTGTCTGTAAACTTGAATTTAATTAATAGTTTATTACATTAAAATTGGTTCCCATCAGAGTGGAGTAGCAACTAGTTACATTTACTTGAGTCACAGGAATAAAATCTGCTTTTATTTGAGTAAAAATTTTGGATTTTCTTTTCACTGAATGAAAAACAAACATGTTTTAACCAAACATTCATCAGATAGTTTATGTTTTTTTATCGAAAGAAATCCATTTGGAAAAATGTTATTTTGTCTGATTTTTTTTTTTTTTATTACTTTAAATTAATTAAAGTCATTTTGGTCATTAAAATACCAAAATTGTCAGTTAACTTCATATTTAATATTGTTAAATATTAAATGATTGCTAATCGGATCATTGACTCAATTGACTAATAACCTGATTTTAGACCTTTTTAATGTTGCAGTTTGACCTCCATCCAGCAGAGGGCGCCACTGGTCATCACTACCAGTGAAAACAAAGATGGCTGCAAGACTGGAAAGTGTCCAAACATTTTGTGCGGTTCTGTTTTTATATCTAAACAGTAGATAAACAAAAAAAGGGACATTTTAACAAGATGCCAGTAAAACCGGGAGATTTTGGGGATTTAATGAAGTTTTAACGTTCCTTCCAGCAACAGGCGGCTTTTCTGTGTGAACGTCTCTGTTCATGTGGGATTCATTCACATTTATTGGTTTCATCTTCTATTTTTCTATTGAGCAACTTACGAGGTTTTTCTAAATACAGTTTAATAATGTGAGAAAAAACAATTTTCTTCTCAGTTTTTTGAGAAAATTGCTAATTATCAATTTATTGTTAGTTGATTGAATCCATGATCTTTTTGTTCTGCCAGATGATTATTAAATTTTCCTTTGGAAGTATTAATTTTTTTATAAACATTAAGCTCATATTTCTGCTGAAACGTTATTTCTAAGTTAGTTTTGAATTTTTCCAAATGTACAAAAATATTTGCACTAGAAACTAAAAACACTTGATCAGATTTAGTTCCACAAATTGTCATCAGTTTGTTGGAAACTGTAACTTTACCTTCTGCAGTTTCTTCCTCCATGGCCGAAGCTTTCTGTGTGTCAGAAGAATCGTCTCCTGTTTTGGAATAAAAGTTTTTTTTTTATTATTTTGCCTCCAGTTTTGATGCAGGTTAAGCAGAGAAGTTGTTACCTGCAGCAGCTTCGTCTGCAGCCAATCCCTCTCCTCCCTTCCCAGAATAAGTTAAAAACAAATCAAGTTTCATCTGACGGGAGATTTAAAAAGGAGAAAATAATTCAGTATCAGCTTTACTCCACATATTGTCACATGAATGAATCAAAGAAAAGAAAATATAAATCCCAAACTTATTTTAAAATGTGTAAGAATATTTTGATATTTGAACAAATATTTTTTTATTCTAATAAAAAGGGAAATTTGTAGAAAAACTAGATTTATTTCTGAGTCTGAAAAGTAAATTTGCTAGAAAATTTATTAATTTCAAAGAAATTAAGATTTATTAATTTCTTAAGATTTTAATACATTTATTTTATAATAAATAAAGTTTTTTCCTCAAAGATTTTCTAGATAATTGTGACTTTTAAAACTCAGAATTTTCATGTTTTTTGGGAAAAATTCTGGGATTAATCTCAAAAATTTTGTTAGCAAAATTTTTGACTTTTCAAACTAAAAGATTTGAGTTTTTATAGCATATTTGTCACTTTTCTCTAAATTGTTTTTGTTTTTCCTAGACAATTTTTAAATAAATCTCAAAATTTGTGTTTTTGCTGGCATTTTTTGACCTTCCGTGTTTTTAAAGCAGATTTTCATGTTTTCTTTCTATCTCCAAAGGCCCAGTCTGCCATCCAACAGGACCGATTTTACTCCACAGTGGGTGAAAATCATCAACGTTTCCCAACTGAACCAGAGCTGTGGGGTTTTCCAGGCTCCTGTTTGGAAGAAGTCGGGCCGAACGGACGTTACCTGCGGGGTGAATATGTATTTGTAGAGTCTGTCGTGTCGCAGGTAATTGTCCTGGATGTAATTTAAAACGCAGTGGGTCTCCTCCTGGCTGAACAGCTTGACGCTGAACGGAGGCCTCTGGAGGAAGAGAGACGAGCGCATCAGGAGGGAACGCGGCGGCGAGACGAAAAGGTTCAGCTGCGACTAGAACAGGCCTGCTGGCGACACGCACCCTGACCGAGTGGCACAGCAGGAGATCGTTGCAGTATTTGAAACACTGCTCAGAGTTGTTGAGAGGAGTTTCTGCAAAACGAAGAATCCTTCGTTAAATCCTTAAATCCTTAAAGCTGCTGGATGCAACAAATATGTTTCTGCATATTTGGGTGGAGACCCCAGAAAACTACAGTTGCATTTCAGCACTCAAAGGTCAAAGGTTTCCATCCAAAAGAAGCAAAAGTATTTGGTAAAAAGTCTAAAGTACTGAGTAACTGATCAAATTATCAATCATTTAATATTTAAAAATCACATCATCATCATCAGGCCAAAATATAAAGTTAAGTGGAAATGTTGGAATTTTTCTAAGGACCAAAATTACAATAATTCATAAAAGTAACAAAACATAAAATCAGGCAAAAGGAAAATGTTTCCAAATCATTTTCTATCAATAAAAAACTGATGAAACTTTAGCAGAAACTGCAGCTTTGTGTCTGAGTCTGGCGAATGTCTGGTTATTTTATTAAGAGGGTAGAAAATACAGAAATTTCACTCCAGTAAGAGCAGAAATACTTCATAATAAAATTACTCAAGTAAAAGTAAAAAGTGTGTGAAAAATGTTTTTTTTAACAAGTTATTCCAGCAAATGTTTCTCTTTTCTCCCCAAATCTGGTTACAAGACAGATAAATGCTTTTCCTGTCAGATAAGTTGTCTCTCGACTTTAACACGTTTAGCAGCATACACGGATGATTGACAGCGCTACGCCCCGCCTCCTGGCTCTGATTGGTTGTTTTTGGTGCGTTTGGATCGATTTGTTCACAGATTATTTGACTCATCACAAACTGTCATGGAGACAGTTAATATCTATATTTTAAAGTAAGTGCCAAACTGCTCTATTTTCAGTTCAATAAGCGTCTGCAGCGCTTCATGATCAAAACAGCTGAGTTTTCTCACCAATGTTGGCCTCGTGGATGGACTTGATGATGGAGAGCAGAGCAGACGTCTGCGCATTATTGAAGCCCTGCTGCCTGCAGAACAGCACCGTTTGGACCAACAGCTCCAGCAGGACTCCTCTCTCTGGCTCTGGGAGGTCGAGGGTCAGCGCGCTGCACAGCGTCCTGCCACAGGCCAGAGGAGGCAGCGGTTAAAACCTGGAGCATCCAGGAGCCGCAGGATGTCTGAGCGTGAACAGAAGCACCTCTCCAGGTCCGGAACGGACCGGGCCTGCTCGATGACCTCCATGTCGTGGAAGCTGAGGTCTGTCCTGGAAGAACGGATCCAGGGTTAAAACCCGACCAGAGAGTTCTGGTCGGGTTAAAACCCGACCAGAGAGTTCTGGTGTAAATCAACCAAAATGCAATCAAGATGATGTCACCATAGCAACAACTTTGCTTTCAGGTCCCGAGGTACCTGTGGAGAACAGGTATCTGATTTCATTACCTGGACAAATTAACCTGAAAATAACCAAGGAGAAACATCATGTCTCTGCTTATTGATAGAAGCTTTGCATCATATTTTAACTTTTCAGGAAAAAACTCAATGAAAACAAAAGAACCACATAATAATTACAAGTTAAGAGAATATTAAGATAATAAAGCAGCAGCCAATGAGGAGCTTACCTTAATGTTAGCGTCCATTTTATTTCTCTAATTGAACTGCAGTAACTAAAAACCAAAAACTTAATAATTATTTGCTTGTGAACCTAAAATAACGCAGAGACAGTAAAAGTTCAATGTTTGGACTGGAGGATCTGAAACGCCGCAAAGCGACAGCCGCGCGTCTATGGTTGCCTAGCAACGGCGCCACGTCAGCTTCCGGTTTCCGGTAACTAAAAACTGTTCCCCCAAAATATTAGCACGGAAAGAAACAACACTGTTTTTTGTTGTTTTTTTTAATAAACTTTATTTATTACAATAAACAACCAGACAATTTTACTGTGGATATAATAATAATAATAATAATAATAATAATAATAATAATAATATATTGTTATATTAATAATAACAATTTACCAGGGGAGCATAAAATAAAACATGAAGACATAGATATGCATATGGAAACAGTTCTGTGTTTGTATGAAAACAAAGAAATGATGAATAAACGTCACGAGGAGGGAACGAGTCCCTGGTAACCTAGCAACGGGGTTCAGTGGTTTCCGGTTTCCGGTCTAGCACCGCTAAAAACTGTTCCCCCAAAATAAAAGCATGAGAAAACTTAACATCATAGTTTCATTTCAGTAAATCATGAATAAACACGATGATGACGTAACAAAGATCACCAGGCTAATAACTGTTAGCCAAATTAATAAATATAAATATTTGTTATTGTTCAGACAATGTTCAAAGACACCAGGTCAGGAAACATGATAAAGTAAAAACGTATTTTAAAATATCAATAAAAAACTCACAATTCTGCAGAACTGAGTGTGAAACCAGTGGCGGCCCCAAGGGGTGGCCCAGCGGGGCCCAACCCGGCTGGTCCTGCAGGATCATGTTTAGTTTATGGAAAGATCATCACATAATCATCACACAGAATGAAATATTTCAAGGCTTAATATCTTGTAACTTTGGTGATTTCAGCTTACAGACACTGAAAACATTCAGAAAGTTGAGTGAAAGGAAAAAATATGAGTTAAGTAAAGGATAAGAGGATTTTGAAGCATAATCCAAACAAGAATCTTCAGGATGATCAGAAAACATAACATCCAGAACCAGAACTCAGGGATGAGTCCAAACTCTGGAGGAGCTGCACCTCAGGTAGAAACATTTCATTTCTAATGACCTTTATTACCAAATAAATACCAAATATTACTTTATTTCTATTTGATAAAAGCAGAATTGGACTTTTCTTTGGTTTCGCAGTAAAAACATCTCATGCTTTCACAGTTCACTGGTTATTTTTTCTCTCTTGCTGCCATTTGTTATCAAGCAGATGTTCCTTTAAAATCCTTGTTATCAGTGTGATAGCGAAGCGCTTCGTGTCATATCAGAGTTTTATCACCACAGTTTTTTATTTTTAAAAACTCCTGATATCAGATGCTGCAGAGACGCTCGGCGCTAAAGATCAACACATCTCAGGTTGCGCAACATAAATATTTCCACCAGCGGCTGCAGGCCAGGAGTCGAGCTGCTAATTAATAAAAATAGCTTGTCGCTCTGAGGCCAGATGAGATGTTTCCGACAACCGAACCCAAACGCATCAGAGATGACTGTGATGGCTGTGACCTCTGACCTCTCAGCAGCAGAATGCGTTCAGGTTCTTCTGAGAGCTGCTGTCAGGTTTTTATTTTCCTCCAGACGGTCGCTGTGAATCGTTTGGTCGTTTTCATGCAGACGGTCTCATCGAACGCTGCAGCTGCAGATCTACAGAATCAGAGGCGCTAAAGGAAGCCGTGGGCCTCGGGGTTTTTTATCTGAGCATCGCAGCTGCAGCGCCGCAGCCTCGCAGCAGCAGCGCCGCAGCAGCAGCGCCGCGCCCAGCCCTGCTGCTGCGTCGTTGCACAACAGCTCCTCTGTTCCTGCTGCAGGGGCCACCGAGGGCCCAGCAACATCCAAACTGAGGAAAACAGTAAAAATATTCTGATTATGTTTAAAAAGCTGCAGACAATAAGATCAGAATTTTATCTTTGTTGTCAGTGCAGAGAAATAAAGAGAAAAACTGCAGTGAAGCAACAGAAAGAAAGTTTTTGGTCAAAAGTTCTGAGTAACTGATGAAATATTTAAAACTGATCATCACAGAGAGCAGAATATACAGGATGTTTGGTTTTTTTAATGACCAAAATCACAATAATGGTTATTAATGGCACTTATTAATAATAGTTACATTTACTTGAATAACTTATTTTAAAAAATCACATGTCGGAATATTTTTACTACGCTGCTTTACTCACTTGATTAATTTTATGATAAAATATAAATTTCTCTGGAGGCCGTAAGCAGCTGCTTAACTCGCAGGTGCTTTGGGCCGGCTCTGATCTGCCTGACTCATAAACGCAGATCTATTCAGTCTAACTCTATGCTTTACTATTTATTTTACCTTAAATTTAAAATTCATAGTTAGATTTTCTGAAGTATCTGAAAGAAAGTTTGTTGGTGTTTATGTTTCATGTCAAGTTAATATTTTGGTTTTATTTATTTCTACTGGCTGAACAGATTAAAGTTGATTTTTCATCTTTCATCCAGTTATCAAATAAATTTATGCTTCAGTTCATCCGGGTTTAAAAAAAGAAAAGTTTTAAGCCACTTCAGCTGTTTGTTTTAATCGGACCGGCCGATAATTGGCCTCAGATATCGGTACCGGTATCAGAAGTGAAAACAGCGGATCAGTGCGTCCTGAAGCTAAGCTACGTTTACTAGCAGAAAATCAGTTTCTGTGATTAAACTTGTCACATTTTCCTCCAGCTGAAAGTGAAACGATGCTCAGCGTCGGCTGTTCGCTCCTTCAGACGGTAAAATTTCTCGTGGCATGTTTAGTTTCATCTCTGCATGTTTATCAGTGCAGCAATCAAAATCAGCCTCACCACATGGTGAATATGGCATGAAACCCTCCGATCATCCCACCAACACAGCAAACATCACGATTCACAAACATCCATCTGCTGAGAGGAAACCTGCTGAAGTCCAGCTTCACACTTCAGCTGCTTTTAGAATAAAACAACAAAACCAGCAGCATCCTGTTTGAGCGAAGCCGATTGGTGAGAAACGGATCCCCGCCTCCATCAGGCGGCTTTAAAGCTTCTGCAGACCTCAGAGAGCGCAGAGATCTGAGCCGGCGGCGCCGCAGCAGCTGATGATGATGATGATGATGGAGCGCCGGCCTCCTCTGAGGATGAAGCTGCTGATCCTGACTCTCCTCCGCTCCACCTGCGTGCTAGGAGACCAGGCTGCAGGTTTCTCTCTGCTTAATGAAATACTTCATTAGCGTCAGCAGAACGACGCTTTAAAGATTTAAAAATTAGATTTTATGTTTTAGGAGAAACTTCTGAACTGTTTCCTGCTAAAGACACAAATTTTAAAAAGTATTTTTGCTCTTGTTTCCACTGTAAATATCTTCAATAAGACAAAATGGAAGAAATATTCATATGTTTTAAGTCAATTTCTCAGTAACAGCTGCAGGTCCACTGGCAGATTATTTCACTTCAAAAATAATTTCCACTGTAAAAAATGAAATAATCTGCCAGTGGAGCTGATTTGAAAAGTTTTTAGCTGAATTTATTTGATATTTCACACAATAAATTTACTTCAAAAAGCATTAATATGCGCAGCAGAGACCGTTTTAGCGCAGAAGCTAACACTCAGTCTTCCTTTTTAGCGCTCTTACACTGCAAAAACACAAAGTCTTACCAAGTCATGTTAGTCTAGAATCTACTGCAAACATCTCAGCACAATAAAAATAAACAAAATAAACTCATAGTAACTTTTCAGTGAGTCACAGGTGAGTTAATAATTCTTAATATTGATTTCAAAAAGTTCTGCTTTGACCAGCAGATTATTTAACCTTTAAGATTGTATTTTTTCCATATTATAAATGAAATCATTTGAAAGCAAAACTAGTCATTTTTATCAATATGAACAAATTATTGACTTAAAACAAGCTTCTGTCAAAAAGTAATTTCATTTTGCCGTATTTCAGGCTGAAATGTTTCCACCACTAAACTAAATCAGATTCTGTTTTTACAGTGTTTTACATAAAGCTGAACTTTGAAACTTTCTGAAATGTTTTGTTCCAGTCAAATAAAACAAGCTGCTTTAACTGGTGAAACTTCATTTTCTAAGTTATTTTTGTTTTATTTCCAGATATTTGCAGCAGAAATTAGGCCAAATATTCTTGCATGTTAGCTGCTGTTCGTTCTTCAAATGAAGAGAATCTGAATAAAAATGTTTAATTCTCTGAAATGGGGGCTGCAGTGGCTTTAATAAGTTCATCTTGTATTATTTTTTGAGCAGAGGCTGTGAACATGTCAGCGTCTGACTTTTCACACGCTTAAGGTCGGTCAGGCAGAATAAAACACTTTGGTCTATTTCAGACGAAATGACGACAAGCAGCTGAAACAAAAACAAACCCAGAAATTATTAATAAATCGCTCGGTTACAGCGGCTCTAAAACCTCGCAGTGTTTTCTTAGAAACTGAAATAAACAGGATAAAATCATGTTTTTATTTTACTGAAGTTTTAGCACCATTATAAAGTATTTCTGGATTTATTTTGTTACTTTAAAACAACAATCCATAGATCATAAAACAAACTTAATTATAAAAAATAATATGAGCGACTAAAAACAGCAGATTCACAGCAGATGTGTTGTCAAGTCATGACCTTTGACCTATGCTGAGGCAGTGAGGCCTGCACAGTTTCAGCTTAAAGATCTGAAACACGAGACAAAAACCTTCAAACGAAAGAAAACTTGACTTCCTGTCCGTCTAGTTCAGCAGCACTGAAGCTAAAATCCTCAAAACTTCCTCTGAAAACTTTTCCAAATGAAACATTTTAAACACCAAATCAGCCTGAATTAATTCGCACAGCAGGTGTTAGCGTTAGCACCGATGCTAACGCTTCTCGGCTCTCTGCACTGTAAAACTCAAGTCTCGTTTCTAGTGGAAATATTTTTGTACAAATAAAATAAATTCATTTTTCATCTTGTTTTGAGTCAATAATTAATTAGTGTTGATGAAAAACTAACTAGTTAAATGTGTGTAAATATATATTAGTAGGAAACTAATTTATTAGCCTGATTTTAGTTGTGGAGTTTATTAAAAGGGACTTTTGTTTACTAAATATAATAACAATAAAAAAGATACTTTACAGGCAATATTTGCTTTTATTGTTTGTTTTGTTCTTTCTTTTTCATTTTATTTATTATTTAGTAAAATATTTACTTAGTTTTCAAGTAAAATTTGTTTTTTTCCTTCTTTTCAACTGTATCAAACATTTGATGCAATTTTAAGTCCAAAGAAATCATTTAATATCAAATTAAACCTCCAAATGACGGCAGATTACGGGATTACTGCGACAGATTAACTTCCAGACATTAAAAATCATAAAGCAGCTGGTTTATGATTCTGGTTGTTTATTTTAGGATAATGGCAGGAGAATAAACTCAGGAACGAATGGGATTAAGATCCCCGATATGAACTAAAACTGATCAAAATTCATGTCTGCCATCTTTTCCAGACGCAGGTTATAATCTGGATTGTGTGAACGATTATGTGTTCACCCTCAACTGTTCCCTGAACGCCTCGCCAGCAGCCAGCAACAGAACCTACTGGCTGAGAGTCACCAGCGATTTGGACCAGTAAGGCAGATTAAAGCGCCAAACGGCCCGTAGCCACAGCGGCCATTACGTTTTGGTTTCTTTCTCCACAGGAGGGATTATAAATGTCTGCTGAAAAACACGACGTCCGGCTTCTTCTGTTCGCTCGACAGATCCCTGACGCACGACGACGGCGAGGCGGAAAGATTTTCAGACGATGAAAATTTTGAAATTTCTTTGTGTGAAAACCAGAAAGAAATGTGTGAGTTACTGGAGGAAGATTATGAGCCGGAGTTACACAGTAAGTCTGGATTATTTGAACAAATGTTATCACAACAACAAACCTTCTGGATTTTACTGGGCCGTTTATGGAAGAACAGAAATAAACCAGGGACCCAAAACACAGGAGCAGGAAAAACTGAACATTTTACATTCATCTCAGAAATTTTAGAGAAAAAAAGGTGAAATTTTCTGAGCTCCAAAAGTTGAAACTTTACAAGAAAAAAAAAAATACTAGAAATTTCAGAGTTTTTTTCTTTGAAATTTCTGAGGTCAAAGTCAGAATTTTATGAGAAGAAAACTTGAAATTAATCTCAGAAATCTTCAGGAAAAAATTTCATTTTTGAGTTTGAAAACATTTGGGAGAAAATAATCAAATTTTTTATAAAATATATTAAAACCTTTAAGTCTGAAATGTTGATAATTTGCAGAATAGAAAAATCTCAAATTTAAATGTTTTAAAAGTCAAAAGTTTTTGATTCTCTAGTTTTTTTAATCTAAACATTATGTTCTCACAAATGTTTTTTTTTACTTTTAGAATAAGAAACTGTATAAAGAAATCTATTAAAAACCATTTCTATTAGTTATTTTCCTGCTTAAATGATTTATTTACATCTTTTAATGCATTTATAAAAAGGCTTAAGTGATTAAATAAAAAATCTTCAGGGTGTACTAATTTTTTATTAGATTAATTGATCATCAGAATTGATTGACTGTCATAAAAATCTATTATTATTAGTAGTAATTGATTGCTCATTATAAAAAATTCAACAATTGTCAGAATAATTGATGGAATAATCATTATTTGTGGTCCTGAGTCAACATGCTGCTCTACCTGTGGCAGCTCAGGTAAAGCCCGCTCTGTTTCCTCCGTCAGTCAAGCCCAGCGCCCCCTGCTGCCTGGAGGTCAGCCACGACTCCACCCAGCACCACTTCACCTGGAAAAGCACCTATGAGCGATTCTCCGACACGGCGCTGGGAGAATACCTGATGTACCAGCTGCAGTTTCACAAGATGGCCGACAAACACCGGGTGAGATCAGATCATCAATCAGCCATTATTAGTTACTGAGACAATACATCAATAACAATACAATAGTCACACGATCAATACCAGTAGAAAATGTATCTGATTAATATTTAATAAACAAAACATTTCAGGTTGGTTGAATCAACTCACTCACTCGCTCTTTGGTTGCCTAGCAACAACCTGTCGTTCCCCCTCTTTGCCTCATAATGGATAAAAATCAAAAAACAAAATGGAGAGAAAACTGGATAAAACTGTAAAGTTTGTCAGTATTTCTGATCATTCAAACTGATCAATAATTATTGACAGGCTGATATGAATCGCTCGTATCGCAATACGGTTTTCAGACGTATCGCGATACGGTTTTCAGACGTATCGCGATACGGTTTTCAGACGTATCGCGATACGGTTTTCAGACGTATCGCGATACGGTTTTCAGACGCATCACGATACGGTTTTCAGACGTATCGCGATACGGTTTTCAGACGTATCGCGATACGGTTTTCAGACGTATCGCGATACGGTTTTCAGACGCATCACGATACGGTTTTCAGACGTATCGCGATACGGTTTTCAGACGCATCGCGATACGGTTTTCAGATGCATCACGATACGGTTTTCAGACGTATCGCGATACGGTTTTCAGATGCATCACGATACGGTTTTCAGACGTATCGCGATACGGTTTTCAGATGCATCACGATACGGTTTTCAGACGTATCGTCCAACAAACCAAAGAAAAAATTAAACTCGCTTCAGACTGTAACTATGGCAACACAAGAATCAAACGATGAAGATTATTCTTTCCTTTAAACTGAAAAAACAATTCAACATATTTTAATAAAGCTTTTCTGGAACCAAATTAAATCATATTTAATAATAATCTGATTCCAAAGTTTTGCGGCTGTAATCTGTGTCCAGTTGTTGATGTACGGAACCCCGCTGGGTCCAAACGTTTCCCCCGGTTCTATTTATTCTCTCGTTCCGGTTTAATCCGATGTTTTGGATCCAATGTTTGACTGGATTCTTCTGCTCTGTTTGGTTTTCAGCGAGAAGCTCGAAACATCAGCATCACCAGCAGCAGCACCACAGACTCTGTGGACAACGAGCACTTTGAGCCCGGCACCGAGTACGCCGCGCAAGTCCGGTCCAGTCCAAACCAGGGCCACTACCAGGGCCAGTGGAGCGACTGGTCCTCTGCGGTCCGGTGGAGGACGGATCCGGCCGCAGATGGTCAGATTCAATTAACATTCGGCCTGCGGAGCAGAAACGTTCCTGTCTGCTGGTTTTATGGGTTTTCTTGTGTTTCTGCAGCTTTTCAGGAAAACGGATTCATTTTCAAACTGCCTGTGACCTTTGGCCTGTTGTGTGCTCTGGTGGTTCTGGTGCTGGTTTGCTACGGTTCAGTCAGAAAGTAAGGTTCTCCTCTTTCTAAAAGATTAAAAATGTAATTTTATTATGAGTTTATGAAAACGTTTTTGTAAAAACGAAACATTTTGACCCAGGTGGAAACGCAGCACTTTCATCCCAACTCCTGCTCCGTATTTCCACAGCCTGTACAAAGACTGTCAGGGAGACTTTAAGGTAACCAGAACCTGCAGCAGAACCTGCAGCAGAACCTGCATCAGAACCTGCAGCAGAATCTGCAGCAGAACCTGCAGCAGAACCTGCAGCAGAACCTGCAGCAGAACCGGCAACTCAACTGGTTCTGCTGCTTCTTTTAGTTTGTTTTAGTGGTAAAATTATCTTTTTAGTATTTTTGTTCTGTGGACAATTCAACTGATTAATCAATTATTCAAATTACTGCCATTTGAAGAAAACATAAATTAAACCAAAACTGCACAAAAACATCGATTTTGGATTTAACACGAATTCATGTTCAGTCAGATCTTTTCTCTTGTTGATTTCATAAAAATCATTTCATTCTTAAACGAGCAAAAACTCACGAGAGGCTCGCTGTTATTTTATTTAAGGCAATAAAATGTTTGTTTTCTTATTTAAAAAGGTAAATAGAAATTATTTAATTGAGTTTTTATGTATTTTTAGAGTTATAATAAGGTTATGTTAGTAAATAAAGAATTTGCAGAATGTGCCAATTAATCTGAAAAAATAATCAATTACTCTGTCTATTTGATTAGTCATCAGAATAATAAAAATAATCAATCAATCAATCAATCAATCAATCAATCATCATAATTTTGGAAGGAATGATTGATTAATCGGAATAACTAAAAGAATGAGATATTATTCTGGTGAGCAATTTTTAGACCACTAGGTTAATCTATAGGATAATCAGTTTTTCTCACGATGAATCGATTAATCGGAATAAAATGAACCGAGCTCCTTACCGTCCGGCAGAGCTGGGTGGTCACGCAGGAAAACGCGGCCGACGTGATGACGCCAGAGGAGGCGCTGCAGATCGACAGCCTGGTGGAGTGCACGCCGGCCCAGGACTTCCAGTTCCACCAGTACCCGGCCCAGTTCCAGCAGCACTTCATGGAGAACCGAGCCTACAGCAACATGTCGTCATCAGTGGACGTCCTGAGCACGCAGGGGTCGGTCTGCGGCTGCGCGGCCGCGCTGCTGGACCAGCGCAGCTCGGTGCGCAGCCTGAGCGGCTACTGCCGGCCCTGCAGCCCGGCGCAGGACTCCGGCTGCTGGCTCTGCAGCGACACCTCCCTGGAGAAGGAGCCGGCCTGGTACTGCAACGAGTACTGCACGCTGAGCGGCCTGCAGCAGGCCGGCTGCGCCGCGGCGGGTTGCCATGGAGACCTCACGGTCTTCCCGCGCTTCTGCGACGCTGGGATGGAGGCGTAAACAGGTTATGCAGCAAAACCCCGAAAAATATTCACACTTCAGCTTTATGGCATCCACTCATACATAACCTGACCTGCAGCTGCAGCTGAGCGCCTGCAGGGGGCGACTCCTCCAGGAATTCACTGTAAAACCGCTTCAGGCCGTCAAAATGACTGCAGAGCAACTCAGCTGTCCAAGATGCTCAGTTAGATCCACATACAGACTTTGACTAGTTTTAAAAATGATTCATACGTGTCTGAGAAATCCCCTAATTTCCATGGCAACCATTCAGTTGTTCAAAACGCCGGGGTGGACATAGCCCCGCCTTCAAGGCGTAGCTCCTCCCCCTCTCAGCTCCTTCAGACTAGCCAGCAGCAATTAGCAAACAGCTGCTGAGCTCATTATAGCAGCTGCTGCTCAGAGCAACACTGGAAAAAACGTTAATAGAGGAGCCATGTTGGACCACTTCCTGAAGGCGGAGCTTCAGAAAGAGCAGCAAGGCTTCGAGACAGACGCCCAATGTCAAGGCGTTCAATCAGAAAGTCAAATTTCTCAAGTCATACTTGAAATATATTTTTATAACTGAAAGCAACAGTTAAATATGCTGTAAAATGACACTATATACCTAGAAAGCACATAGCACCGCCCCTTTAAGAACTGAAATAACACAATCATTCAAATGGGAGAGTAGAAGAAGAAAGTCAGGGAAGAAAGGAATATGGCCGCTCTCGGCTCAGCAGCTGAAATATTTAAAATGCTTCAAATTAAAGAAACTCTAACCTGAACAAATCGTTACGTTTGTTGAAAAATGTCCGTCACCAACGTGAGCGCCGCCATCTTGGAATCCCAACTTCGCTAACCAGAACGCAGTTACCATGGTAACTCGGTCACAAGGGAACTTGAACGGAGCACCAGCTCCAGCCAGACTCAGCATGATGCTGCCACCACCATGCTGCACAGCTGGTTTTGTTTTCAGGCTCAAATTAAAGTTTATGGTTTTAATGAAGTAAAATAAAATTTTCAATGTTCTTTAGGGATTTGTAAAGTTTCTCTACGAGTTTTATTTCATGCATTTTCACAGCTTTTGAACTGTATAGTTTTATGGCACCAATAAAATTTGCTTGAATAAAGTAAACAACTTTAAGGTTTTATAGAAAGTTTTATTAAGCAAACACATACATGAACAAAGCACCATATAACCTTAAAGTACAGAAGTAAGCCTACCTGCCTCAGTTACTGCGGCCATTTTTACACATCCCATAGCAACACTCTGAATAACAAAGAGCCAAGGCAGCAGATCTATCGTATATTACAGCATGCTGAATAGAAAATCTGGGAAAGAAAATTAGACTGGACCATCTAGAGACACTAGTGGGATACAACAGTATAAAAGTGCCATTCATTATACAGCAGATCAAATACTGACAATGAAATGAGCCGATTTTTACATTAAATTTATGGAAAACAAAAAAAGGAAGAGACCCTGTGAAGGAGCAAAAATAAAACAAAGACTTTTACTTCCATGAATATGGATGACAGACGGCTCGCGTGGAGTTGATGGACAAACCGAAGCTGCGTCCCTTGCACCACATAAGACAACGTTTAAAAAGAAACGAGCGTCCCCTCCCGGCGCCGCGCCGCCCGGCGGGTCGGAACCAAACGGACAGGCGAAGGGAGAACGGATGGCACAGAATGTGGAGTTTAAATACGAGTCTGTAAGCGAGTCCCGGTGTGACAGGGGCACATTCATGGAGGCCGGGCGGGGGGCCCTTCTCCTTAAACCCGTTCCTTCAGCCGCGGCGGCGCCGGGCCGGGTCGGGCCGAGCCGGCGCCTCTTACGACGGAGAGTACTTCTTGGCCTGTGCTCGAACTCTTTTCTCATATTCTACTCTGTTTTGGCTGAAAAGAAGGAAATTAGAGAGAAAATCAATCAAAATGATCTTTAATTTGATCAGTTCTGGACAATAAGATAATAATAATTATATATATATATCTAGATATCTAGATCTATATCTAGATATCATGATATCTGATATCAGCTGCACAGTTCAGGCTCTTTCAAAGTTCCTGATTGGATCCAAACATGACAAAGTTTCTAAGTTTAAAGTCTTTTCCTGCATTTTCAAGGTGAAGTTAGAAAACTTCATTTTGGAAATGCAACAAAAAAAAATGTTAAAATATTTTAAATCTAGTTTCTACTGCAAACATCTTTTTCACTGAATTTAAGACAAAACTAACTTATGAGTAACTTTTCATCAACAAATAGGAGCTAATAATAATAATAATATTGATGACAAAAGTAACTAATAAGTGAAAGACAAAACATTTTAACTTATAAAAAAGGAGAAATGAACCAGATTTTATTGGGTTCGTCACAGATCCAGAACAGAACCAGTCCTACCAGCCCAAAACAAAGATGTAGACGAAGGGTGTCCACAGTGTGGTCCAGGGGCCATTTGTGGCCCTTGAAATGATTTTGTTTGGCCTTTGACCACAAGTTTAGAGTGGTAAAAGTTTGGCCAACAAAATAGAAAAGAATGGATGAGCAAAAAGATGGATTATGATAAATTCTACTGACAATAAAATGTCACATTAGTTATTTTGATAAACAATAATATTGTAGTTTTGAAACAATTTTCCAGCAACATAATGATAATTAATTAATTATGCAAGAACACATTCTCACAGATCAATAAACTTGAAATTGTAATGAACATTTAACACTGGAAGACATTTTAAATGTGCAAAATAAACAGAAAGAAGAAATGCAATGAATTTTTCTGGGAACCAGAGAACCAGAACCTTCAGAGCCACACAAAGACAGTTACAAAGTTGGCCTTCTGACACCTGGAGAACATTTCAGGTTAAATGACTGAATGTTACAGAACCATCCAGAGAATCTGAACCAGAACGCTGCTGCTGGAGTTCTGACTACAACCAGGAAGACTGAGCACACCGCCCAGATCTGTACCAGAACCCGGACCTTCACCAGAACCCGGACCTTCACCACCCGATTCTATACTGCCCGGATCTACAGTCCTTCAGACAGACTTTAAACTACAGCTGGTAGTTTATGAGTCACTGAACGGATTGAAGATCTGCTGCTGCTGGATCAACCATCCAGACCTCTCAGGTCTGAAGGTTCTGCTCTGCATCCAGAACCAAACATGGAGAGCTGCATTCAGCTTCTATGCGCCACAAATCTGGAACAAACGTCCAGAAAACGTCCAGAACTCTGAGTTTCAGAGCTGAAACTCAGAGTTCCTTTAAATCTCGACTCAAACCGGCTGGTTAGAGCCGCTTTTCATTCATAATAAACTGATTAATTTTCCATTCGTTTTGCGGCTGTGATCTGACGTTTTTATAATTTAAAGCACATTGAGGTAAAATGATCCGTTCAGCTGCTCACCAGTAGATCGTGTAAGCCTCTGCTTGGGCTGGATCCTGGATATTTGGCTCGTTTAGGAGTTCCTGGATACCTAATAAGATCTAAACAGCAGTTTAAACATTAATGAATTTTAAATGTTCAGGATGTTCATACTTGTGTTTGTGGTAATAATCCTGACCTGCTTTATTGTGATGGCGGGTCTCCAGTCCTTGTCCTCCTCTAGAATGGATAGGCATACTGTCCCTGATGGGTAAACGTTGGGATGGAAGAGCGGCGGCTCAAATTTACCTGCAATGAAAACAAACCGGAAACATTCAGCAGCGATTCTCTCAGTTCAAAACAACCTTTGTTAAAACTCATGAAACTATGAAAAGCATTTTAATAATCCAAAGATTATCACAAGTCAAACTATTAAAATCTAGAACATGGAAGAATATTTGATTACTAACATTATTTGCATCCAACTGACATCATGAAAGTAAAACAGGAAAATCTAAATTCTCCAGACTCAAACCTATTCCAGATTATTTTCTACTGTTTAAAAAGTAAAAATAAAAACAAATTAAATCTGATAAAAGTTTCTGTGGCAATTTTCCATTTCAAAAACCCAGAATGGAAACTATTTAAATGACTTTCTAGTAACCTTGAAATGTAACAATGGTTGGATTTTTAAAATTATGTTAACGATTTTCAAACTGAAATTTCTGTCTGGATTTCAGTGAAAACCGCCGAGCGCGTTGCAGCTCTGCAGGGTCACGGCGGGTCGCAGGACTCACATTTTGGTGGCGATGACGGGTAATCGTCCTTGAACAACATCCGCAGTTTGAACAAACCTCCTTCCCACGGAGTCTGTAAGAGATCGAGCCGTTAGTTAGCACAGCAGGACGCAGGCGGCCATTTTCACAGCACATTATATCGATTTGGATACAGAAACATTCACTGATCTGCATCTGATGATTGTTAGTTTTAAATACAAGAACAGTCTAATAATTCATGCAACCAATACTGGGGGAAAAAACATTTTCCCTACTAAGTAACAGGAGAATTTACCCCTTTTTTCCCAGGAATAGCACATTCCCAGTTCATGAGATTCATGGTTCCATCTGGATTTTTTGTTGGAACAGCAACAAATCCCTGGAAAAAAGAAAAATATATTCCAGAATTGAGAAAAATCATCACACGAAACTCAACAGGTGAGTTTTCTGAGAGGGACTTACAAACGGATGGTCCTTCCGCCATGCCTTGCGCTCCTGGGCAAGCCGGCTCAATGCAATGCCTGACATCTTTAGACTCCTGGAAAGAAAATGGGAAGAAATATTTATTAGCAGCTTTTACAAGAGTAAAAAGTAGGAGCAGGGTGTAAAACTGTCTCAAATTAATAAACAGATAAAGAGCATGAAGTGAGGCTTTTTCAGGGCAAAAATATTTACTTCTATGAAACTTTTGAGTCTAATAAAACTGAACAGGTTTAATTGGTTTCTTTAAACAAAATATAATTTCTTCTCCTTGGAGAAAAATAAATGAATGTACACTGGAACCGGCTCAAAAGGTGGATCCTTACAGTAAATACTGCTGCTTTGTGTGTGGAGTCTTAGTTTTGATGCATTTAATTTACAATAAAAGCATTAAAACACTTAAATATGTGATCACAGAAACTGTCCAAAGATCCAGCGGGATGCTAACGGGTTTGCTACATTAAAAGCAGAATTTTGGCACATATCTCCATCTGTGCGCCCATTTACATGTTCTAATGACACCCGCAAACATTCAGTTTGATTTAGTTTGTTGATGATCTGCCAGTTTGATTCAAATCTCTTCAAAACATTAAATTATGATGCTGTGATGGCATGCAGCCATCTCTATAGCAACGGCGGTTAAATAAGATAAAGTAGCAACAAAATGTTAACAGTTACTCCGGAGTGTCAGCACGCCGACCACTCGCTTCACACGAAGCTTCTCTGCTGTTAAAGTTAAAAGCTGGCGGGTTTTTTTATTGGCTTTCGGGCTGAGAATGACCGAAAGCGACGTTTTTACCTGACCTGTCCGGAAGGCTAGCCAAGCTAGCCGGTGGTTAGAACTGAACCGGAAATGTTTTCCGCCAAGCTTGGAGCTTAATAAGATACAAAATACTTTAACTTTGGTGTAGAGTTCGAGTTTTTAACTCACTGACTTGTGCTGTCCCGGTAAAGTCACCCTAAAACATTCACAAACTGACCGCCAATGCTAATTGATTAGCATGCTACCATGTTAGCTTCATGAGCTAACTCATGTGCGCCAGAATTGTGCTACATCCCAACAGGCGCTGGCGCAGTTAGCGTCTGCCACGGCCTGATGCAGCACAAAAATGCGCAACTGCACTTGATTTAGACCATTTAGGACGAGCGAAAAGTAATCACTGCCATCCGCACGGCGGAAAAACCCGTTTATAACCCCGTTTTACCTGGAAGAAATAGGAAGGAAAGCACCGAGGATTTAAACATGTCGCAGAGCGTTAAAGAATAAAGACAAAGAGCAGAAAGGCGCACATTTATGCGTTACCAAACTAGCGAAAATGGCGCAAAGTGAAGGGGGCGAAAATATCACGATACACGACAAAGAAGTGGAGCTAAAGCCATCGGGTCGGTTCCTACCTCTCTCAGTACGGCTGCACTGGCTCTGCTAATTAAGCGAAATGAATTAATGGAGCTCGGATCCCGTTAAACCCGATAAAGTTTCCCTCCCGAAAAATCCACCCGCTGCGAGTCGAGCCTCCAACAGCGACACCACACAGTCATCCGCACCTCACTTCCGGTTTTGTTTAAATACTCCCTCCCGGACCGGTTTTCCCTCATGTTTCTGTTTTTAATAAATTATCCAGACAACAGAGGACGACTGTGCGGCTGTCGCTTGTTCGCTCGTAGTTTTTTGCGACAGTTTAATAGATACATCATACATACAGATTCATGCTAAGTTTAATTGTTTAGGCAAGAAAATGCATAAGGGATTAATTTATTTTGTATTAGCTATGGTTGACGTATACCTTTGGCAAAATGTTCAACCTTTAATGTCGAATAAAGGGTTTCAGTCTCTTCAGTCAACAAAAAGGCGCAAAGTGTCTCTTGGTAAAGAGACTTTTGTATCTTGGCAGGTTTCTATCTTGTTCCGTGTGTCGTCTTTGACCGCAGACCGTTAAACTCCTCGAAAAGACAAACCAAAACACGTCGTGATGCTTTCACTATAAAAAGCACCTTTCACATCTGAACTAAGGATAATTTTAAATACTATAACAACCCCGCGTCTTACAGAGTTTTAAATATTATTTTACATTTAAACAGGCATTTATTTCAGGCTACTATAGCATTAAAATGAATTTCAACGATATGACGCTAGAGGCCGCCATTTACCGTCACAATTTTAGTGATGAGTCACTGATTAACCACTTCATGCGTGAAATATGAGAATTCCCTTCGGGATTTTGTCATCCTGATGCAAATAAATAAAAAACTTGAATGTATTGTTCACGAAATTATTCACATTTCCAGTGAGGTGAACAGTTTTAATTTGAAATATATGATAAATTCATCATTCCGTAAACAACACTGTTTAGAGTGAAAATCTAAATTATTTGGCCTGACATTAAAACACTGGTACAAAGTGTGATAAAAAATTTTTTACTTAGCCTTGACTCTTTAATTCAATGGTTTCCCACTGAACAGTGTATTTTAGCAATCACCATTTTCAAAAATAATACAAAAAGTCATAAAAGAATAAAATGGAAAAAATTGAGTGAATCCAACGGTAAACAACTAAATCCAACAGTGGCGGTTTTAGACCAAATATACCAGTTTTTCATTATTTCCTTTGGGAAGAGAGAAACAACAAAAAAAAGTTCAAAATGTTATTTTATGTACTAAATGATCCAAAGATCACTATGGTATGATATTTATGGTTGCAGATCCCTGATCTAGGAGATGGAAATGAATATATTTAATATATCAATACAACTGAAGATAAAAGTGCAATAATTTAATTTTTAACAAGTTGTTAAAGCAAAACTGTAAAGATAAAATAAATAAAATTGGTTCAAAACTAGTATTTCATCTAATGTGCAGAAGAACCTGAGAAATAAAAGAACAAGCAGCAGAATACAGGTTTCAGTTTTGATCTCAGACCAGCTCAACAATTCAAATTTTGTTTCCGAAGGACTTTAAAATGCAATTTATAAACGGGTGCAGTTTTTTTTTCAGTATTTGACTTAATTTCTGCATCAAGGTTCATGTCAACTAAATCTGATTTTCATTGAAACTGAAAAAAGATGCAAAAGATGCTTTTGGTTGACGTGTTCATAAACTGAAAACGTTTACAAAACTTCTTGTCAGTTTGATCAACTGGCAACAACAAAGAAAAAAACGAGTATTAGCTATAAGCTGCAGATGATTCTGACAAATAAAAATACACAGACGGTTATGAATGACAACTTTTTTATTGGGTTTACTTATGCAAGACCGTATAGATCTATCTTTAATCCCCTCATACTTAATTTGTACATTAACATTGCATAAGATCATATAGAAGTGATCCATGTAGTGATATGAGAACCATGTTGGTTGATGCAGCCGGAGGAAGAAATGACATTCAGTCCCACTGACTGGAATCGGTGACGGTCAGTCATGCATTACGGTGTCTGTGACTCCAATGCAAAACAAACTGGGCACTTAAAAATATTCAGCTACAGATTTGATAAGTTTGTCCATCAGATGAATGATAATTAATGTTGGATACTAAAGACTGAAGGAGGCGGGGCTTAAAGCCGCAGTACGTAACTTTTCTAAGCATTTTACATATTTATTAAAACTTACACCATGTTGTCAGATAATCTGTGAAAACTTTGATCTCCTCCCTGAGCTATTATTGCCATCTGAAAGAGCGTACCACTCCCAACTAAAAACAACCAATCAGAGCCTGGAGGAGGGGCTTAGTGCTGTCAATCAACCTGTGAATGTGCATTTAAATGTTCTTACAACTCACTGTTACAGAAAAACAAATTTTCCACTGTTATCAGTTGCTAAGTTAACTAGCATAGCATTGACGAGCTGATTTGCAGCGCTAAGACCCGCCTCCTGCTTCTGATTGGTTGCTTCCAGTTAACATTGGGAGAAGGCAGAGGAGCTAAAAAAAATTCACAGATTAATTCACACCAAACTGTCACAACACAGTGAGTTCTAACAAATATGTACAAAAAATATATATATACATTTTTTTTTACAAAAGTTACTTATGACAGCTTCAATAACCGCAAAGTAGAATGCATTAAATGTTTTTATATAACCAAAAACATAAACTTTTAAATCACTAAAGATATAATAAACCTTACCGGCTTTAGCTCAGTGAAAAACGAGATACATGACGTTTATTTCTACCAGAGGAAAACAAATTGCACTGCAAAAACAGAAAATCTTACCAAGTAGTTTTGGTCTAATTTCTAGACAAAATATCTGGGTACACTTGAAATAAGAAACCTAACTCAAGTCATTTGTCAGCGAGATATAGGCGCTTGCTTTAAGTTAATAATTTCCTAATATTGATGAAACTGATGATTCGGGACATTTTTCCACGTGACAATCTGCAGGTGAAACTAAGGAATTATTTACTTAACGCTTTTAACTGCATGTTTTTCTATTTCACCTGATTTGTCTCAAAACACACAAATACCCATAGTGGAAAAGATGTGGGGGAAAAATGTAGATTTCACTGATAACTAGCGATTTTTTTACGATAACAGAATATACGGTCGAATAAGACGGATTAACGAAATAAGAGGATTTTTATTTCTTTCAAATAAATCAAGACCATCTTTAAGCAACTTTTCACCAATAGGATTAGAGAAATCTACTGGCAGATTCTTCCATGTTCAACCAAACATTTTACCATCAGTGAAATAATCTGCTAGTGAACCTGCAACTTTTGATCAATGTTAAGGAATTAAATTAAAACAAGCTGCTATATGACGTAAAAGCTCCTTGTTAGTCACTTTAGTGTCGTTTCATGTGCTTTGAGGTATTTGTGGCAGACATTAGACCAAACCTCCTCGGTGACGGTTTTGCAGCGTGGCAGTCAGGAACGGACAGCAGGAGTGGAAGTTGGTCGTTACGTCGGTTAACGTGAGCGATCGGAGTGCAAAGACGTTAACTGGAAGGCTTCAGAATACTACAGCAAATGTAAACATAGCCTAGCTCTGGCAGGAAATCCAGTCTACTCTGATTAAAACCTCTCTGCACAGCCCAACTTTTACACTTTAAAAGCCCTTGTGTGTTTATACATGTGTTTATACATATATATATTTATCTAGTTCAAAAAACATGCATCCATACTCGTTCTGACGATATAAAAACTGGTTTAATTGAGTGTGTGTGTGATTAGATGGAGGTTCGTGAGTCGTTAACAAGTCTATGTACAACGTGTGCCAGCATTAAGAAATGTTTACTTGTCCCTCAATGTCTGAATTACACATAAGACATTGGATTTTGGTCACTGGGAAAAAAAAGGCAACACTAAATGATTATTTGTGAATGAAATATCCAACCTATATAAATCAATATATATCTATATAGATATTTTTATATCTATATAGATATATATATAAACAAACATATCAAACTTGAAACAACTTAAAAAAGTGTTCGACAATGTAGTATTTACATCATTGCAGGCTGTAAGCAGAGTGCACAGTGTCTCCCACTGTTAGTGCTTCTAATCCTGTTTGGAAACTGATCATTCAAAACGCTAAATATCACACTGAAGAAGAGGAAAAACATGTTTTCAAATGTAACAGTCAATTTCATAGCCAGCCAAGTTTAGCTTTGTTATTGGTTATCAAAACGTCTCAGAGAAAGATCCATTTTCAGCAACTTAACGATCCGCTTCATTTAATTTTTTAGTTTTTAACCAAAGATCCAGTAGAAACAACTTCCCTCTGAAGTCGGTTCTCTATACAGTGTACAAAACGTGCAGCTTTATCCTTAAAAGAGTTAAATACGAAGGAGTTTGGGTTATTTACATGGAAACTAAATGATCTCGATATGAAGGAAGTCCTTCACGCTTCCAGTCCAAACAAAAAAAATCCCAGTAAAAACTAAAACAACAACAGAAAAAAATCTAACATCACTGGAGAGAGAACATTTACTGTCACTTTCCTAAACAGGTTGATAATTGCTGGACTGAATAAAAATAAAAATATGCATAAAATAATTCACATTTAAATTTTTTTGGCAGTTCATTTAAAAATTGTGGAAAATTTTGTTAAATTTATCTAAACCAAACAGTTAAAGGTTTGCTACAAAAAACTCTTGCATCTCCACTGCTGACATGTTTAGCAATGAAACCGAGTCGGTTCTGATCCATTGGTGCAGGAATGGGCCGGTCAAAAAATGCTCAAAAAGCTTTAAAATAATTCATCAATGTAATGGCTGAAAACTGAAGTTAACGAGTTCGTAAAGCAGCAGGCTGCAGGCTAGCTCGTTAGCCTCACTGATTAGCTAGTGCTAGCTTGTTGACTACATTAAATAACATAATAACATAAAACATTACTGTCTTAAGACATTTGTTTCTTAACATATTTTAAAATATTTATTGTAACCGTTTTTTTTTTGTTTTGTTTTTAGACTTTTGTAGCATTTGACATCTCAAGATGTAAAGGAATAATAATAAAAATGTATTATTGAAATTAAGTGCTTTCATTTGTTGGGAGTTTAGTAGTTTTGTTAAGAGTCTTTTTATAATAATCAATACAAATTTTACAGATAACATAACTATAAAAACTATTTCAGAAGCAAAATAATTTATTTACTTTTAAATAAGATGACTGAAATCAAATCAGATTTTTTTCTTTGTGGAACTGGCATCATCTAAATAATTAAGTCACCAAAATACATAAAATAAATACAAATAAATCCAAAGAATTCAGGCAAAAAAACAAATAGAGGTCAAATTAAATGAAAAATTAAGAGTTAAAAAAGTAGAAAAATGAAGAAATCAAAAATAAAAACAGAAATAAAAAATAAAGGTGTCAAAAAGAAAAATAATTTTTAAAAATGGTGTCCTACCGGCCCACGCTCACTAATGGATCTGGACCCGAAGACGGTTCCTAACCGACCCAATGTGTGGAGATCCTGATGCAACAGGGAGTTTTGGGTGTAATGCCCCTTTACCTCCGCAGCCACATCACAGCGACTCCTTCGTTTTCTTCATGTTGATAATAAGAGTGGAATAATAATCCCTGGGACCCGGTGAGCTCAGACTAGAGATCTTTGGATAAACGTTTGATTAGCGTCCAACAGGCTGAACTCGCTCTTTGTGGTTCAAAATTCCCTTCTTGACCCTCCAAGCATTGATTTCCTGTCATACTTGGTGTTAAAAACCAAACTGATCCCTTACTGGAGCCTCCAGGTGAAAGACAGAAACTCATCAGATGACCCTGAGTGACTCGTTGGCCCTAAATGATGGCGGCCATATTTTATAGCATAAAACAGTCGATTACATTTCCTCACTTTCAGATAAGGAAAAAAAAAAAAAAAAAAACTTGCCGCCAATTCAAAATAAGCAAAAAGGTCCAGTTTAAATGTACAGGCACGACTTGTCAGTAAACAGACTTATTTACATGGAGAAATAAAAACAGAAGAAGTGAAGGGAAGACGAATAAATGCACAGCGCCAACCCAAAAACTGTTTGTGCTCAATGCTCTTCCACAGATATGATGAAAACACCTGGAGCTCCTAATACTGAGGCCGCCTCACATCCGGGATCCCCGCTCCTGCAGGATCTGCAGACAGACGCAGCAAGACGTTAAACATACCACTGAAAACCTGGAGGCACTGGGAATGTGTTCTCTAGTTCTGCTTTTATATCCCAGTTTATTATTTATTAATATTGATCATTCAATCTTGTTTTTTGTGCCAGTAAGTCGTTATTTTAATTTTCAGAGACACAAAATATAAGGTTGACCTGAATCTCCTTAGAAGAAGCAAAACGTGGAAGAAAAATAGCTGATAAAAAAAGAGAAGAGCAGCTATATTTGTGTCGCTTGTTAATTTTTAATCATATTTAAAAATTTACTTCTACCCTTTTACTGTGAAATTGAAGTAAGCCTCTCGGTTATTCATGTTGCTCACAGAGACATTAAGATCTACGCTTTTTATTTGTGTTTTAAAATCCTGTATTAGTCATTTAAACACTTTACAATATTAAACAGCAGAGATTCACTAGAGTCAGAGAAAAAAGCCAGAACCTTAGAAAATACCAAATAAACAATTTAAGGGTAAACATCTTTATAATGGCTTTTAACTCAATTACAAATAATTTAAAAATAGGATTTGGGAGAAAAATATAAACATTTTTGTTCCCCATTTCTGAAAATAAAACTCATGAAAGAGATTGAAGGCGTTAAATGTTTCAAGCTTTTATTTCTTGTAGTTTTGATGATTTTAGCTTAAAACCAATGGAAAATCTTTGTCAAATTCTAAACATTTGTCACAATAACATCGTTTTTACCAGCGTTGCTCTGAGCAGCAGCTCCTATGATGAGCCCTGCAGCCCCACCAGATGGTTGCTAATTGCTGCTGGCTAGTCTGAAGGAGCTGAGTGAGGAAGGAGCTGCGACTGGAAGGCGGGGCTAGGTCCATCCAGACGTTTTGTGGCTGAATGGTTGCCATGGAGATTGAAGGATTTCTCAAACATGTATGACTTTTTTCTAAAGCACCTTAAAGCTACATGTATTGTGAATTGGCGCTAGATAAATAATTTAATTTAGCAGATGTGAATCAAAGCAAAACATTGTCACATAATGGAAAGATAAAAACAGTTGATTTTATATAACAATTAAAATGAGAATCACACAAAATAATCCAAGAAATAAACTCGTGAAATATTTCACTGTGATGAAACTCTTTTCTGTTTCTGAGCAGGGAGCGTCCGCTCCGTCTTCCTGGTTTTTCTGTGCTGCAGCCTCTGATTCAGCGCGCCCTGCATTAACCCGGGAAGCGAGCGCGTCAATAACTATTAGGCTGGGAAACAAACGGAGCTCTTCCCGTCCGGCAGAACGCTTCACCTGGACGCCCGGCGCCGGGTCTCTGGAGGACGCCCACTTCCTCCCGACGCGGGGAAACGTCTCTGCTAGGACAGGTTAGCGCTGCAGCTAACTGAGCTGCAGCTAACTGAGCTGCTAGCAGGCAGCCCTAATCTAACCCAGATTACAGAAATCATCACTGGAGCTTCATTACAGGTGGAAACGTGTTTGTGATAAAACTCAATGAATAATAACAAAAATTAACTAAATATCAATAAATAAAGATTACTTTACTATTTTAAATAAACATTCAGTTCAATATAGGAATTATAAGTGAGTTTTATGATAACCCAAAATTTATTCTAATAAAAATGCATTTTAATAATATATTTTTATTTTAAATTATTTAATAATAAAATATTGGAATTGCACCACAGAGATAAAAATCTGGAGTACAATTATTACCATTATTTTACCATACATTACTTTAATATTACTACATTATAATTTTTTGATAAATATTGTTTCTAACTCAATAAAACATTTAATTAAAATTTTAAAAATAAAATATAACAGAATAAAGTTTTATTGGTCCATCATCTTCCACAAATCGCAAAATGCATAAAATAATAGATAATAGTTTTTTTTATTATTGTACTGTTTTTACCCAACAGGCCTGATTTTAAAATAGAAAAACAGTGTCTGGGAGTTCTGGTTTCATTGATCTGAACATTTCATTCTCGCAGCTTCACCTTTGCCTTCTCGCTGGGCTCGCTGTTGGTCCCGTACGACTGGTTGTGCAGCTCCTTGGAAACCACGCACAGGAACTCGGCCTGGTCTTCGTTTCCGTAGTTATAGGAGGAGCCGATGCTGACCAGCTGCGACGAAACACAGCCAAAATCAAACAAATCAGCTGAAAGGTTTGGAGAATCAGAAAAACCTGGAAACCAAAACATGAAAAACAGCAGAGGAAAAACCCAGAACCTTAAAAAATACCAGTTAAACCCATTAAAACCAGATTGTAACCAGCGCCCCATAATCCTTTGCTGAATCACATGACCAAACAAACACTTCCTGAACCGGAAACAAGATGGAGGCGAACAGCAGCAGCTAATATCGACCCAGTTTCACTGATCGGGACGATAAGAAGCGACTCACGCCGGCCGGAACCGAGGTCCAGGTGTCAACTGCTTCATACCAGGTACTGACTGATTATCTGTGTATTAAATAATTATGTTTCATAAAATATTATTTCTGACATTTCACCCTCAGAAGTCTGACTACTGTCTCCCATTAACCCCCCGCCCCAAACGGTGGCACTAATCTTCTTCCGTACGTCCCCCATCCTTGTCTTTTTAAATAATATCTTAAAGTCTGGCTTTTATTTCGCAAACTTTACTCAAGTAATTATTTAAAATACTATTTAAAGACCTGATAACAATTCAGAACAACAAAATAAAAGTCAGTGATTCACAAAACGAGGCAACAGAAATCTAAAACACAGACGAGCATTCAGGAGACAAACGCAGAACTACGGAGACGACAGAGGAGCAGGAGTTTAGCCATGAGCAAAAACATGCTGGAGGAAAGTTTTCCAACTCTGGCGGACAAACAAGCAAAGCTTGGAAAACTGCAGCAATCTGAAGGATTTTTACTGTAAATTTTAGCTGATTGTGAGATTTCTTCACAAGCTGCTGACAGAACCACATGTGAAAATTGAACGTTTTCTACAATGAGAAGCGTGAAAAGCAGCAGCTTCTGGCTGAAAGCGCTGCAGACTGCAAGCGTCCCGCCTGAACCCAGCTGTGCATGTTCAGACATGCATCGCCTCATTACTCCCTGCTGCCTGATACTTGTTGTTGTGAAGCAGACTCGCAGCGAAAAGGAAGCCATATCCTCCACTAGCTTCCTCTTGTAACAAACCCACTGAGCTTTTAGTTGCTTTCGTTCAGAAAAACTCTCTGGAACTCGTTTTGATCGGAGATTTTTCAGATCTGATGTAAAAATCATCACATTTGCTGCTCAAACAGGTTATTTCTCATTCTGAAATCTCTTTTTTTATTAGTTTCAGCTCAAATAAATCGACTCAGAAATGTGGATTTGGTTTCATAACAATAATAGCAGGGTTTCCCCTGGTGTATTTTCAGCCTGGCGGGCCACCAGGCTGAAAATTGTTCATTTACAATAAGAGTGAAAGTAGCTGAATATCCTCCACTAACTTCCACGTCTTGAGTTTTTTTTTAGATGGTTGTGGATTAGAAAAACATCCGGAAACTTCTGTCATCCTGAGATTGTTTAAATAATTTGCTGCTCAAACCAAAATGTATCATCCTGAAAACTCACACTGTAGTTTCAGCTCAAATAAATCGGCTCAGGACTGTGAAGGAGGTTTCATATTTACATAATGAGGAAATAAAATCACAGACAGTAACAAAAGGTGACGGGTTTTCTTTAGCAGAACAAATGAAGAGTGGAAATAGCCGGCAGCTAGGCGTCTACTTGGGACAAACAATGGCTAAAGGGGTGTGTATGGACAACAGGGATCATGCAGTGACCGGCCCGTAAACACGGCTGTGGGACACACCTCTCCGCTGTTGTTTGGCAAAGCAGACTCCTCTCCCTTCACCTCCCTTGACACAATCAGCAGATACTCTGCCTGGTGGGCCCGCCCGTAACCTATACTGACAAGCTGTAACGACCAATCAGAGCACAGAGAGCATGCTCGGGTCATGAATCATCGTCCGATTCGCCGAGCGGCCGATTGGTTCTGTCAAACATCAGACTGAGGATTTCTGGATCAACGTGAGCGCAGCAGGGCAGGTGAAGCACATGACATGAGCGCCGCCGGAGCGCCGCGGCCGCAGGTACCTGCTCGAACTTCCAGCCGTCAGACATGGTGGACACCATCTGGGTCAGCTCCTCCTCCTGGCACTGCAGAACCCGGTACACATGCTTCACCGGAACCTGGCAGGAAACACGCAACAAATCGTGAAAAACACCAGAACACACACAATAAACTGACAATGAGTGGCTTTTATTACAAAATAACTGATTTAATTATCAATTAATTCATTCAATCGGCTGGAAGAACATTTTTAGCAGAAATTAGGACAAATATTTATACATTTTTCAGTCCTCCTCTTTAAATATGTTCTACCAAAAACTCAAGAGACATGATTTTAGCTTCACTTGGTTGTTTCTGTAAAAATAAAATAAAAAATAAAAAAAAACAACTTTTATGAATTGTTTATTGATTAAACCATCACCATGTCATGATAATATGAGGCAGATAATCTGAGTGAAAACTGATGGCCTCCACCTCCTCCCTGAGCTAATACTGTCTTCTGAAGAAATGCACCAGAAAAACAACCAATCAGAGCCAGGGGCGGGGCTTAGTGCTGTTAATCAACCTCGTGTATGCTGCTAATGTGCTAAACGTATTGTTACAGGAAAACATCATTGGTGGCTATGCTAACTAGCCGAGCGTTCATGGTGTGACTGACTAAGACCCGCCTCCTGGCTCTGATTGGTTGTTGGGGGAGAAAGAAAGAAAAAAACAATTAATCCATACAGCAACAATATAGTGACAAACATGTACAAAATACTTTTTATTTTAAAGAACATACTGCAGCCTAATTTTTTATTTTTTTTGGCAGAATCTCAACAAGTGAAGCTAAAATGAGTTTGTGGTAAAACAAATAAAACAAACTATTTTCTCCAGTTTTTTTCGATAGAAATGAATGGATCTGATTTCAGGAAGCGTCCTGCTGGGTACCTGTGATGTTTTGCAGTCCCGTTCCCTGATCTTGTCCTTGATGAGTTTTATTAATGATGTGATGTTGTAGAACTCGGCTTCCTCCAAAACTCCTGGAGACAGAAAAAAAAGTTTGATTTCAGATTTGTCCCTTCAGAGCCTCCGTAGCAGAAACAGCAGCTACCTGACCACGGAGAAAACCCTTACCTTCCTCCGCCAAGTCCCGGTTGAGCACCAGTTTGCCATGCCTCAGGTAGTTCAGCACTGGGCCGAAGTACGTGGGGTCTCTGTCAATGAGATAGGCACCAGTTTCATCCTGCAGGGGCGAGAATGACGGGTTCAGAGGTCAAATATGCAGATTCAACTCATTGAAAGAGTATTAAGCGTTTCTCAGGCACATTGTTCCATTTTATAGCACTATGTTGACACAAGTTAAAATAATGCAAAAATATTTAATATGACTTAAAAATTTGACTTAGAAATTTAACGTCTTGAAATTGGGCCTCTGTCTCTTTAAGAAGCTCCTGCTCTTTCTGAAGCTCCGCCTCCTGGAAGTCGTCCAAACATGGCTCCTCTATTAACCCTTTAACGAGGTTTTAACCAGCGCTGCTCTGGGGGCGGGGCTTTGAGGCACAGCACCTGAGATTACAGCATTACTCACTCACTCTCTGGTTACCTAGCAACCCACTCACTCACTCTCTGGTTACCTAGCAACTCACTCACTCACTCTCTGGTTACCTAGCAACTCACTCACTCACTCTCTGGTTACCTAGCAACTCACTCACTCACTCTCTGGTTACCTAGCAACCCGCTGTCTGATGGTTAACCGAGATGCTTAAAAATAGAAAACAACGGTGAGAAGTGAAACTTTTGGATAAAACAGGGAAGGTTTGGCAGCGTTCCAGGTATTTAAAGCAAAAATCTAATCAATAGTCATCAATAAACTGATACGAATCCTTTATACCGTGATATGTTTTCCAGCCCAACACTCCAGGTATGTTTTTTAAGACATTTAAAGCTGAAAAAGTCAATTTTACGAGATGCTGACCCTTTAAGGTCATATCCTGGGGTTTTAATGGTTGCACTCCGGGCCACACAAAGCGTGGCTGCTTTGGGATATCACCGCTGTATTCCCGCAGGTTTCATCCCGATTCCTTCACTACCGCTGGGTATTCCCCTCTTCCTGAGCTGTGATTAGGCGGCGCGTCTCCCGGGGGGCGAGGAGAGCGAGTTGAAACAATTAGAGCAGAACAGAAAAGATCTGGAACAACAGGCCGATCCCGCTGAGGCCCGCCGCAGAAAGCAACCATCAATTAGCCCGTTCTGCTCGCTTGGGTGGCTGGCCGTTCATAACAAATGGAAAATAAGACTTGAGCAGCATCGTCTCCGGCATAAATGTGCATTTATGATCGCTTCCAATCAAGAGACACGAAGTTCCAGATAAGCTGCATCTTTTCTGCTTTCATCAGGGGAATATTTGCTTTTTCCTCAAAAAGTGCCACTTCCAACCCGGTTCTTCCCCGAACGGATCCATTACTGGTGGTTTCAAACCCTCTAAATGCCAGATGTCGCCTCATTCACAGGGATTATCCATTTGCAAACAGGCAACGTTACTGCAGAAAAAGATTTAAACGCCCACTGGTCGCCATGGTGACCCGCATTCATCTTGCCGCATTCAATATGCATGCTAACAACATTAGCTAGCATGTTGTTAGCATGCTACGTTTAGCATGTTTAGTCAGCTAAGAAAAATAATACAATTTATAACAGCGGAATACAGTAATAATACGAGAAGACAAATTAAAGCTGTCAGAACGCAAGAAAAAAAAATATGAAAACAAAAGTCATAAAAGTGCAATAAAGTCACAATATGAGAAAACAGTCATAGCATTACTAGAATAAAGTTGTTCTATTAGGATGATTAAGAACCGATTTCACAAAAACTCCTTCAAAAAATTTTACATTGAAAAGAGGGACACATGCAAACAAGTTCACATCTCAGTTATTCATAAAGAAATATTTCATCAACTCGTCAACAAATCTTCATAGCTCTCCATGATTTATCATTTAGCAATTTTATGACTTTTTCTGCTAATATTATAACTTTATCCTGATAATTGAACAATAATAATAGTCCCTCAGCTTGGCCTTGATATTCTATTGTGTTATGCTGCTAATTTTATACAAAGACATTAAAATTCAGGTTTTATTATGATAATAGGTGGAAATCGGCCCAGAAGCCTCTCTTTGTTAGCACCATTATCCCAAGATGGATTCAACTCTGCAGCCATTAATCTCTCTAATAATGAGACACAGTCCCAGCGCATCGCCTCTTCTAATGAATCTAAAGCCCTCTCGGCAGACTGACCTCTTTTCCACGTCAGAAATATTCCACAGGAGCCCACAGGACGCTATTCTGGCCCGCCGGGTCACTTTTGAAACTTTTAAAATCACAAGAGTTCAAGTACAAGAACAGGTAGGCCCAAATGGAGAACGACTCGACCTGAAGCGCTCACCCAGATCCAGAGAAGAGCCACTAAAACTAAAGATCAATAAACATTTACCACTGAATCAGAAAACATTTTAAAGATACAAACAAAACAACAAATGAAACAAATGATGAAATCTTTGTTAGCAAAGCAAAAAGACTCAGTTGAGATCAAAACATTTATCATCCAGTTTTCAGTGGAGACAAAATACACAAACAGAAATGAGTTTGTTTTAATTCATCATGCGATTAGTTGATTAAATATTCAACTGGAGGCTTCAACTAACTGACTTGCTCTTCGGTGATGTTTTCCAGCCCAACACTCCAGGTATATTTTTTAAGACATTTTTACCTGCTGTGTAAGAAACTGCTTCAAGTTTCCCCCAACTTTACCTGATCATAAACTAATCACTGTTAGTGATTAGTTCTTCAGGCATATCGTTCAGCCCCAACTAAAACAACCTGCTGCATCTTTTCTGCTGCAGTCGCCTGAACGCACCGTCAGAAGCACACGCGTGTTTTCACTGCAGGCGCTCCGACTTGTCACGGCGTGAAAACCCAGAGGAAACTGGAAATCCCACCGACAGGTGAGGTTTAGTTTCACGTAACACGAAATCTGGTTCTCCTGTTTTCAGCAAGTCAACAACACAGCAGCTCTGACAAACCATCAACAACCGAACTGATACAGCAGGAAGTAAAAAAACTTACATCTGAAATGCAGAACTGCAACTGCATGTTTCTCACAACAACAACACGTTTTTGTACTGAAGATTATTACTGTTGGTGAATGACTTCTGCTTTAAATTAAAAACATTATTACAAAAGTCAAAAAACATTGATAATTTGATTTGATTGCACGTTAATCAACATTACTGCAATTCATGGCCGAGTTAATATCTAGGAATTAACATAATATTTAAAGTTTATTGTTTATCCCAAAAAGCAGAAAGCAGAAAAAACAAAACTACTCGATGCAATTTACACAGACACATGGTTATATGAAGAAGTAAAAAACAACAAAATACAAACATTTGGATAAGAAATATAAAATATATATTTATGGGAAATACAGCAGCATCAAGCATGTGAACAACATCGAAGTTTTAGCTTCTCCTGGTTCAAAGAAAGTCTCTACTGTTGCACTTCAGGCAACAAAATGTTTGTTTCATTAATTAGAGCTGAATTATTTGTGTATCAGGACATTTTAAAGTATTACATGCATAAAAAAAAAGCTTAAGAGATCAAATAAAAAAAATCTTCAGAATGTGGCAACAATTTTTTATCTGATTAACCGTCAGACTAATCGATCATTAAAATAATCGATCATTAAAATAATCATTAGTTGCAGCCTAAATAAAGATCAGAGCCGTCGCTCAATAAAAACATGAATAAAAATGTGGGCTGTGGAAATTATTCCACTCTAAACTTTTTCACCGTGATTGCAGCATTGATGTTGCCATGACAACGGTTTCAGGCCTGGTCTTTAAAGGAAGCAGCCAATCAGAGCCAGGGAGAGCGGGTGAACAGCCAATCAGAGTCAGGGACCGCGGGTGAACAGCCAATCAGAGCCAGGGAGCGCGGGTGAACAGCCAATCAGAGCCAGGGAGCGCGGGTGAACAGCCAATCAGAGTCAGGGACCGCGGGTGAACAGCCAATCAGAGCCAGGGAGCGCGGGTGAACAGCCAATCAGAGCGCAGCTCTGCATGAACCTTATCAACCCTCTGCAACATAAAACAAATCCTCCCACAGGAAACGACACGCCCTGCACCCACTCAGCTGAGCATCAGCTCAGCAAAAAACGGCCCAGTCAAAGTAAACATGATGTCTGATGGAGGAGAAACATCCCCATAATTCAACAGCACTCAAAGCCTCTGCAGTCTGAACAGCCGAGTTGCAACTGCAGCAGCAGAAGTCGAGGCGTGGCTGGAAACGATGAAAGCAGAAAATATTCTGATGATGTAAAAACATTAATAATTAATGATTTATTGATCAGGATAAATTCAGTTATTGATGGAAAAAAAACTCAAAACTGAAGACGATCAGAAAAGTAACAAACACGCTGCTAATGGAGGCTAATGCTACATTAGCTAAGCTAATTATTTTAAAAATCAGACGATTTTTGTTTTATGAAAATATTTTATGTTTAGCTTTTTGTTAAACAGGAAAAAAATATTTTAGGTGTTTATATTTTTGGGTCCTCTTGATGTGACGAGTTTGGCCGGTTAGGAAAAGCTGCAGCCTGGTTTGAGTTTCTGAGGCCTGCAGCAGCAGCAGAGGTGAAGCTTTCCTGCAGATAAAGGCCGAAGCTATTGGGTATCAGAATAACTTCATTACCTCGCCGCTCAGCTCTTACTGCAGGGAGGCGGCGCAGGGGGAGGCGATACGCCGTTAAATATTTACGCCGCCTCCCGCCGCGTTCCCAGGCACGGCAGAAAACCTGAAGAAAATACCTCCATGGGCAGCAAATGGATATGAATATGAAAAGACGGCAAAAGAACAAGAATCCTTTGTGATGGGCCGCATGAAAAATTGATGCGGCTCTGAAAGCAGATCTGGCACTTCACTCAAATTTAACCAGGAAGAGGAGGAGAAATTCACCCCTGAAGGAGTCGCCATGACGACATCCATTCACCGCGTTGGCAGTGACTGATCGCTATCAATATGGTGGATTAAATATTTAACAGTAAGACTTCTGAAAAGCAGACAGAGCACATGACAGGACTTCCTCCCTGGTCCAAACCCAAAGCGCCAACAGCATGAATAATGCAGCTCTGCTCCAGAGTCCTGCAGCATGTCTGGCTGCGAGACGCAGGAGGAACGGGACGCAGGAGGAACGGGACGCAGGAGGAACGGGACGCAGGAGGAACGGGACGCAGGAGGAACGGGACGCAGGAGGAACGGGACGCAGGAGGAACGGGACGCAGGAGGAACGGGACGCAGGAGGAACGGGACGCAGGAGGAAACGAGACGCAGGAGGAACGGACGCAGGAGAACGGGACGCAGGAGGAACGGGACAGGAGGAACGGGACGCAGGAGAACGGGACGCAGGAGGACGGACGCAGGAGGAACGGGACGCAGGAGAACGGGACGCAGGAGGAACGGGACGCAGGAGGAACGGACGCAGGAGGAACGGGCGCAGGAGCAACGGGACGCAGGAGCAACGGGACGCAGGACGGGGCGCAGGAAACGGACGCGGGACGCAGGAGGAACGGGACGCAGGAGGAACGGGACGCAGGAGGAACGGGACGCAGGAGGAACGAGACGCAGGAGGAACGGGACGCAGGAGGAACGGGACGCAGGAGCAACGGGACGCAGGAGGAACGAGACGCAGGAGGAACGCAGGAGGAACGGGACGCAGGAGGAACGAGACGCAGGAGGAACGAGACGCAGGAGGAACACGCCGTGACCAGGCTGGACCCCGCCATGCGGGGGCCGCCGCCCCGACCGGCCATGGGGGGCGCTGCCCCTACCCAATAGGGCGGCGCTGCCACAGAATTTGAAACTGCTGCTGCGCTATTTACTCAGCAGGTCGTTGCTAAGCAGCTAAAGAATGAGTGAATTAATTGATGCCGCCTTTTTAGTTTGAACAAATTTATTCTCAGTTATAGGACCAGGATTTTTATCACTTTCTTTTAAAATATTTGTTATATTTAACCAAGTTTAATACGTAAAATAAAAGCTGATTTGTGTGCAGAAATGTCGGCTTTTCAGCAAAATCTCTGGATCAACGTGGCTCTGCTATTTATAGACATTTTCTGTTGCAAAATGTTGGTGACAGATTTAAAAATAAAATGTCTCCTTCTGGTTTGGTCAAGTTTGTTTCATTCTTCAACTGCAGTTGGGGGCCGCAAAAAACATTTTTTTAAAAATCAGTTCAAAGACCACAAAAGCCCCCCGGCCCACAGTTTGGGGCACCGTTTAATAATTCCAGGTTAAGTGGAGCTCAGTTCAAGATAAAGTTCAAAATTTTCAAAAAATGTAAAAGAAAATAAAAGAAATATTTACGTGAGTAAATAACTCACAATTGAGTTTTGGTTTTGGATTATTTTTAATGTTTCTGTTTAGTGATTTACAGAAAGTAAGTGAATTTTAGTGTGATTTTTACACACGGTATTGATTTGTGAATGGGTAATTTAATTTAATTTAATGAGTAGGATTGGAATAAATACTGAACAGGCCACAATTTGCATCGTTTTTGAGCCGCAGTCGGGAATAACAAGCAGCGCTGCCGGCTCCGCAGTGTGATGCTCACTCAGGACCCGGGATTGAAACGACTGATCCATCACTCAGAGGATAAACAGAATAAAAACCCACAAGCTGATTATTTAGAGATTAAGATATTCGCATGGAAATACCAGCTGAGCCGTCATCTCAGCTCAGGATATTAGAGAGCAGGAGTGAAGAGGAGGACAACAACAATAAATCAGGGGCAGAAACATAAACAATAACTGCAGATGACACAAAAATATATCCAGCAATAAAACACAGACTAAAGAGTAAACAGAAACACTGAAGCTAGGTTCTGATGTGTACATACTCCAAAATATAAAATACTTCAGAAAACTTGAACTAAATTATTCCAAACGACTGTGATGCAGATTGTAATGAAATACTCAAGTAAATGATGAATGTTAACTACAAAAAAGGCTGCAATTCAACCAAAACTGTACTAAAGAAATACATGAAAAATATGCAGAATGTACAAAATTGTTTATCCAATTACTTGATTAATTTTTAGAATAACTGATTACCGAAATGATTGTTAGACTAAATTTGGGCAGAAAGTTGTGTATTTGTTGACAAGCTACTCCCATCCAAAATGTCAAATATTAGTGAACACAAACATAAACATGGAACATAAAATTTAAAACAATGATTTAATGTCAAGTCTCAAGAGTGATTCAATGTCATCTTAAGATATTAAAAAAATTTACTTTTTGAGGTTTTAAACTTTTTCTCAAATCAAATAAAGTTTCACCAACTACAAGCAGTTTCTATTGACTTTATAAAATGATCTACTTCCATCTTGGGCTTTTCCAAGAACTTTACACTTGAAAATAATCCGGATTAAATGTAATCCAGATTTGTTGTGAATTGTGAAATGGCCCTTTAGTTAAAGATGAAGCTGCGAATAAAATGCTGACTTCAGTTTCACCCAACCAGCCAATACTGAGCAAACAAAGCAAAATAAGATGAATGTTCATCACACAATAGGGTGATCACTACATTATTATTATATTATAGTTACATTGGTGCATTTTAAAGCATTTCCATGCGTCAGTGAAACCCATTAATCACTGTGTGACACCTGGATGAGATGCTTCTGATGGAGGAAACTTTTTAACTGTCGGGTCTTTATAGAAAAACAGAAGAACCACAAAATCATACAGTCCGATATTTAACAGCAAGCATTTTAAATATATGTTGTTTTACTGAAGGAAAGATCTGGAAACTTTCACTGAGCATTAAAAAGGAGCGAGCTGGCAGCGTTATGTCATGTGGTGACTGTCGGAATCTAGCTAGCAGGCTAATGCTAACTAGCATCCACATTTCGTTGAGCGACACCTGAATTCTTAGTATTTTTATTAAAAACTGAGTGCAATAAAAAGGAGAATGATATCGAAACCACCTTAAAGCCTCTACTGCCATTAAATAAACATTTGGCGTCCGGCTTCGGGTTTCCGAAGCGCAGCCCAGTGTTAAGTGCTAAGTTAGCTAAGTGCTAAGTTAGCTTAGCATGTACCTTGTCGGAATCGAGCTCCGGATCAGCCTGGCTCAGCCTGAACAGAAAGGATTTCGGGTCTCGGCACAGCGTCTGCCTCGTCGTTAGAAAATACGTCCCTCCGACATTTAGCCGGATCCACTTGGAGGCTCCGACCCCAGGGGAAGAATGGGTCGGACATCTCCGGTGAATGGAGCCGCTTGTCTCGGAGCTGTTCTCTGCCATCCCGCTCCACTCCGCGCCTCGCCTCCTCCGCCCTCGCTTCGGCTCTGATCTGATCGAGCGGCTGACAGGAAGTGTCGACGCTGCCGCAAGCCGCCGACTGGGAGTCCGCCAGTCACTGCAACCTCCGCGGCCACTCCTACCCGCCGCTGTCCGCCCAGGCTTTCCACACGACTGCTGTACGGAAGGCGATTAGGGCCACCACAGAGTCAAAATTATTCTGACATTTTAGAAGGTCTGAGGTTAAAGTCAGAATTTTGATTTTAATACGTCTTTGCAGATCGGAAAAAATGAGTATAGTTTTGGCAAAAAATTCAGAAATGTTCTGGAAAATACTTGGAAGTTTCTGAGTTTGAAAAGTAGATATAAAAATATTATTGTTTTTGGGGGGTTTTTTAAAGAAAAAACAAGGACATTTCTAAGTTTGAAACATCAAAGATTTACCTGAAAAAAGTCAGTTTTTTAGATTAATCTGAGAACTTCTGAGCTTCAATAGTCTAAACTATTATGAAACTCAGAAATGTTTACTCGACACCTTATGAGATTAATCTAAAATTGTCTCAGCTTTTAGTCGTATACTATACATATTTAGTATATAAACCACATTTTGCCATTTTAGAATTCAGACTTTAATCTCAGAACTAAGACTATTTTTCAAAACCTAAAATATATTTCTGAGATTAAATTTCTCTTTTGTATAGAAAGATTAAAACAAAATTTGACATACAGAATGACAAAAGTGCCACAATTCAACAAATGAATAAAAATATATATATTTTTCATTACAAAAGTAATTTTGTTATCCAAAATGTATTAAGTAAATTTTGGATAAATAACTCAATATGAAATGCATTAATGGTGGGGAAATTCATTTATCTTCAACAATACAGATTAAAAACAAAAAAACATAAGAAAATTATGTTTACAGTTATTAAAAAGAATTTGTTTAAAAGAAATGTTAACTTGAGTAGTCATTAAAAATGTACTGCATTTTATTTTATAATAAATTAGAAAATGCAAATATCACTGATGGCCTCAGTATTTAACTTTAATAAGTGAAGCCAAGTTTTGAGAGAATCAAAACTAAGAACACTTCAAGTATGTTTAAAATTATAAATCAACTTTTTCCCCCAGTTGAGTCTTGTCTCGTTTCTTTGTCCAGCTGGACCGGAATGGTGACCCAGTTTTGCATATTAACAAATCCTGTTTTAAATAAAGAAATCAGAATTTGAATGAGTGAGTCACTAACTCTGATTCAGAGAATTAAAAGCAGGGATTTATTAAGTCGTGGTAAATTTGACATTTGTGTGCAGTCTCCCTTGATTTGTATTCCCATCGTGGGAATAATAACGATGACAAACCCAAGAAAAACCCAACTCAGCTTCAAAGTTTGAGTTGAATATTCAGTAAATATGGTGACATCAATATTTAATTTGGATAAATGGAATTAGGTTGTACAAGTAACAGACTAAATTAAAAAAATTACAGAATTTCTGAGGCCAAGTTTACATTCTGCATAGGATTTAAAAAGAACAGAACAGGTTGAACTGTACGGGTGGATGCCAAAAGTGCCACAATCACACACATGAATAAAAACATTTCAGATTAATCTCCTCTGTTCTGATTTATTTTGTAGCAAATTATCATTTCAAAGAAATATCCAAGCTTTTTTCTAGACAGTTTCTGAGCTTAATCTAAAAATGTCAGATTTCTCTGGTGGAGGTTTACTTTTAGTTCATCTCAAAGCCTCTAATTCACAGACATGGAGTCCAGACTAATTTTTCAAAATCAAAGACATTTCTGAGATCAAATTCTGTATGCAAGAATTTTAAAACCACCAAAACAAATTCCACCCTATGGAATGCCAGAGGTGCCACAATTCAAGAAATACAAAAAGAAAAGAAAAAATTGTAGAAAATTTCTGATGATCTCAAAATGTAAGTTTTTTTTCTCCTGAGTTTCCAACTTAAATGCTTTATGTTGAAATTCAGCCATTTCTAAACAGTTATAGTTTTACTTATATTTTTGTGACACTTTAAAAAAAAAGTCACACTGAAGTAATTTATCGTAATTTATAGGCTTTTGATGCTCATAAAAAAAAAAAGTATAATTTTTTTTATACAAGTATCAAGAACCTATAAATTATGATCCAAAATCTACATCAGTATGATTTTAACTGTCTAAAACCAGCCAGTTTTACAAAGATTTTCACACCAAAGCAGATATAATGGGTCGGTACTTTATTTACATGCTGCAGAAACATGAGATGTCGTCTCCGCCAGACGCAGTTCAGCGTCGTGGCGAAGGTTGTTAAACAGAAGACAAGACACATGGCTTTCATTTGAATGCCTAAATCCCTACATGCTTTAATCACTGGACTACCAAGCATTAAGTGGAAAATTCATCATTCAACATCTACTGACCTAGCGCACAAATAATCAGAGAGAGAATGAACAGAATCATTAAATTATCAGAATATGATTAAGTCACTGAGCAAATAGAAAATGTATGATATAGTAAGAAAAAAGCTGTAAAATATTATAGTTTACAATAATTATTCACATTCAAAGGCTTTACATCTCAATACATACACAACATGGCCCCTGAACATGACTTCAATCCAAATATGATTCATATATTAGAATTTAAATAACACAGAATGAACTATAGGCTAAAACAATAGCCATCAATAACCTTATACAAGAATAAAAATACAAAAACTGTATCCTAATATCATTGCATTACTCGCTTCAGATTTAATAATACATCATCTGTACATCACAGTTCGTCAGTTTACAAGCCAGGTAGAGCGTTTCATACACGATGTAACCGACCGCCATCGACTTGATTCAGAATAGATTCGGGTTTTTTAGATCAAGCAAAAAAACAAAAACACTCTTCTGGCGTTCCCTCGACTTTACAGACAGATACAGCAATTTTATCGGTTTATTTGGATCAGATGGATTTCCTTAAACTGACATCCAACCACTCTCACTGCACACACAGCTATAGGAAGAGCGGCCTCCGCAAACGACCTCAAGGTCAAAAATAAAAGCCTTATAACATACTGCGAGCACAAATTAAATCATTCACTTTAATTTCTATTGGGCCAAAAACAAGAGTGAAATAAAAATAATAAAAATAATCAAAGATAAAACAAAGAAGGGCAGAGGGCCCGTTGAGGCAGCCATCTTGTCTGTTGACAGCTTTTTCTGATTGCTTCTGAGAGTGATAGTAGGTGAATGTGTCTGTTCAGCATGGGGAGGTCAGCACGAGATTTTATTTCCAGTGAAGATGAGCCGTTCTATTCCAACAAAATTCTAATTAAAAACGGGAATTTATGCCACGAACACCAGTAAAATGCTACAAAAAGTTCAAGTTTAAAAAGAGCCAATTTTTTTAGGGGTTGCCAATGCTGTCAAAAATGTGCATATCAAATGTTATGTTCAAAGACAAGCCGTTCTATTTCATCAGAAAAAAACCCGGGAAATTTGGAGGAACCAACTCAACAAAATCCAACAAAATTCAAAACATCCAATTATTGTAAAGGTTGCCAATGTTGCCAAAAATATATAAATCTAATCTACATTTCTGGTGCCCAAACTGTAGGAAAAAGCTGGTTATGCATTAACTATGTATGAGACCAGCACATAACTTATTTTCAGTGAAGATGGAAAATTTTCAATCAAAAACAAGAAAAAGGAATTTAGGGGAATTCACACCTCGAGTGAAAGTTAAACAAAAACTAATCTAAACCATCTCATTTTTGTAAGGGGTGCCAATAAAATTTTAACTTAAGCTAAATCTCCAGTGCGCAAACTGTGGTGAAAAACCTGTCCATGCATTTAATATCTACGTGTTCAGCAAACAGGATTTTATTTTCAGTGTGACAAAACCAAGAGGAGCCGTTCTACTCCATCAAAAAAACAAAAAAACACGGGAACTTGGGGGAATTAACAGCACGAAAGCAAGTAAAATAGTACAAAAACTAATTCAAAACATCCATTTGTGTAAGGGTTGCCAAAGCAGTAAAAAAAAAAAAAAAAACTTAAAAAAAAAAAACAGGAATTTACTTGAATTCATGCCATGAAAACCAGCGAAATGGTACAAAAACTATATAGGTTACCAATGCTGTAAAAAAATATATTTTTCACCCAACTGGGGAAAAAAAAAAACCCAGTTTATACACTGAATAGCTGTGTTCAGAACTTCTGATTTTAGTGTAGAACACAGATGAGCCGATCGATTTCGATTAAAAAAAAAAAAAAAACAGTGGGAATTTAGTGGAATTCATGCCATGAAAACCACTAAAAATGGTACAAAAACAAATTATAGGTTGCCAATGCTGTCAAAAATACCCTTTTAAAACTTAAATTACATCTCCAGTGCCCAAAAGAGAGAAGCCATAGGAACAAAACTGGCCATGCAGAAAAGAGAAGCAAGTGATGAAGAAGTAGAAGCTAGTGGCATGTTTACCCGCCCCGATAGAAAAAACAAAAACAACCTTAGTAACAGCTATGAAGGCTCACTCAGACCCACGTCTCACTGCAGACCAGCACTCTCCGCTTTAATTGGACTGCAAGTACCAAGAGACTGAAAAACAACTCCAACACCAGGGGAATAAACGGAGGAAATAAAAGATATAGAGGACATCTGGGATTAAGTGAGACTGAATCAGTTTACAGTATCCGTCACAGCTAGAGTAAATGCACTAAAAGTCGGGCTTTTACGACAACTCGCACATATAACGTATGATTAGGATATGGTTTTAATTAAAGATATCTTGTCAGGCTCTGGTTCATAAAAGCTAGATTCTGTGTTATCGTTGAAGCAGGAAACCAGTCCGTGCGTTCAGGATAGTCCTAGCAGTACCCAAACTCGCTCCATCCCCCCAAACCCAAATTCACCCCCACCTGAAGCAGACTGTACAAAATGGTGGAAGTCTCATCATCCATACATGGAAAAAATGCAACAGAAGCCTCACAGAGAGCACAAAGAACAAGCAAAGCAACCCTGAATCCAAAGTTGTATTTTCCCCCATGGATCTACTCAGGAAAACAAACGAGGTCTAGATGCCAGCGTCTCTAAGTTTGTTTACGTTGCGGTGATGAAGGGCACTAAAGAGGGCGTTATTCTGCTCAGTGATTGGCCTCAGATTGTGCTCCTATAGGCCCGGGTTTTGGTGCCTCTGGTAGATCTTTCTCCACACTTCCTGGATCTTCTTGCACCACCGGTCGGCGTTCCCACTGGGGTCCATCAGGTAGTACGTCCGGTTCGGCTGCAGCAACATCAAAAAAAAAAGAGCGCCTTTAGTCAGAAGCTTAGAATACAGACTGCTACAGGAGACTTTCCTACAAACACCAGTCACTGAAAATTTTTAAGGAGTTCAACATTAAATTTCCCTTGGGATCAATAATGTGTTGAGTTAGAGTTGTTGTAAACAATTATTTTAGAAATCGAATGATTTATCAATCAGAATTTTTTTAAAAAATTGGTAAATTTTTATGCAATATTAATATTGGCCCAAACTTTCATATCTGACCATCTGTAATAATTTTCTGCAGCTTAGAAAATTTCCTTATTACAAAAACAGCTCTTTTAAGTCAACCTGTACAAAAATGACAAACCTAAAATTACATTAAATTTAATACCAATTATTTTACAGCAGGTTGACAAAGACACTAATTATTTTAATAATCAAGTAAACAATTACTGACAACTAATTGATTAATGCAATAAAAACTTTGCGTTGTGTCATTAGGGTTATTGAAGATATAAAAAAAAGGAAGCAAATGGATAACAAAGCTTGTTGGATGATGCAGTAAATTGTCCCAGAAGTTAATTCAATAAGCAATAATATTGTGTAATTATAATGGCATAAAAATAAACTTTAAATCCTAATGAAGATTTAACACTTGAACTGGAAGACAGTTTAAATATCCAAAATAAACAAAACAGAAACAACAAAAAAATGAAACAAAAGAATAAAACAATGGTTCTAGTTGAGACCCAAACAGACTGAACGTTTTTATCATGACAATGGAAATGATTGATGTTTTAATTTATGACGTCCGACTCCAGTTTTGTTTAGTCTGAAGGGGCAGAAATAAATGGTGGTTACCGTGTGAACGAAGAAGGTTTTGAAGTTTTTGGCCTCGGGGCGCAGCTCGGAGGACCAGGGGATCTCCCCCTTCAGGACCCGGTTGACGGGATCCACGTAGTACAGGTGAGGCCCTTCGGTCAGCAGCAGCTGCCTCCGGCGGGCGAACAGGCCCTGCAGGGAGCCCAAACATTTCAGCAACAAACCTTCCCCAGCACCGTTTCACATCAGTCCATATCAGAGACTTTGGGTTAGTTTTTTGTTTACACGTCTCAATTACAACCAAACATTTCCCGTTTTATCCGGTTTTCCCTCCTTGTTGCTTTTTATTTTGAAACAGTTTAGAGCCAAAGTGGGGAAACTTTAAACTGCTGCATGTTACCAGCAGGTTGCTGCTGGCAACCAGAGAGCGAGTTGATTATTATTGTGTTAATAAACGTATTGATAACGTGTTTATTGCAATACACACCGTTATCAATTTATTGTCCAGCTCTGGTGGTTTTGATGCTTTCAGCTTCCAAACTGGATTAACGAGATTAAATTTTCCATTGGGATCAATAAAGTGATTTCTAATTGAATTTGAATTGGAGGAAGAAATGAGCTCCAGTGGAAAATAAAAACAATTCAAATTTACCAATTAGATTTTTCTTTCTAGCAAGTTTTAAGATGGTCTCAAAACTTTGGCAAAATATTTGTAGTTTGAAAAGTTGCAAAATAGAAATGTTCTAGAATTATTATTTTAAATCTGAGTTTGCTATAAATTTCAGAATTTTTATAAGCAAAGTTTCATCAGGCATCAATATTCATTTTAGAATACATTTTGAATTCCTGAATGAACCGAAGCATTCAGAGAATATTTGCTGTAGTTTGTTTTTGCGCGTCTGACCAACGTAATCAAACTACTGTTTGTTTGAAATTGGAGGTTTCACTGCTTGTTGCTCTGACTGAACAGATTAAAGTTTTTAGATGTTTTACTCAACATGTTGGTGTATTTCAGTGTGTTGTGCAGCTGCAGTTATTAAATAAATGTGTAATTCAATTAATTTATGTCAGACTGGATCTAGGAGTCACACACACCTTGCGTTTATCCACTGGTCCCATCTTCAGGATCAGATTATTCTCCACAAACTGATGCCTGCAGGATCCAAAAGAGAAAATCTCAAACAGAAACTAATCAACTGAACCATTTCCTTTCAAAATAAAAGCCTCTAACAGCGAACTTACCAAGGGTTCCCATTGGTCTGTTTGTCCAGCAATAATTTCTTTTCTTCCTCGGTGAACAGCAACTCCAGCTCAAACGAGTTGTTGTCCAGATCGTGGATGTACTGCTCGATGTTGCTGCTGGACCGCTGCGGCGGCGCCGAGTCGTGCGGCGACAGGGAGTGCGACGAGCTCGACGGCGCCACCTGCATGTTGCTGAACTGGCTCAGGAGGTCGTCGTACTAAAATTCACACAATTACAGAAAAAAATAAATAAAACTTCAGCAGCTGGCGAGTTATCCAAAGGCTTCAGGATGTTTTCTAACAGGGCTGCAAGAGCAGGGGTTCTCAAAGTGGGGGTCAAGACCCCAAAGGTGCGCACAAGACACCAAATGGACGGTCGAAAGATGATTTCAGACTCATCATAATGTGACCTCAGAGGTATATAGAGGGCCAAAATATGAAAAAAAAAACCCATCAATAACCATGTTGTAAAAATCTAACTTAAAATATCAAACTAAAGAATTTTTGCTTTTGAAAAAAATAGGTCCTTTGAAAATGCATACGATTTGTCACTATAGTCACAAATAGAATGTAATAACGTTCTTTATATGGAGTTTCTGCAACTCAAATTTAAGACTTCTAAAGAGAATCATGAATGAAATCCAGATCTGCATCACAACAAAAATTTTCAGAAGAAACTTCAAATTTGATTTGATTGGTTGTTTCTTGTTAGCACTGGGAGGAGCTAGAGAAGTTATGCCTTATGTTTCTTTTTTCACAGATTATCTCAAACTGTGGCAACATTGGGCAACTCACATTCCCGTAGCAGTCCTCATCGTCTTCAGACATCGCAGGCAGGTAGGGTGTGAGCTTTGGGGGCGTCTGCAGGTGCAAGTCGCTCCAGGAAATGGTGTCGAAGAAGGGATGCTGCCTCAGCGGGTCGTACCCTCCCATCTCTTCACAACCGAGCCGCTTGGATGGGTCCAGTGACTGAAGGGAGGTCAGAGAGAATACTGAAACAAACCATCCTGCAAACACCAAACCTGCAACCATGCATTTGAATTTCAATCAGAGATGCTGCACGGATTGATGACTCACCAGAAGTTGCTCAACTAGATCCTTGGCTTTGGGGAAGAATTTTTCTGGGAACTCGTACTCCAGCTTTATTATTTTCTGGAATATTAGGTACTCGTTTCTGTGACAAAGTAAAAAAATAAAATAAATTACAAAAAAGTTTCCTTTCTTAGATCTTGTTTTACCACCTTTACACTTATTTAATACATAATTTTTCAAATCACAAATTTCTATCTTTAAGTGCGATACATTAGTAGAGGCCCTACACTGTAAAAACATTTTTAAAGTGTTTAGTCCAGTTTCTAGTGCGAATGTCTGTATGCATTAAGAAAACAATCCAAAAGTTACTTTTCAGAAAGAGGATCTCATTTCAAGTCAATAATTGTAAATATTAATGAAAAATTACAAGTTCCACCAACAGATTATTTTTCCTAGAATAACACATTTTTCCTATTATAAGTTAAATAATCTGCCGGTGGAACTAGAAGTTTTTATTATTAAAGAATTGACTGAAAAGAAGCTCCTACTTTTAAATTGGTTTCCGTATCTCAAGTGTACAAAGAGATGCGTTTCATTTTGACCAAAAGTGATTGGTATGACTGTGTTTTTGCAGTGTAAATTCCCTCTAAACCAGGGGGGTCAAACTTCAGGCCTGGAGGCCCTGAAACTTTTAGATGCGCCTCTGCTGCACCACCTGAATACAATAATTAGGTCATTAAGGCTCTGGAGAACCGAGCTCCACAAGGAGGAGGTAATTCAGCCGTTTTATTCCAGCAGCCCTGGAGGGCTGAAGCCAACTGGTATGCTCAAACTGTTGTAGTCCAACTGGAAACCAGTCTGAATCAACTGGTTTGTGTTTCAAGAGTAACTTGTCATACTGACCAACTTTTGAGACAAAATAAAAAATGAAAAAATCTATCAGCATGCGATGCATCCAGCAGCAGGTTGCATTTTGAAAACAAAAAATGAACAACAAATATAAATTGAACATCTAAAGTGTTCTTACCCAGCTCTGAATGGTGGTAAACCAGCCACCAGCTGATAGATAATACACCCCAAAGCCCACAGATCAGAGCTGCACAAAAAACAAAAAATATGTTTAAGCAAGAAAATCTTAAAATCTGAAAAGAGTCAAATGATATTTTTGAAAAGCACCTCTTGCAGGCTGATTTTTCTGTTAGCAGCTCTGGAGACACGTACTGCGCTGTCCCGACAAAGGAGTTTGCTCTTGCTGGAAAAAAAAACAAAACCAAAATATTTATGAACACCAGAGCTTGTATAGCAGCTCTAGACATCCTGAACCTAATATTTTTCTTTTTGAAATCGGTTTGTTTCCTGAAAGCTTTCTCCCCAGCAGCAGTCCAAGTCAATGTGTGTCTAAATGAACGACTTCAAAAATGACATTGTAATCACATTTAGAGAAAGGTTAGAATATCCTGCTGAACGTTTTCCTTCACTGACTAAATGTTGCTCTGTGACTAACCTTGAAGGGAAAAAAAACTGACTGAAAATCACCGATATATGGTACTGATGGGATTCCTACAACAACATCAAAACCAACCAAGTTAATAAAACAATCGACTGTTGCCAGTTACTTCAAGCAAATAATCAGATTTTACAGTGATATCTTTCTCTTACATGCAAATTTATAGTCTATGTTGACGCAACATTTCTGGCAACAAACCACTTTTATTCTGAAAATCCAAATATAATCCACAACACACAAAACACAGTCATGAAAACGCACCACTAACACCAAAATCATCATACTAATTATTTACACAATTTAAGCAGAGAAAAGAAACTATGCTATTTTTACCTTGTTTACTGTCAGACGATAACTGTTTCGCTGTTCCAAAATCTGTTATCTGGATGTGCATCTCCTCGTTCAAAAGAATATTTTCTGGTTTCAAATCTCTGAAATAAAAAAAAAATTTGATTAAAAAATATGTACAGACTCAAATACCAGCAGAGAGCAAGGAGCAGATCCTTACCTGTGAATTATCCCCTTTTTGTGTAAATATTCTAGAGCACAAACTATTTCGGCCGAGTAGAACCGTGTACAGGTCTCATCAAACGAACCAATTTTGCGAATGTATTTTAGCAGTTCCCCGTTCTTGGCATAGCTAAGACCAAAATCTAGAAAAACATCTGTTAAGGAAAATTTTAAAAACAACAATGTCATCTGAGCAGGTGAAGCAAAACAGCTGAAAATCCAGAGAAATTTGATGCTAAAGGAATAAAAAACAACTTTCTGATCAACAAAACTAAGAGCCACCATATCGTACCAATAACAACCATCTTCAGTACGGCTGTTTTTACTGAGGAAAAACAACTTGATGTTAGTACATTAAGAAACTGATCCTAATTTCAATTATTTTAATATCAGATTAGTCTGAAAAAAAAACAAACAACTAAATTGGCACATTTTGCAGATTTGTCATTTAACCCTTCAGCTTAATAAATAATTGAACTTTTTTTAAATTAAACATTCTATTGCCTAAAATACTGAAACGTTTGTAGCAAAGGATGCATCTGCAACTAAAAAAAACTAACATTAAAATGTCAAAATCTCAGTCCGTTCTTCTCGACTCAACAATGCAGCTAATCTGGGGATTATTTTTTAGATTAAGCCATTGATTTAATAGAAGTTAATTTTTTATATGTATAAAAGTGAAGCAGAAGACGCTAAAACTATCCTATTTTCTAGGCAAGTGTGCATGTTTACAAACTAACTTTTTTTAATTCTGAATGTAAAGTGTACTTATTCTTTGAGCAGTAAATGATTAATCAATTACTAAATTCAGAGTCAGTGAGATGTTTAAGAAGGAAGTTGGATAACGATTAGTTCAGCAGATAACAGGAAGGTTGAATGTTGCCGTTTTATCCTTGTAGAAACCCCAGAGTTCAGTTACCAAGGGAGCAAATACACAATAACCAAAACTAACCTCACTCACTGTTACTATAAGCTCCAGAACCGGTCGTTTTATAATTATAAAAAGTCAATTTTACAGTGACTCATTTCTCACACACTGTGACATCACCTCTGTTCCCAAAATAAATAATTAACTGACCATTGCAGAAAAACAGAAAAATATCCAGAATGCTTTTAAAGCAGCATCAGAATGAGCGAGGCACCAATGAAAGGATACACAACTTCTCATCGTCTTGAAATGTGAAGTAGAGCTTTACAAAGAATGGGTGATCAAGATTTGACATCAAATCTCGTTCTCTTTTCACGTACTGGACTTTATTCTCCTTCATAATGTGGCGCTTCTCTAAAATCTTAACTGATGGAAAGAAAAAAGAAGAAATATTTAAAACATTTTTATAAGAAGATTAATATTCAGTAAATGGTTGCATTATTACTGACTTGCATATTCTTTCCCTGTGGCCAACTCTCTTGCAAGAACAACCTGAAGAACAAAAACAAGGAAAACATTAAAAAACAAAGTTGCAGTTTGTAACTTTCCTAAAATATTAAAAATATTTTAAGTATTTTTTGAAAATGTCAGTGTGACAGTTTGGTATGAGACTCCTCTGCCTTCTCCCAATGTTAAGTACAAACAACCAATCAGGGCCAGGAGGCGGGTCTTGGTGCTGTCAATCATCCTCATGTACTCTAAAACAGTGAAGCTGTTTATCAGCTGTCATGCTAACCAGGCTTAGCATTAATGACATTCTCTGCTGTGCTGTAGCTAGCAGAGAATGCTAACATTCTATGCTAACTGCAACATAGCAGAAAATGCAAACATTTGGTTAATAATTGGCTATAGCCGTTAGCATTCTAGCAACCGAAGGCATGTCATGATAAATTTTGCTGGATAATAAATTTTACCAGAAATTATTGCGATAAATTAAAATATTGCTATGCTTTAGCTGAATGTCACAATAGCAAACTATTAACCCAAGGCTAGCATTCTATGCTAGCTGCAGCATAGCAGAGAATTTTGTTGATGTTAAAAGATAGCTGGCATGGCAGCTGACTGCAGATAAACGGTTTTCCGCCGTTTCCATTAGCATATTTAGTATGCGAGGTTGATAACGCCAAGCCCCGCCTCCTGGCTCTGATTGGTTGTTTTTGATACATTTGTTCAGACGGCAATAGTAGCTCAGACAGGAGGAGGAGATGGATCTTTTCACATATTGTTTCATAAAATGGAACATGAGTTTTAACAAATATGTAAAAACATATTTTCAATAAAAGTTACACTTTGCAGCTTTAACAGCTGCACCAACCAAAGTAAAGAAAAAAGAAAAATCTGTTTCGCATTCACCTCAGATGAACTAAGGATGACTCAATCAAAAGAATGCTAGCATGTAGCAACATCTACCCTAAAAACAGAGGCAGGAATTCAGCCGCCGTACCGTTGAGAAGGAGCCCTCTCCCAGAATCTTGCCAAACTTGAAGTCCTCGGGCTTCTTTTTGCGCGGCTGAGGCATCTGGGCGGCTGGCTGCGGGCGGCCGTCGACGGTCTGGGAGGCGCCGGGCGCTCCTAAAGCGCAGGGCTGCGGGGATGACCCCTCCATGTTGGGGCAGTGACTGCTGCCTGTGCTCGGGATGGTGAGTGGCGAACAGGAGTCAGGGTGGTTTCTGGCCATTGATGGATGTGAGCAGGAACAGATGGCAACGTTGGGCTGAATGGGCACAACATCATACTGGAACAACAGAAAACATCCAATCAGCACGGCGGTGGCGCAGCTCTACTGTAAAACTTCTTGGGTTTTATAATTTATTCACTTCAAAACAAAAGCCTGTCACCATAATTTTCCTGAAAGAAACCATCTCAGAAATTATTACGATAAGTGATGAGTTTTGAGACAATTTTCAGAAAGAACACGTTCTCAAAGATCAATAAACTTTAAATATTAAACATTTAACACTGGAGCTGGAAGACATTTTAATAAAACAAATTATGAAGTTCCTGTAAACAAAGTTGTCCTTTTACAAGAAGGTTTAATTGAGACCAAAACACCAGACTGAAAACATATCAGTTTATGGTAGAAAAAGACAAATATCATACAAATGTAAATTATTGAGACAATTTTAACTCATCATACTATTAATGTATTCTTTGCAACATAACTAGTAATCTCTTTTTTCAATGTAGATAATTTTACAACTTTCTCAGTTCTGCACACATTTTATCAAAATCTGTACCAAGTTTGGTTTAAAAAACAGTTTGGATGAAACATTTAACATGTCTTAAGAAATCAAACCTTATTTTGGTTATTTAAAATGTCTTCCAGTTCTGTACAAAGTCAGACTTTATTGGAGGGTGAACTTATCAATAAATTACTTCAAATTGACAAAATTAGCATTTACCCCAATAATTTCTGGAACAATTTATCGTTCAGTAAAATTTGTCAAATTTCCTCTCAATCTAATCTTTTTTCTTAAATAAGTTTAATTGCAGACAAAGTAAATAAAAAGTAAATAAGTTTAATTGCAATAAAAGTTTCTGAAGATTGATTCATTTCAATAATCTCAATGTTTATTAATAAATTAAACCAGATATCAGCTCTGATCATCAACAACTGGGAAAGCATTTTTTCCTTCAATAAACACATCAAAATTAGGAACTCCCACATAAATGCAGATATTAATGTAATGTTTATTTCCTATTGTACCCTAAAATACTCAAAAGATGAATCTATGGCTCATTTTTTATGCATCAGTCCTACAGAAGTGTGATCCAGACTCACTCTGGTAAAATTTTAGAATGTTGTTCGTTTTTACATAAAACTAAAATACATACAATTCAACACTGAAAGGCATTAAAGTTTTAAACTAAAACTTACAAACTAGATAAAGTAAATAAACCAGATATCAGCTGTGGTTTATTTACTTTATCTAGTTAAAGTAGAAGTTGGGCTCCAAATACAATATAATTATTAATCAAACGAGTTTAAAATCAATGACATTCGGAATATATATATAAGAACTGTTCACATTCTGGGTATAACATTACAATCTTATACTAAGACTTCACCCTGGTATATTAGTGGGTCAAAGTCTAGTGTTGATAAACAAATGACTACCAAGGAGCAGCTTCCTGGCCTGGTGGTCCCACCCCATGTCAAGGTCTCTCTTCATAGAACACCAGAAAGCTTTCAACACAAACTCTTTAGAAATGATTTGATATTTTAACTAAAACATTCATGAAACAAAAAGTGAAACCCACCAACTGACATAAACCCAACAATAACTTCTAGTGCTTTCCCATCTCTGCACTTGCTGATTATTTCAGCGACAGTTATTCGGAACATGCGGACCAAACGCACCCATTAGTGTTTTTGTTGTTTTGGTTTTTTTTAGCTTCATTTAGCCCGGTTAGCTTCTCTTCATTTAAAAGCAAGGTGTGGCCTTTAGCTGCCCATTCCGGACTTGACTCTATTATTGCCAACTGTCCGTGAAATAACCTACAGACTCTCTGTTACTGAGTCAGTCAACATAATAATAGCTGGTATACAGCCGTGAACCAACATTTTCCTAACCATGTGTACTTTGGTAACAACTAGCCTGTGCGAACTTTCCATGCTAACCAAGCCCTGTTAGCAGACTAGCATTAGCATTTGCTTATCTTATCAAATAAAGCCGATGTTCTTTGGAAAACAGCAGCAGTTCTATAGAAAAGCGCCCTTACGTGTCACAAAAATGACTCTGCGTGCACATGAAGCAGTAAATAATGGTAGAGGATAATGTTCCTAATGTAAACGAACATAAACAATTCAAACTGACATGTCTAACTTTTACCTACTTGTGATTCTAGCTGAATTTAAAGGCTCTTCCCATCACGGTGATACTTTGAACGACTGGGGCGCTTTTTTCGGCAAAGCACCGGCCATCACTGACAGCAAGTTACAAACTTGATGCTAACAGTTCACTAGCTCAGCTTAGCATAGCAACCAACTTCAAACCTATCTGCTGTGTTCAGATACTGGTTCCCAACGCGCTTTATGTTACTTACGTAGCTTGTTCTGTTGAACCTTTACAATTGTAAATCGAAAACCACGAAATTAACACAAAAATAGCACCTTCAAGAGAAATGTTGAACGCACTAAAGCTATCTTTAGCTTGCTAGCAAAAGGAGTATCGGTCGAAAGCGCGAACCAACGCCAACACCAGCCGTCTATTCCCGAACAGGGGGGGAATAGTCCCACACAGTTTCAAAACACAATATTAGTCCTCTTGACTCATTATCTGCTTCAGAGGCAGTTAAACAGAAGGTCGTCATGGACTAATCCAAAAGCCGGAACGCCTATAGTAGCTTAAACCCTGCGATGCTAACGATGCTAGTTAGTCACAGCGATGTTTTATAGACGAAGGCCGCACATAACTACTTCTTCTGATCCAGCTGCTACACGCCACAAACCGCGCACCGGCTTCGAAGACCCACTCTCGGGAAGTTTTAACACTCACCATCTGACTTGTAGCTCTTGCCATGTGAGTTTTCCGTGAGTATTTATTTGGAATAGAATAATTAGAGAAGCTCCAGTAATGGCTGCCTCCGTGCCTTCATTTTCGAGGTGTGACGTCGTTCCACAACAATGTTACCGCAGGACAGCAGAGGAGAGTCCTGCCGTGTCAGTGTCCGCCCCCACCGCCACGAACAACCCGCTGAACTTTATAGCGAAAGGCTCGATCACATTCACACATGTGGCCTGCAAAATGCGTGGACCACACTGGAACTGGGTTCTGTTTATTCTGCTATCAGTGCAACAACTTGCCATGATTTGAAGACTAAGTGGTGTCATTCCTGAGTTGGACCGGTTCTACTGTGATCCAAACACATTAAAATGCCATTTATTTAAATTTCACAAATCAAATAATTGTTTAATATTTTACTATTAAAATATTTTTAAAAAATCAAGCCAAGTTTTTAAAGAGTGCAAGTGTTGTGGAGCAGCTCTAGAGGCATAAAAAGCTTTTAAAAAGCACTTTATTAAACTTTTATATATCAAGTAAAAGCTAAACAAACCAAAATCCTACTAGTGTACATCAATCTCATCAACATTTAAAGTCTCAATAATTTAGTTCCTGAGTTGGACCACTCCTAGAGTTATCCAGATGCATAAAAAACTTTTAAATTGGCATTTATTCAACACATACAATTCAAATAAAACTTCAATCAAAAATGGTTTTAAATATTCTATTATTATGCAGATGACATTCAGCTTTATACCCCAAGAAATCTGGAATAATTAGCTTCATAACCACATAAGAAAGTTGATACAACTCGCTATAAATAGTTTTGGTTTTTAATGAGTCAAGAAATTTTGGTGATTTATTCACTGCTGCTATTAACAGAACTGAGAAAATCCTGGTGGATTTGATGTTTTTTTCTTAATAATCCACTTTTACAGTCTCATGTAGTTTATGTAGTGGGTAACTCCAGGCCTGGAAGGACGGTCCCCTCCATTTTTTCCATGTGTCTCTATTTCAACACACCTGAGTCAAATAATGAGGTCATTAGCAGGACTGTGGAGAACAAGACTGCACTTAGGAGGTGATTGAGCGATTTGATGCAGCTGTGTTGGACCCGAGTTGCAGGACCAACACAGCTGGAATTCCAGGTCAATTTTAAGGCCTGGAATTGCCCATCCAAGGTCTACATGGTTTCTACATGCTTCAAAAAAATACATTTTCCATTTTCCACACAATAGCTTCATGGTTTGAAAATTATTGTATCTTTAATTTAATTTATTTACAGTATTCCAAATGTACTATACAAATAAAAATGAGGAGATTTTCTCGTCTTTTCTGGAGAACGTTATTGGTCTTCTTCATCTTGATGCTGTGAAAGTGTCGACCCGTTGAGTTTTGTGTTGTCAGGCTCTTCGTTATCTTCTGATGCGTCGCTGTCTTCACTGGAATCATCATCTTCAGCGACACTAAACACAGAAATCACGATTTAATGTCAGGACTAAGACTGGATTTTTAATCCAACTAAAAATACTCGGAAAAAATACAGTTACTTTCCACTTAAAGTGGCTTAGGCTTAAATTTCAAAACAAAACCAGAGAAGAGCAGTTATGTTACATAAGAAAAGGAAGTGACCCAGCATTGTTTATATCTCTATCACTAAAAACACATTTAAGGCAGAACTTTCTCAAGTTTTCGAGATGAAAAGAAGGAGGCGGGTCTTTATCCTCCTGAACATCATCACTATCAGGTTTTATTGCATTGTCTTGGTGTGGAGTGCTTCAGGTAGCAGCTTAACCAAACGTTATTCTGCTGTAGCACCAAATAAAAACCAATAATAGTAGCAGGTCAGGATATCAAGCTCCAGTAGTATCACACAACTTTCTCCACTGCTTAACACACATTTTATCTAAACTTTAACATGTTTGTGGCTAAAGCGGAATTTATTTAACGCTATGAAGCGTTTACCTCAGAGGTCTGTTGAGATTTCTACACTCCACTCCAGAGTTAACATCAAATGGGTCTGTAACAAAAACAAAACAACTTTTTACTACAAATTCTAAACATTTTCCAGGCACACACCACCATTTTATAGCAAAATTAAATGATATACATATCAAATATAAATAAAAAAAATTGACTTTGTAATTCAACGCCTCCAGAAAGTCATGCCAACATGGCTCCTCTATTGACCCTTTAATGTTTGTACCAGCGCTGCTCTGAGCAGCAGCTCCGATAATGAGCTCAGCAGTTCCACTAGCTGGTTGCTAATTGCTGCTGGCTAGTCTGAAGGAGCCGAGTGGGGGAGGAGCTGCGCCTCGGTCAATTCAGGCGTTTTAACAGTTAAATGGTTGCCTTGGAGATTAAAGGATTTCTGAACCATGCATGAAGCAATCAAAGCAACAGTCCAGGTTCGTTTTTGATGAAGGAAAAACACTGAAACATGATGGGAAGACAAAAAAATAAATTTGCCTCCTTTATTAATTGAATAAAGTGAAATCTTAAAATGTTATTTTAAACATAAAACATTACTTTAGTTCTTCAGAAAACTCATGCTTTTCAATAAATAGGAAATATTTAAAGTCACAGAAACAGTAAAAAGGCTGAGATAAATAATTTCCCCTGTTTTTTTACCAAACTCCTCTTCTTCCGGTTTGGACGTGAGAAACTCCTTCTCCACAGACAGCAGCTCTTCCTCAGAGCGACACGCAGCGTAGCGGTCAAGAAGAACTCTGTTGAGTTCAAGAAACACCGTCCCCCACTTGAATTTCTTCAGCAGGAGAACCGCCAGTTCCTCAAACCCTGCAGCAAACCACAAACAGCTGCAGCTGATGGAGAGCGAAAACGTTTCCAGTGATGCAACAGTCAGTCCTGTTTTAATCAAGGCTGCCGCTAATAATTAGTCTATCAATTATTCTATTGATTAATCGGCTCAAAAATGGGAACATTCTGCAGGTTTCTAATTTAACTTACTAGGTACATTAAAAGATGCAAACAAACAATTACTTTTTTAAGTAAGAGTGAAAACATTTTATTTGCAGCATTCCTTTGGTGAATCTAAAACTGCCACTTAGATAAAACAGATTTAGATAAAGGTATTCTTATTGTAAGTGCAAAATGTATTTATATTTTTTATACAGTTTTGCCTTATATTTTGGAATATGTTGTTTTTGAGTCTGTATACTCCAGTCAATGATTAACTGATTAGTAGATTAGTTGAGAATTATTTCAATCAATTAATTCGGATTAATTGTGTCTGATCATGATTAATCATGTTAGTTGCAGCCCTATTAGTTGATGATTATTTTAATAATCTGATTAATCGTTTCAGCCCTCCGGTTGATCACCGCAGCCTGAACTCGTACCGACGATGGCGAACGTGGCGGCGAACGCCTCCACACAGGACAGTTTGCAGGGCTTGCCGTAGTTGACTGGGTTTGCGGCGACGAGGTACGGCAGCAGCCTGGGGTGGCTGCCCACCATCTTACTGAACGGCGTCTCGTCCAGTTTGGCCCAGGAGCAGTCAATCACAGCCAGGCCATTCTGAGCCACAATCTCTCTGTAATAGAATAGAGCAGAATAGACTTTATTGATCCCCAAGAGGAAATTGCTTATTTGTTGAAAGCTACTCTGTCCTTGGTAATAAATACAAAGTTTGTAAATTATATATATATTCATTTTGATAGTTTCAAAATGAATAAATATAAACAAAGAATGAAATAAACAATCACATGCAATATATTAATCGATAACGTATAATTAGCACAGACTTGTAAAGCAATGACTTTCTGCTCGCTCTGTGGTTCACTTTAACGAAATGAGTCTCCAGCCTGCAGAGAGGATGAAACTCGTCATCCAAGACGGCCTGCATCTTGGACAGGATCCTTCATTGTGTCAGAGTCCAGCTCCACTCCAACGACGTTACCGGCCTTCTGGATCAGTTGGTTCATATATTTGTACTAATCAGTGCAAATGTCAGAGAGTTGAACGTTCTGAGAGACAGATCATCAATGAGGAAGTATTGCTGGACGACGTGGCTGAAAATCTGATAAGGATTTCATATCAGTTGATATTGATAATTATTGATTAGTTTTTAAATATCTGAAATACAACCAAACTGGTGGTGTGACTTTTCCTGTTTTATCCAGTTCTCTCTGATCTTTTAGCAGTCATGAAGCACAGTGTCAAAACCTCAAACTAAATTTGATTTGAATTATGTATTAATATTGGTCATCCGTCTATCGCGGTATAGATCATTATTGATTTGCATACCTGTCTGCTGGTGTCACATACTTGGTTCCCATGGGACTCAGGATGAGTCCGCTGAACCGCTGGTTGAGGCGCAGGTTGCGTACGAAGCCTTTCCGTACCAGCTTTCTGCCGGTGCAGCGTTTGGGATCGCAGTGACCCAACTCCCACATGGCGAGGGGACACGGCAGCTTCACCTGCGGAGCGTCCGCTCCCTCCTCTGGGTGGAGGCTGGCTGGAAAGGTGGAGCAAAGCCAGAAGAGTCCGCAGTGAACGCTTCGCTTCACCACAAATAACATCTAGATCACTGTATGACTGGGAATCTAATTCATATTTTAAATGTTGTAATCTAAAAAAAATTTTAAAAGTCATAAAATGTACAAATCTAATAGTATCTTGTTAAGCTGACTATTGCCATTAAACAGTTAATTTCATAACTATTTAATGGCAACAGTTTGTGGAAGTGGAAGGAAAATAACAAATTATTGTAATTTTGTTTTCAAACAAAACCTTGCAAAATCTTACCAAGTATTGTTGGTCTTTTTTGGTGCAAATATCTTAGCACACTTGAAATAGTTAATACTTCCTTAATATTTATAAATAAGTACCAGCTTCAGTGGGATTATTTATATCAGGGTAATAGTAAACTGTTTGTTTATTTCATTTATTTCACAGTTTAAAATAAACATGTCAATTTCTTAACTTCTGCAAGAAATTAACTTGTGATCAGTTATTTTAGTTGATACAGATTGTTAGTTTTCAACAAAATAAATAATCAGTGATGATACGAGTGCATAAATGAGACGTGAAACACACTTTTGGTTACCTTCCAAAGCAGAGTGCATTTCTTCAGTGAACGTCTCCAGTGATTTTCCCTTCATTTTGTGCCGTTTATCTTTGCCTTTGCTGTCCGGTCGCACAAACTTGCCTGGTTTCTTTCGCCCCATGTTGCAGCCTGGGATCTATTTTCAGACGCTAAAATATCAACACTAAGCAGCTTCCTGGCGAGCCGCGGACTCTAAATTTGCTTTCCTGAAAAGGTTTTCAGTTCCATCTGCTCATTAAACTTCCAGAAATCCAAACATCTCCTCTCAATTTTAAGTTTTTAATCCTCCTTTTCACTTTACATGGCGGAAACACGCCACACTGTAGCCTGACCACACTGCGCATGCGCTCAGGCTCACGTGACTGATCACTTGACACAACAAACAGAGAAACCGGAAATGTAGCGATTATTCATCCAAAGATATATCATGTGGAGTTTAAATAGCACAGTGTATGTTTTATTGAGGACATGGCTTGTTTGTGTTTCGCTTTTCGGTGAGTTTTCCATTCTTAATTTTTAGTAAACAAACAACTGGACTTTTATTTGATCATCAATTTGTTTTTCTCCATCCAGTCAGCCTCGGACTGGCTGGGAAAATGAAGATTGTGGAGGAGCCAAACACGTTCGGGTTGGTGAATTAATGTCTATAATGTCTCAGGTTTTGTGCTGCTGATTTATCTTCACTGTTTCTCTGTGTTTTCAGGCTGAACAACCCGTTCATGGCGCAGGGAAACAGGCTGCAGCCCAAAGTCTCTCCAGCGCCTGTGTCTGGTAAGGAGACATGATCTCATTTAAAGGTCTTAAAGCCTGGTCACTTTAGAAACAGCTACCATAAACTCAAAGTTAGATTTTATGTTTAACCTCCAAAGATTCACCATAAAATAATTAAATGTAATTCTGGAAATCCTTCGGTTCCCTGGACTTCCCCAATGGCGGTTACTTCGTCCTTTCTGGTGTTCCTCAGGGATGTGTGCCGAGTCCCCTGCTGTAAATCCTGTTCATAACCTGAAATGGGATATTTACTTCCAGTAACCATGTACCATTGCTTATTGATTTGAAATCTGAAATTTATCTGTATCTCATCATTAACTGTAGTAATATCCTCTTAAAGGCCCGGCGCATCTTTATCGTCTTGCAGGAAAGTGCTTCAGTCTCATAGAATCGATGTGAGTGAAACACCCTGACCTGAAGAAGCAGGATGCATGTGTTTGATCCATTTCACATCTGATTACATGTAGAACCAACAACACACCTGTAACTGGTTCTTCTGCAGGTATAAATACGAGTTCTGTCCCTTCCACAACGTGACTCAGCACGAGCAGTCGTTCAGGTGGAACGCCTACAGCGGCATACTGGGGTAAAATGACACCAAAACAGATGCTTTCATTAGAGGTTTTAATTTGTGAATTCTTATTTTTAAGTGTTTCTGTGGGTCTTTGTTGATTTCTGGTAGGATCTGGCAGGAGTGGGAAATGACCAACAATACTTTTACAGGCATGTGGATGAGAGACGGCGACACATGTGGAACCAGAAACAGAGAAACAAAGGTGCTTAAAATAGTTATTCTTCTGCTTCACCAAAGAATAACCATTTTCCTCCTCTGACCAACCAGCTGACTCGTCAGTACCAACCCTGGTTCCTTAAAGCTGCACTATGTAACTTTTACGAAAATAGTTTGATAAAACTGTCACCATGTTGTGACAGTGTAATATAAGACAGATAATCTGTGAAAACATTGATCTCTTCACTGAGCTACTATTGCCGTCTGAAGAAATGCACCGAAAACAACCAATCAGAGCCAGGAGGAGGGTCTTAACGCTGTTAATTAATCTCATGAACCCGCTGAGTTAATGGTGAAGAATCAACTTACAGTTACAGGAAAATCATTTTTCCTCTACCCCAGGTGGCTATGCTAACTAGCTTTGATGTTTATAGCAGAATAAGAAAAGAGCAAGCAGCTGGCGAGCATGCGAGTGATTGACAGCAATAAGACCCTCTTCCTGGCTCTGATTGTTTCTGTTTTAGTGGTGCATTTGAATTAAATTTAATTGAATATTTTAATAATCCCAGATGAAAATTCACAATTAGTAATAGTCTACTTTTACAAACTCTCATTTTAAAGAGAATATATTTCAGTTCTAATGAGGCGTAAATCTTTTGTATCTTTTTTTTTTAATCGCTAGAAATGATAAAACATTTGGAGTTGACATGTTGGTATGGAGCCCCAAATGAACACCTGCTCGGGGCCCCAAAACGGCTTGGACTGGCCCTGGGGAAGTGCTATAGCTGGATTTAGGTAAAGGAAAGAACCCTTGACTAAAGATGGGGTCGTGTTTGTTTAGGTGGTTCTGGTTTGCAGCAACAGCAGCAAACTGGTCCAGGTGTCGGAGCCCAGCACCTGCATTTACTCGTTGACCTTTGAGACGCCGCTCGTCTGCCATCCACACTCGCTGCTGGGTACGTCTGGGGAAATTCGCCTTCCATACCGCTGTGCATATCATAATGGCGACTGTGTTTGGTCTGCAGTGTACCCCACCCTGAATGAGAAGCTGCAGAAGGAATGGGACGAGGTGGAGCAGGCTCGCTACGACGGCCTCATTACTGAGCAGGTAGGAAGCAGCAGATTAAAAACAGAACATTTCTGACCCGCCTGAACATGAAACTCCAGATTAAACCCACCAGACTGAGTGCTGCTCATGTTTCTGTTTGTTGCAGGGCTACAACAACCTTCTGAGAGACGTTTTTGAGGATGCTGGACTCCTGAAGAGCAACAAAGTGACAGAGATTGTTCCAGAGGCTGAAACACGTTCAGAAAAACACAACTCCTTACAGAAATGCGAAGAAGTATGCTGATTAGGAATGCAAACAATTTACAATTAACCATTTATCAGGTTAAAATTGTAACTAAAATGAACAAGCTAACAAAAACTGAAATTCAGAACATTTTTGTCAACTAAAATTAAAATGAAAATCAGTGGGAAAAAGTAACTAGCTGGAACTGTACTGTACGTTTAAAAAGACTAAAACATACTAAAAATAGATATAATTAACACTGTTTTTCAGCTACCGGCAAATTACAGCACTCCGTACTGGCTGTGCTACTCTCGTCCACAAAATGGCAAAATGTTTTGAAATTTATATCTTCTTATTACCCAACCTTAGTATACATAATTACAATACAAAATTATGGAAATTAACCAAAGTACTGGTACAATATTTAAAAATAACTGGCAAACCTACTCTTAAATTAATTAAAACTAAATAAATTAGAGGAGCGAAAAGTCACAACGAAATAAAACCAATTTATAATGAAAAATCCAGGACTATTAGAACGCTGATTCCAATCGATTAACCAATCACATACTATTAATAGTTTTTGGTGTTGCAGTTTCGTCCCCTTCCAGCAGAGGGCGCGGCTGGTCACGGCAGACCCAGTTGAAACAAGATGGCGGAGGCCGCAGAGAAGCTGAACAGGGACAGGCGTTCGATTCAAAATGCACTGTATTTGGTTCCGTTCTAAAATATAAACACCCGTCAAGCTGCATTACGGTGCCAACCTAATTTACTTAATAGCGCTCATTCAGCCGAGGTGCTGCAGACGGAGCAGCGTTAGCATCTTATGTTAGCATCTTATGGAACATTTAGCTCTTTATGCTACGGAAAGATTACAAGAGAAAACATAAAATGGCGGCATATCAGTTAAGTTTGTCGAACAGTAAGATCAGTTAAGTTTAGATTAGTTCATTAATCGCATTCCTCATACTGGTTATGTTAATATAAGTGTGATATTTATTGTATTTGGCAGGATTATCAGAAGCAGAGTGAAGAGCTGGCCAGGCTGCGGGCTCTGCTCACCCTGAACAATATTCCCTTTGACTCGGAGCCAAGTACGTCTGTCAACATCACCAGCCTGATTAATGCAACAATGTCTTGGTTTTACTGAAGCAGGCCTGTTTTCTGTGGTAGATGAGGAGGAGAAAGGGGCAACGACAGCACCGGCTAACGATCAACACCTGAGAGGAGACACGGGCCTCGTAGACCAGCCTGAAGATCTACGTCACCAACAGGAAGTTCTGCGTCACTAACAGGAAGTTCAGGGTTTCTGGTTTGTTTTCTGAAGTTCCGGTCAGTTTCAGCCTCTGAGGTCCACAGAAAACAGCCTCATGTTTGGAGGACTTGGATGCAGTTTGGACTTTAACTTGTGAATTTATGTTATGTGCAACATTGTTGGAATTAAAACAAGACAAAAAAAAATGCAATATGTCCTTTTTATAATTACAAGAATAAAGTCATAATATTATGAGGGTAAAAATTGAACAACAAAGTGACTTTAGTTTTTCAACTTTTGTGTTATTCTAACTTTATTGTATTTTTATGACTTAAGTTGCTCCTTATGACTTTTCTCATGTTACTCCAACTTTGTTCTTGTATTAATACAATTATTTAGATAATGTCTGTATTAAAGGGATATGTTCCCTTTAATACTTAGCTTAATCTGCCAACCGCACTTGAACAATCTGAAAGCAGAAATTTTTGGCACATTTGTGGCACATTTTCACATTTCTTCAGTTTCAGCGCAAATGATCTTTAAATCCTTAACTTGGCCTTTGATTCTTGGTGGGCTTGATGCAGAAGTTGAATTCAGTAGGAGCTTCATATCGTTTGGAGCCGTCACGTTTTAAACGTTCTTTAGATTAGCGAATTCCTTTTAGAAGCCAATGACCTGTTCACTTGGTGGATATGTAAGACCAGAGTGTCGGAGGGTGAAGAACATCTTCTTCCGAGACGTCTTAAAGTCCTCTAAGTAGAAAAGTCCCTTGATCTGAGGAGATTCCCATTCGAGGAAACGCTTGTAATCAAACGCATTTAATTGAGTAACAGTTTTGATGTCGTCTTCCTCACTATCATGCAACATTCAATAACCTCAATAAATGCCATAATTCTTGGAGTTCAGAAGGCAATCTTGAAACGTCATAAGAAGCAGCAATTTGAAAGGATTTTTTCTGTGTTTTACACCATTTTAAGTCATAAAAAGGTGTCTTTTTTGTGCGGCTTTTTAACCTGAAGCTTGGTAAAAGTGGTGATATGTGGCACTTCTAGCTTTCCATACAACTCTGCCTAATACCACGTTAAACTAAACACTACAAAACAAACAGCTTCAAGTATCAGGAGTGGTATTAATGTACACTTGAGTATATAATGTACATCCCTGATCCTGTGTGAATAAATTTACTTTTGATTTTTCATAAAGGAACAAAGCAGTGAAATGATTTACTCTAAAGTCAGTTCATAGCAAAAAAGAAAATGATTTATTATAAGAAACATCAAATAAATATGCCGCTTATAGCTGTGCTAAGTATGTAAATCTGTTTTCAAAACAGATAAATCATTCAGTAAATTAGAATATGTATAAAAGTAGTTATTTGTGGCACTTCTGGATTTCCATACCCCACTGCCTAATAACATGCTGCACTAAAAACTATTATGATAAAAAAAAAACATTTTCAACAAATTTACACTTGATTTTTTTTTTTTAAAGAATCAAAATAAAGCAGTGAGTTTGTTCACTCTTCTTCATGGGAGAAACAATGTTTAAGAAAATTTGTAAAAAAAAAAATTACAATAAAGTGGCTTTCTTTTCTGTTATGAATGTGTGTAAATTTCTGATCAGAACAGATGACATGTTGTATATAAAAGGTTGTTTGAGCAGCTTGTTGTGGTTGAGGTGAGTTAAAATAACGCAGCGAGTTTTACAGCGTCGTGTCAGTCGGACTTGTTTACAGGTCCGACGTGTCCCAACGCGTCCCAACCATAAACATTCCTGCTTTTCCAGCTTTTAATCGTCCACCTCATCGTGAAAACAACGTCTGGAAGACTCAAATCATCTTTTTGGAAAGTAGTCAGAGATTCAAAATGTTGCAAACATGAGGAAGAGTTTCTGTTTTTGGGTTTTAGTAGCACAGAAAATCATGTTGGATGTTATTTACAGGAAGCAGCAGGCCCCTAAAGAGGGGCCTGCTGTAGAGGGGCCTGCTGCCTTGGTTCGGTCTCTTCCTGCCTCGTTTCAGTGCAGGAGTCCCTCAGGGTCAGGAGAAGAGCTGGATGACTTCTCTGGCCCGCTGCGCCCTCTGCTGGACAGACACGTCCTGCGGCGCCTTCCCGGACTCCTCCACCAGAACCAAGGCCTTCTGGACCGTCGTTTCCTTCGCTCGTCCAAACATTCCCTCCAAATACTGAAGCAGAACCACAAATGTATCGTCTGGAACCTGAAGGAAGGGAATTAGTTTATCTTTCAGATTTGATTAATGTAGAAATATTTTACAGCTTTTTATTTTTAAAAATATTACATATCAGTCAACATTGATAATTGTTTGCCACAACAAACAACTCAATTAATTGCAAAATTAATTTTAAAAAATCTCAATTATTTCCACTTGCATGATAAAAGTTTCAGCCTGATGTTTTGGTCTCAATCAAATGTTTTGTTTTTAGGGATAATTTTATTTCTTTTATTTCACTTGTTTGTGTTTTATTTATTTAGGACATTTAAAATTTTTACATTTGAGAATGTGTTTTTGCATTATTATGCAGTTATTCTCATTATTTTAATAGAGAATGGTCACAAAACAACAAAATTATAATTTATTACATCTGGAACAATTTACCATCCAGAAAAATTTGTTATCGTGACGGGCCTAATGATTCGTTTTGGTTTTAAAACAAATTATTTTTGAACAAAAAAGGAAATCCCTTTTGGCCACAAAATGACTTGGTCATTATTTAAGGAAGTTGACAATATCAAATATGACTTGAAAAAAATTGACTGTCATTTAATGTTTTAAAATTGGGGCTCTGTTTCTTTAAGGTCTTGATCTTTCTGAAGCTCCGCCTCCAGGAAGTTGTCCCAACATGGCTGCTCTATTAACCCTTTAACATTTTTACCAGCGTTGCTCTGAGCAGCAGCTCCTATAATGAGCTCAGCAGCTGTTTGCTAATTGCTGCTGGCTAGTCTGAAGGATCTGAGAGGGGGAGGAGCTCCGCCGTGAAGGCGGGGCTAAGTCCTCCCAGGCTCTTTGGACAGCTGAATGGTTGCCATGGAGATTAAAGGATTTCTCCAACATGCGTGAAAGAATCAAAGTCAGACTTTGATTTGTTTTTGATGAAGAAAAAACATTAAAACCCGATGGAAAGATCAAAATAGTTGATTTTGAGTAATAGCGCCCCTGTAAAAAAACAAATGTAACTTATAAACTATTTAGAAGCTTTCAGAGGAAGTTCTAGAGATGAGCTCATTTCCTGAAGCAAACAGGAAGTGGAGTTCAGCGCCTGCAGCGGTCCGGGCTGCAGATGGGGTTATTTTTACCTTCTCGGAGTCGTACATGTGCTGCAGTAACCAGGTCTGCCGGATCTTCTGAAACTTCCAGGCCGGACGGTTCTGCGCCCAGCTGCAGGTCACAAACAGAAACAGATCAGCAGGTTCCGACACGACGCCTCCACAAACATCTTTTACTTTCATTTGTATGAACTGCATTTTAATTCGGCTGACTTGCATCACTACACTTGACAGCAAATAAGTAGAATAAAATAGACATCTTTTTAAAAAGACAAACGGATCTGATATCATACAGAACGGGCCTCTAACAGAACAAACAGCTCCAGGTTTTAGTTTCAACAGGAAGGAAAAAAGAATAAAAACTCTTAAAAGCTCCATTTCGTTCTGGTGTCCCTGTTTGAAACAAATAAATCTGACCAATCACAGCCCGGTTTGCTCCTCGGTACCGTGTGAGGTAGTCTAAGGCCTGCTGGGTCGCGCTCGGACCGGGTTCTGCGGTTTTTGCGTCGGCCTGTCCGGATTCCTTCAGCTTCTTCTTCTCCTCCTTTTTCCGGATTTTCTTCAGCTTCCTTTCCAGGACTCGTTTCTCTTCAGGGGTCAAAGGTCCTTCAGGATCTCCATCTTCCTCAGGAAGCTGCCATGGAGGACAGAGATTTGACTCATTTCTCTTTTAAAGCATTCAGACTCACACTGGTGTTGATCCGATCAGCCATCGATCGGTATCGGATCGGTGTTCGCCGATCACTTCTTTGGAAAAGTAAATAACCTTTATTTAATTTCTTTTTGGGATGAATAAAGTATTTTTTAATTTTGTATTAATCCCACATTTCTGATTTTATTGAGTTTTTTATTGATTTAATGTAATTTAATATTTTTAAATGTCGTGTTTTTATTACCTGTAACTGCACAGAAATAAAGTCGTTAAAACATCCATCTGTGCATGACTAATATATATGGTTCATTAATTTAGTGGTAAAGTTTCTGAAACAAACAGGCTTTCAGTAATATTATAATTCATTAAATGGATTTGTAAAAAAAACTAATCTTTATAAAAAATAAAATAAATAAGTTATTTAAATGTAATATAAAGTGTATAAAACATTTGTATTTAATCAAACAAATCCTTATTTATGCTTTTTATATTTAAAATATCCTTTCAGATGTTTTGCTTCCAGGGATGCTGACTGAACACGAAGCTGAAAGAAAAACTGTTTTAAATGACATGATCTCTAAACAGCAGGACAGGCTCTGGAAACGCAAAAAATAAATATTCATTCTGTTTCTGAAAGTTGGAAGCAAAAACAAACGATGCCATTTTGTGGCTCCAAAGCACAACAAACCCTTTCTTAGTCTGAATCACTTCCTGTTGCGCTGCAGCTCAGAGGGCCGTTTCCTGCCGCTGCTGCGCCGCAGCCGGGCTGCAGCACGCCGGGCTGCAGTCACCAACCGCTGTGGCTTGATTTCCTCCCAAAGTCACTTGGAAATTTAATGAGTTGCTTTTGGGCTTTTTTAAAATAATAAAATAAACTGAACTGCGACCATCAAACTAATCTGGGCTGCAGGATAAACATGAAAAGAAACACCAACGAACATGTCCAGGCAGACTCACGGCTACATGCCATTGTAATCTTTAAGACAAAAAGTCTGAGTTGTGGAGCCGAATGCAGGGCCGTAACAAAGCCTGGAGGTTTCTGTGGGACTTACAAATGATGCCCATGTAAAAATAAAATGTCATTAAAAACCTGAGAATTAAAACGTTATTCAGGGTTTTCCCTATTTATCAAAAATGACTTGAAATAAATGCTACTTTCTGATTTATTGTCTTCAAATTGGGCCTCTGTCTCTTTAAGAACTCCTGCTCCGTCTGAAGCTCCGCCCCCAGGAAGTCATCCCAACATGGCTCCTCTATTAACCCTTGATGTTTTTACCAGCGTTGCTCTGAGCAGCAGCTCCTATAACGAGCTCAGCAGCTGTTTGCTAATTGCTGCTGGCTAGTCTGAAGGATCTGAGTGGGGGAGGAGCTGGGTCCTGGGGGCGGGGCTAGGTCCACCAGCTGAATGGTTGCCATGGAGATTTGAGGATTTTTTTTTAAAACTTGCATGAAAAAATGAAAGCAAAACTCCAGATTTGTTTTCAGTGAGAGAAAAACATTAAAATATGATGGAAAGATAAAAACTGGATTTTACAGAATACTGGCGCTTTAAACCATTCTGATGTCCTGATTAGTGGATAAATGGTCGATATTTGGCTCTGTAACTTCAGTTATAGCCTCCTTTCTTCCATTAAATGTGTGAATGCATGCATGCAGAGCTGGTTGCTTGTTTCTCAACATCTGGCAACATTCAGCACAGAAACGCTGAGTTGGCTAAAAATATCCCCCAACTTTTTGTGACGTGTGGGTTTCCTGAGTCTCTGCAGCAGACTCTCTGAAAGCAAAGCCTGCTCTCGCGTCTGGACAGGCCAGCCGTGTGTTTCAGCTGTGATGATGGCAAACCAAAGGGAGGAGAAGTTTAGGTCACATGGTGCCGAAGTCATTCTGAAAGTATGCTAGCGGGGGAACTGCAAAGAGACGCTGCCATGCCACCAGCATCATCTGAAGAGCTGCACACCCTTTTCTAGCAGGCAACAAGACGAGGAGCGAAAACATGGTGAGTGAAACCGATTCCTGATCAGAGTCCGATTAGTTTTCACCCGATTCAGGAAGAGAAGGAGACGTCCTGCGGGGAACAGCGGGGAACAGCTTTCAGGGAACGTTTCTGTTTTCACCAGAGGAGGAAGTTACTGTCAAACTCATGCTAACACCTACAGCCGCAGCCAGCGATCACAAATCAGATATCTTGATGATTAATTGATAAGTCGGACTGTTTGATTATTCTATCAATTATTCTTATTATTAATTGTCAAAATATTGGTTGTTATATTGATTATTAAGAGACTGTCAGAATAACTGACTGTTCAATTAACTATTCTTCTAATTAATCTATTACTGTGACAATCAAACATAAGACATTCTTCATATTTTCAGTTAACTACTTTCACTTTTTTAAGCCATAAAAATCAAAAATAGAAACATTAAAAATGATTAAAAGATTACTAAACTAGTTGATTATTTCAATCAATAAACCACAACTAATCAGATAATAGCTGCAACTAGTAATTGATTATTCTGTCTATTAATTGGATGTCAGAAATGTGTAGATTTTTTGATTAGCCACCAAAAACTTTTTTATGTAATCAAACAGAAAGAAAAAGAAAGAAAGGTTTCCTCTTTTAGAGTTTGTATAAATCGTGAACAAACTTGCATAAAACTGCAAAGCAGCTGAAACACTGAGTTCCTTTAAATATGATTTAAAGCACTTTGAATAGCCTTGTGCTATACAAATAAACCTGATTGATTACTAAATTAGTTAAATAATTGATTTATCAATTGAGTTTATTTGTACATCACGTTTCAGTTCAAGTTTCATCATAAAAACAGAGAAAACGTTTTACGATCACGAAGATTAATCACGATTAATCGGTTCAGCGCCATCTCTGGTTTTGTTTCCTTCCAGTCTGACCCGACAACTGAGTCCGACCCGACAACTGAGTCCGACCGACCACTGAGTCCGACCCGACCAGCCCCACCTTTAACACCACCTTCATCACCACCTTCATCACCACCGACTCCAGCTCAGGAACCACCAACATGGACGTAGTCCATGACATCACGGCCGCCGACGGCCTGACCTCCAGAACCAACCAGGTGTACAGCGCCGTGGCGCTGCTGGGTTTCTGCGCCGGCTGCTTCGTGGTCTTCAGCTTCGTCCAGACCTTCCGGGCCCAGCGGCGGCTGGCCTGGCTCGACTGCCTCCTCTGGGTCTTCTGCGGCCTCCAGCTGCTGCTGCTGCTCCTGTCGCTCCACATCGTGGCGCACCGACCCAAATACATGCCGAACTCGCCGCTGGGCTGCGCCGCGCTCTCCTTCGCCGTCAACGCCGCGTCTCTCTGCGGAGTTTTGGTCTTGGTGCTGATGGCGTTCGTCCTCACGCTGGACCCGCCGTCCAACGCGCCGCTGCGGAAGCCGACGGTCTGCGCGGCGCTGGTGCTGCTGACCTCGATGGCGGTGAGCCTGCTGCTGGCAGGGATTCGGGGCCTGCCGCCGGGGCCGGACTGCGTCATGGATCCGGCCCCGGCCGGGGTCGCGTACGCAGCGGCGAAGCTTTCTCTGGCGGTTCTGGTTCCCTACGCCCTGCAGGTTGGACTCCTGGTCAGCGGCTGCGTCCGCCAGTGGCGATCCAAAGGCCGCTTCCTGTCGGGCTCGGAGGACGGTCCGGTCTTCCTGATCGTCACGGTGCTGGTGTTCCTCTGCCAGCTGTTCCACTGCGCGGCGCTGCTGCGGGCGGCCGGTCTGGTCCAGGACAGCCACCTGGAGCGGGCCTTCCTGACCGTGGCGGAGTGCGTCCTGTTCTCTGGCAGCAGCCTCAGCCTGCTGCTGGTGCTGCTGCTGCACCGGCCCAGCCGGGAGAGCCTGCAGGGGGCGCTGCGGCAGCTGCGGGACTGCTGCCGGAGGCCCGGCCGCGCTCAGCCCAACAGGAACATCATAGCGCCGCACATCGAGATCACAGACACGCTGTAGGACATGTAGTCTGAGGCCGCCATCTTTTTAAACCCGTTTCTGCAAACCGCAAGCGCAGAAGAAGAACGCCGACGTCACAGCGCGCCCTGTTTACGGAAGCGATGATGACCGCCGCCGCTCCGTCGATGGATTTTAAAGGAACTATGATGCAAACTTCATGTTTTCCATGTTTTTATGTTTCCATTGGGTTTCAACAAGGCCGTCAATTTCTACATTTAGATTTTCACATCGATTGTTAGGAAAACTGATCCAAGCAGAATCAGAAGATTAAACACTCTGGATGTGAGTTTCTATGCCTGCAGTTTTATTTTTATTTCTTGAAAGATTGAAAAATCTCAAATGTTTTCTACTGTTTAAAAGTTTATTAAAATAAATAAATGATGAACATTTGCAGAATTTGCTGCTGTGATTATTTTTTATGTAAATATATTTTCTTCAGGAGCCTGATGAGGATCCGGCTCCGGTCCAGTTGCCGTTCATTTATGCATTTGAACCGAATCAGAGTTCATTTGAACCGAACCCAGTCCGAGGTCTGGACTGGGTTCACACCTCACCAGAATTAACCGGAGCTTCTGGCCAAACGGACCGGAGCCGGATGAACCCAGTGGGAACCCAGACTTGGTTCAGTTAACTGGTTTCTTTGACAGACGTGATTTTGAAGGAAAGACTCCCAGTCGGGTCTTGAAGCCCGACAACAGAACCGTCCTTTCAGAACCGCCTGGTTCTTAGAAACTGAACACAAAAGGCCCATTTAGAGAAACGGCAGGAAAAATCTGTGCAGCTTGGAAACATTTTGTCACGGTGATTTCAGCCCTGACCTGAAACCGGTTTGTTTCCAGAAGCCGGGCCGGTTCCAGGAACTGAGCTGACCCGTTACACAAGCTGGACCCAGAACCGGGTCTCACTAATGCGCCAACGTCCTGATAGCTTAACTTTCTCATTAGCGAAATCTTTAGTTTATTTTTTTCATACTTTGGTTAATTTTAGATGCATAATTCAAAAGGTTTGAAGTATTTTGATTATGAAACATTGATAGAGAAAAAATACCATTAAAATGTATTTAATTGCTGCTGAAGCAGCAACAAACTCTGAGCTTCTCTACAAATCTAATTTTCCATCAGCTGCTGGCGGATTAAAATATTTATTTCACAACAAACGAAAAGCTAATAAAACATTTAGAAAACACAAAACGGGTATTTTCTCTAGTTTCAGTATGTTTCTGTTATAAACATATTTAGTTCCAGTTGGTTTGTTTTTCTCCAATAATTTCTTCTTATTCTTTGTAATTCTAACTTTATTTTCTCCTTTTAGATGAAAAAATGTTTTTTTATTTATCATTAATATCTTTTTTGGGAAGAGATTAATATTTATGCTAATTGTTTGTGACCAACTCTGGGGTTTTACATCCTGTCTTTTCAAATAAACATAAAATTCTTGATGTAACATGAAACTGGAAGAAACGTCTGGAGTGAAAAGATGAGATGAAATGATGGCGAGGCGTCGTCCATGTTGGCGTCGTCCATGTTGGCGTCGTCCATGTTGGCTGTAAACACGCAGCCCGTATTTCCATCTCCTTCAGCGGTTAAAGGAAGTTTCACCAGAGCAGAAGTTAAAACTGGACCCAACTGGACCGAAACCAGCAGGAGGTTCTGCTGGACCTGGCCGGCGCCGCTGATAAACACCGAAACGCTTCAGTTTCATGTCTGGGTTCTCCTGCAGTCGCTTCACTGGGTTTACCGTCCCGTCCAGAACCGACCCGGAGGTAGGCCTGACCCGGTTCTTTCTCGATGTTTGCTTTGTGAAACAAGGTTGAGCCAAAAAAACTAAATCTAACTGAATAACTCAGGAGATTAGCTTCCAATTAGATTGATTATTGATCTGAGAACTTGGGAGGAAACTGGGATTAGGAAATCATGTCCAGTAATCTGGAGTTCTGATCCGATCCGTGAAGTTCTGGACCGTCAGATTCAGGTTTCTCTTGTTTTTTCTTCATTTTGAAGTAGAAAGATAAAGCAGAGTGGCGACCATTTTTATTCTTCTCTGCAGCTGCAGATAAAAGTTTCCGTCGATCCGACTTGTTCTGCTCGGCACCAGAACCTGGATCTTCATGTAAACAGTTCCAACGTCTTTTACAAATCGTTTTGATCTTCATGTAAACAGTTCCAACGTCTTTTACAAATCGTTTTGATTGCATGGATTTCAGTCGAAGCTCCTCCATGCTGTTTGCTCTCTTCTTGTTCACCAGGTGGCTAACGTTAGCGTAGCATCAGATCAGAGGAAGATCCTTCTCATGTTTTCCGTCTCATTTGGGTTCTATCAGCAGCCATTTTGTTTGTGTATCTTCCTCTCTCTCATTGGTCGACATGTTTCCTTAGCGTTGGTCTCGACGCCACGCTTCATTCATGGTTTGTGCTGCCGCTGCCTACCAAGATGGCGTGCGTCACTTCCAGTTCAGACTTGTGGGAATGATATTGATTTTGATCAGGTATCTATCAGGATTGATGGTGTTATTGATTATTGCCCAGATCTCAATGCTCTGTGTGAATCTCCTGTTCTGTCCCACAGCCGACTCCATCTTCAGAGGTCAACAGGCAGAGAAGGTCAAGTAGAGGTCGCAGGAAGACTATGAAGCCTGATATGGACATAAACATGTTCACGGATCCCGCAGCTGCGGAGAACTTCACGGTGCCGCCGAACCCGACCCAGCGGGCGCCGGAGAACGTCGAGCTTTACCTCATCAACCTCTTCCTGTCTGGGTTTTACACCCTGATTCTGTTTCCTGTGGGCCTGGTGGGGAACTTCCTGATCCTGGTTGTCAACCTGGCCCCCCGGGGCCGGCTGTCGGCGCCGGACCTGTACTTCGCCAACCTGGCTGCGGCCGACCTGATCCTGGTGGCCGACTCCCTGATCGAGGTGTTCAACCTGAAGAAGGATTACTATGACAACGCCGGCCTCTGCACCTTCATGAACCTCTTCCAGCAGGTCAACCTGTACAGCAGCGTCTTCTTCCTCACCTGGATGAGCATCGACCGCTACGTGGCGCTGACCCGAATCGCCGCCGGCGCCTGCGCCGCGCACGCCTGCGCCGCGCACGCCTGCCGCAGCTGCTGCCTCATCTGGGCGTTCGCGGTGCTGCTCACCTTGCTGCCGTTCGCCATCACCCAGGTGCAGCACTCCGGCGAACTCAACTTCTGCTTTGCCAACGTCAGCCAGGTGCAGTGGCTGGAGGTGACGCTGGGCTTCCTGCTGCCGCTCTGCATCCTGGCCGTGTGTTACTGGAGGATCGCGCAGGTGCTGCGGCGCAGCCAGAGGCAGCGGTGCAGCCTGCAGCAGCGGCCCCGCCGGCAGCGAGCGCTGCGCATGATCGCCGCCGCCGTGCTGGTCTTCTTCATCTGCTGGCTGCCAGTGAACGTCTTCATCAGCGTTCACCTCTTGAGCAGCGCTGACGCGGTGGACGCCGATGCAGTGGGCGCCGACACGCTGTGGGAGCTTTACCCGCTGACGGGCCACGCCGTCCGGCTTGCTGCCTTCTCCAACAGCTGCCTCAACCCGCTGATCTACGGCTTCCTGGGTAAAACGTTCCGGAAGAAGCTGAGGCTGTTCCTCCAGGAGAAAAGCCGCAGCGCCAAGCTGCAACGGTTCGCTTCAGAAAATCACATTTATGCTCCAGTTGCACCGACACGTCAGCATCAGACATGCGACACATCAAGTCCCACCAAGTCCAGCTCTAATGGCCTCCTGACGGAAACCAGACGCAGAAGCCTGGTGACGTAACGGAGCTTCAAGGACGAAATGGAAGCAAGAACTTTCACTGATGTGAAAACTGAAAATTATTTCTTTAAAATAAAACTCAAAGCTTCCAGACCAAAGCTTCATAAAAAACAGTTGATGGCATCTCAATGTGTGCTGAAAGTAAAACCTGTGCTGAGCATCTTTGAATTAATGCGCTAATCTTTCCTTAGTGATTTTAACAGAGGACAGTTTTTCAGTTTTTTGTTCTAGATTTATGGTGCATAGAAGCTGCAAGCTGCTTTTCCATGTTTGGTTCTTTAGCTAACTTTCTTTAGCACTTTTAACTTCCCCTAAATAATTGTTCTCACATAAAGTCTAAAGCACTAATTTATTTGGCTGTTTTCTAAACTTTTAATTGAAGTTTTTTGGTTTTTGACTGAAGTCACTTCAAGTTAAACATTTATATTCATGCTCTTATTTTGAAGTCTGTTGGTGTAGCGCTGTTCAGAGTGGATCAGCACTAAGGCTAACCAGGCTAACCTATCAGTTAGCGGTAGCCACCACTGGGCTAAACACACCAGAACTGTTCGATGGTTTTACTTCCTCACCTCAACTGGATCCCAGTCAGCTTCTCTTGTCTTTTTCTTCTTCTTGAGTTTTTTGTCCTTTTTGCTCGTTTTGTTTTCTGGATTTGTGACACATGGAATCTGAACTGGAGCTTCCTGCACAAAAATAAACAAGTAGAAGAGTTTATATGGAGAAAAACGATTCCTGGCCAAAGTGTTCATATATCTGTTCATATTTCATCATGTTGAAACCAGAACCAGTCATTTGTGTCACTGAGCTGAGACTGTCAGTTTTCAGTCAGAGGCTTCTGCTGAATCGTTGCAACATTGACTGCTAATGCAGTTATGCGATATGACATTTAATTTTCCTTTGGGATAAATAAAATAAAACTCCAATAAAACACATAAATGTCACTGAGTGTAAAGTTTCTACCCACCTCCACTTCCACGTGTTTTCTCTTCTTGGTTTGTGTTTTTTCTCCCTCATTAAAGATGGATTTTTGTCCCTTGCGGGGATTTTTCTTGTCTTTCGCCATCAGCTGATTCATGCAAACCAAAATGTTACGAAACGATCGTGGATTAAAATCTCAGCGAGAGGAAATTTAGTAAACAGTAAAAGTAAAAACTACATTTTAACCTGTTAGCGTTGAACTTACCTCGTTGTTTCTGGAGAATCAAACAGTGACAAGCAGAAAACGTGCGTTTCCAATCCCGGAAGCGAACCTGGGCAGCTTGAACGTGATTGGACAAACGTCTCTACGTGCATTCTGATTGGTTGAGGATTTCATCGCGTCAAACCAAAACGTATGGAGAGTTTTTAACAAACATTTTATACATTTAAATGTAAAATCCTTTACAATTAACAAAAGTTAAAGACCCGGATTGTCTTGGTACTAGTTAATTATATCGCTTGGTAATTAACTTATTAATAAGTGATTAATAAATGTCAATTCTTTAAAAGATAAAGTATTAAAAGATAGAAGGAAAAAAATCACATTGTTTCAGGCAACCAGTTGCTGCATTTAGGTCCTGTCGTAAAATTATTAAACAAGTTTACCAGTTTTGACAAGTTTCTCTGGAACTACAGTTTTGCAAAACTTTATGCTATATAAATAAAAATTTAGTGGTTTAGTGAAAGAAGAAAAATAAAAAGGATTCTCAGATATTTCAGTTGGTTCCAGAGAAGTTTGGTTATTTAAAGTTCCTCAGCATTAGATTATATTGTTGTTATTTAGACAACAAAATCACATTATTATTATTATTATTATTATTATTACATCATAATTTTGTTGCATAATTGAATAAAAAACTAAACATAACTAAATTACTTCACCTCATAAAATCTACAAAAGAATCAGGACAAATTATTTCAAGTTAAAACAGAAAGAAAGAAAATAGAAAGGCGTCCCGGAACGGTTCGAAGCAGGAGTCGCGTTGCTGACCCGGAAGCGTTTCAGCGTTGCACAATGCAGTGTTACATGACCTAACGCGGATTGCGGGAGAAGCGGGTTGTGTGGAGATGTCCATTAGTCCAACATGTCTCCATCAGCAGGACGAGCTTTCAGCGGCTTCACCTCCAGGGTCCTCGGCAGAGGAATGCGGATTAAAAACGCGTCGGCTTCCGTAGGGTGAGTGGAAATCTGACCGCCGCTTCAGTGACCCTCATGATGTTTGTTGAATGTTTTAGGATTAGTTAGTTAAATATCACATATTGAATAAAGTAAAGGGTTTTGCTACCAGAGTTTGAGCAAATTTTTGTTTTAATCACGTTTCATTTCCGACAAAATGTAGAGAAATACATGTTTCCTCTGCTCTAAGAGCAGCTGGTTAGCATCTCAAAGGTTCTAATCATACCTGAACTTTGACCCCAAAAACCAGTGGAGTTGGAAAGGAGAATTCATGAAGTCAAAGCTTCACTTTGCCCGTCTTCATACCCATACAGCTCGACGGCAAAAGCAGAGGAGGTGGATCAGCAGAGCTAACAACTGATCCAGGACGTGTTTCTATGGAATAGCTTCTCTCCTGCTCGGAAAATGAGCTGTTAGCATATCATAATGATCATTAAACCCATGGAAAACAACAATCTTCAGTCAGACTGACTGCTACTGAAGCCCAAAACATTATAGTCCAGATACTTGGATGACATACATTTTCTGCCACAATTCTTCCTTCCACTCAACTTTCCATCATTAAGCCTGAAAACAGTAGGCTGTTATCATTCCTCTGAGGTGTTACTGAGACGTTGGAGTTTACACTCCGTCAGTAACTGGACTAGAACTTCCTTTAAATAAAAACAAAGGAAACAAACTCTAATGGAATTTTGGTTTTGCTTCTTAAAGCAAAACTCAAGTTATAAACAAACCTGAAGTTTTGCTTTGATTCTTTAATGCATGTTTGAGAAATCCTTTAATCTCCATGGCAACCAATCAGTGCCTCAGTGGACCCCACCCACCTCAGAGCTCCTCCCCCACTCAGCTCCTTCAGACTAGCCAGCAGCAATTAGCAAACACCTGTTGAGCTTCAGAAAGAGCAGGAGGTTTTAAGAGACCAACTGGTGCTAATGAGCAGCATTAGCATGATGCTAACGAGATGCCTTCTCCCCCTGGACAGTTTGAGGTCGCTATCGCTGACCTCCCCGGCGCCGGCCCGGTCCAAACCGCCCTCAGACGACGAAGCGGTCAACAGCGAACCCATCAAGTTCTCCACCAGCAAGGCCAGCCACCGGACCTGGAGGGTGGACCGGTCCCTGGGCAGCCAGCACGAGCGGCCCTGGTGGAAGGTGTTGCCCGTCAGCCTGGCCTTCACCGCCTTCCTGCTCTGGTGCATCCTGAGGCCGGAGACGGACATCGACACTCAGCTGGAGAAGCAGCTGTACGAACGTTTACCCGGCCTGACGTCAGATGAGGAGGAGAGCAGGAAGGAGTGACGTTCAGCTCTGGATGGATATTTATTAAAATTATGTGGACCGATTTAAAGTTTAACGAACCCGTCCCTTTACTGTCTGATGAATGTTGGATTCTGTTATTAATTTCAATTAAAATCCTTGTTTCTGTTAGAAAAGCAGCTTCTCTTTGCTTCGGCGTTCAGATTGAACATGACGAATGTAATCAGTAGATTTAGCCAATAACTGATTACTTTAGATATTTCATTTGTCTAAAATAAACTAAACTGTTTAACCCAGCTCTCACTCAGTTTTGAGGCAAAATGGAGAAACTGCTACCAGTTACTCAGCAGGTCGTTGCTGGGTAATTAAACCAACCCAGAATATTTATTTTCCATCAACTTTATTATGTTGAATGTTTATTTGGATCGGCTCTATTCAACACCTTCATATTTAGGAGTAAATTAGTTTTCATGGAGTGAAAACAAAGAAATTTGATGATTTTATTCATGAACTGTTAGCAGAATCGCCGTTTTGTGACATTTACACATTTCAGCATTTAAGATAAATGGAGTAGAAATAAAGCTGCAGTGGAAGTGAGGTAGCAGAAAGTTTATTTACAGCACAAGAAAATCCCATGACATGCAAACAGGATAGCAAAGGTTCAGACTAACACGTTAGCAAACATTGAGCGTTGTACAGACAGACGTCAGTGGAGTACAAAAACACGCCTCAAACTACAAATAAAAACCACACATGCTGTTAAATTGAAATTTACAAAACGTCGCCCCCGCCAGTAAAAAGGTCCGACCGGCTCGTCTACGCGCGCTCGCCTCTGATTCGCCGGGCCAGCTGGATGTCTTTGGGCATGATGGTGACTCTCTTGGCGTGGATGGCGCACAGGTTGGTGTCCTCAAACAGGCCGACCAGGTAAGCCTCGCTGGCCTCCTGCGGACGGAAACGGACCTTCAGCAACAAACAAACAAAACCAGATCTCTATTGGAGGTAAGAATAAAATATCCGACCTGCAGTGCTCCGATAGCGGCGCTCTGGAAACGCAAGTCGGTCTTGAAGTCCTGAGCGATTTCCCTGACGAGGCGCTGGAACGGCAGCTTCCTGATGAGAAGCTCAGTGGACTTCTGGTACCGACGGATCTCACGCAGAGCAACGGTACCGGGCCTGGAAACAGATCAAATATTTAAGGTTTGGACATGAAAAAAACTGCTACACAGTGAACTGTATCCATCAGATAAATGATAGATTTTACCCTAAAAGCATTACTTCTGTGAAACGGGAAATAAAATCTTTCAGTACCTCTGTGTTTGAAACACTGAAGGATGAACAGGTTGGAGTCATAACAAAAATTATAAACTGATTTTATAGTGCAGCTCATGAAGCTGTTCAGCAAAAATACTTTTATAGTTGTTAGGCACATTTTTAATTGAAAAACATTTTTGATTTAACCTGAAAAACAGCATCAACAAAATAAACATACACAAATTAAGAAGTTTGTTTCATTCTTGAAGCTTAGTGGATTGAATAACCAAACCTAAATTTACAGAAATGAAGTGTTCAAATTATTCAAAAATCTGATTGACGGCAAAAACACAATGAAAGTTTTTATACAATGTGAGATAAATTCAGACACCAGCAGGTAGGTTTCATATGTGGGCTCTATCTTGAAGACATCATGTAAAAAAGGGGATCAAATAAACTGATTGGTACTTGTAGCAGTTATATACATAATTACAAAGGTTTTGATTCTATTTTCTAGAAAACTTCCAATATGAATATAAACTTCCTATAAAAAAAACTTAAGATTAATCTTAAAATAAAAATGTGGCTTCCATTCAGAAGTTTGTATTTTTCAGCAAACTTTTTATCAGCTTCTCAAACTGATAAATTTCAAGACTGTTAGGCAGAAATTGACCCTTGCCGTCCATCTGCAATGACCCTAACGGGCCGCCGTACCGTCCAGATGAACAGGATTCATCTGTGCGGGACAAAGCGGGTGTACCTGTATCTGTGTGGTTTCTTGACGCCGCCGGTAGAGGGCGCGCTCTTCCTGGCTGCTTTGGTCGCCAGCTGCTTTCTGGGAGCTTTTCCTCCGGTGGATTTACGAGCGGTCTGCTTGGTACGAGCCATTTCTTACCAACTACAGGCCAGAAATGTGAGAGACAAGACGATAAATGTTAATAAAACTTTACTTTAATCATCATTATTTACAATTCGTCCGATTACAACTCCTAATGGGCAACATTACGGTTGACCTCAGGGGCAGGCGATAACATCTGGTCGCACACGAGGGGGGAAGGAGCTCAACAATATAAACAATAAAAGCCACTGAAGTAGTAATGTCTACAACAAGCGGGAAAAAATGGCGCCCACTGTTTCAAAAAGCCACATTGTGTGAATTCAGAGTTAAAGGCTCCTCGGTGGAGCCACCATTAAGCTACAGAGGACACACACGTTTCTTTGCAGTCCAATTTAGAAGCTGGCAAAGACGGTTATAAAATGGCGCCAGCAGCTACCAAAGCTAAGACTAAGACATGTATATGTATACATAAAAACACCACTAACACCAAGAAACACGTCAGTATGGTGCATCATTAAAAATGACGACTTCATATTTATAGACTTTACACCATGTAGCGTGATTTAAAAGGATTTTACTGGCACCACAATAGAGTTAACTGATCATGGCGCGCGTTGGTTTATTGTTAACGGTTTCAACGTTTATCAACTGGCCAGAAGCCGCATTAAAGGTAACTTACATCACACAATCGATTAATGTTGACATTAAAAAGTGAAAAGAATAAAAAGAAAGATAATTTAAAGGACTTACCGTTCTGGTTTGTTCTCACGTCGCAGTTGAAGTTCCTCTCACGTCGTCCGTCTTCAATGCTGGTGGGGCGGAGAGACGCGGCTTTTATAAACTCACCGGAGCCGAAGTCTAAGCTCCGCCCTTTGTTCAACGCGATTGGTCGAAACTGCCCTGATGACGAAACGTGACCAATAAAGGAACCAATAAGGATCCTCGTCTACTCCCATGAAACACAGAGGGTATGAATGGAGTCTTTCAAGCATCCGAAGAGGGATTTTTGATTAATAATAAAACTATTTCCACTGTATCACTCACAGGATTACGTTTTCTTTTGAGGGCTACATTGCTTTATTGCATAAAACAATAAAGCGAACAAAAGCTTTCTGACAAACAATATTCCATTTTTATAACTGAAACCTTAAATGTTTCTTAACAGGATAAGTTAAAAAGCAGTATTTGTGTTCAGTCAGACTCTGGTTTTTGTGAAAGTTGTTGTAAAGATCAACAGGAGGCGGAACTCTAAACTCAGGGTAGATTTTCCTCTGAATCCTTTGTGGTTGTTGAAACAGGAGGGAAATGGATGGAGAGCAGCCCGCCACTTTTTCAAATCCCCTCACTTTCACTCCCTCATCCGCACGGAGACGTTTCCTTCCGCGTGGTTTATCTGAAAAAGCCAACATAATGTTGTCCATTTGTTCAGATTGATCTAATGAAGCGATGCCTTTGATCAGAACAAGACGATCGTGTGACATGTCACACAAAACAGTTACTGAGGGATTATTTATCTTTTCTAAACATTATTTTTACTCCGTTGGTACAAAATAAATAAATAATAAATGATATTGCGTGTTATTTTAACGAAAAACTAATTAAAATAAGTGGATCGCGTGGAAACTGGAAACGGAACTACTTGAGTTTGGGGAAAGAGTGAAAGACGGACATAATACAGTGTGACACTTGCAGTAAGTTTGTTTCCAACATTTTTGAACATTTTGATGGATTAATCAGAATAAATATCTGTATTGGTTTTTGGTAAACATGTATTTCGCCGCTGGTGTTTGACTCTCATCGGTTCTGAGTGAAATAAAGCAGAAAAGGAGAATTTTAAGGTGAAAAGTATCGAGGTTTGGAGAGCATGACCGAGGAGACGCTGCTGTTCATCGGTACAGATCATTTATTATCATTTATTTACATCCACATTTATTTCACTTTCCTCACCTTAGAATCTCAATTTTCCTTTAATTATTTTGGGATTTTACTTGAACTTAAATCGCCGCATTATTGTGAAATAAAAGTGAAAAGTTAACGATGCATTTTTGTTTTCAGTTTTACAAATATCAGTTTTTAACTCTCTAATTCAGGTCTGGGCTTTGACTAGGCCGCTCTAACCCATGATTCTGCTCTGATCTAAAACAGTTCTAATCGTGTTGTAGTGAGAATTGTTATTCAGTCTCATGTTGAGTATTTGTTCTTTCCCACCTGAAGCCAAAATGTTCAGTTTTATTTTCATCTGGCCAGAGCACCTCAGTGCTCATGTCTGTTACAGGTGTTTTCATGTGGTTTAAAGGAAGTTACAAATGTTTTTGATGATGTTTTTTCTACATTATTCTCTATCAAAGCTCTGGAGCCAAAGATTAACATTTAAATTATGAGTAAATTGTGTAAAGTTTCAAAAGGCAGGACAATTAATCAATAACAATATATACTGCGATTTTTCAGTCATATCGTCCAACATTTCCTTTGACAGATATTCGAGACTCAAAGATCTCCACGGCGTCTGAAGCTGAGACCAGTGGGTCGCTCTGGACCTCCAGCGATAATTCCTTCAGATTTAACTTCGTCACGGACAGCGACACCGCCGCGCCGCCGCTACCGGCGCAGGAGGAAGCGCCTGCAGCCGCGTTCCTGTCCTTCTCAGGCCAGAGCTCTGCTTTTGCTTTCAACTTTCAAATCCCTGCTGCAGAAGACATGGACATGACAGAGGCTGCAAAACCCGCCTCATTGCTCGGCAACCAAGAGAAAGGTGCCACTGCGTGTGAAGCGTCAGATCAGGCCAAGACAAAGAAGAAGAAGAAATCTGGGAAGAAGAAGAAGCTGTCCGACTCCGAGACCCAGCAGAAACCGACAGAAGAGAATCAGAAAGAGGAAGAGCTGGTCAGAAGTTTACATACACCCCCACCACATTAAATCCACTAAATAATTATTAGTTGTAGCTCTACTATTAGTAACATTCTGGTGGAAGATCAGCTGAACAGTAAAACAAACCCTCAGCATACCACTACCTCCACCATGCTCACCTATTGTTCTGAAAAACCTGAGATTTCTGTCGCATTTCTGACCAAAACGTGCAACAGGAACTGATCTTTGTTTATTGTTTCAGAGCCCAGAAGAGCAGCTGAACAGGGAGCTGAACTGGTGCATCGAGCAGCTGGAGCTGGGAATAAAGTCCCAGAAGGGGACATCAAAACAGAGTTAGTGTTATTATTTCTGCATGTTATTACATCAGTGTCATGTTTTCATCTGTTCGAGTTGCAAATTCATTTACTCCAACTTTTTCCTTCGGTGGCAAAGTCAGGTGAAGAGATGTTATATTTTATACAGGAAGACAAACAAAACGACTGCAGCTGTGATGTAGACATGAGCTTAAAGAGAGATGAGAAGTGACAAAACAGAAAACATGTTATCCCAAATAAAAAGCTGCAAAACAACCGAAACGAGACAAAAAATGTCCCTGGAGAAACAGAATGACTGCAGAATGATGTTGAACCACCAACTGACAGCAGAGGAAACAGCAAAGTGAACAAAAATATTCAAAAAGAAACCAGTTTGAAACTTTGGGGAAGATGGATTAAATACCAGTTTCTGCTACTGGAGAGCTGGATCCATAGCCATGGATTCCAGCCACCCGGGCCACAGACTGTTTGTGCCGCTGCCATCAGGCAAGCGATACAGGAATATACGGACTACAACAAACAGACTGAGAAACAGTTTTTTCCCCACAGCTGTCAGAGCCATTACTCCCTGCCGCCCCCTGCTGCCCCCTGCTGCCCCTCCCACACATATCATAACCTCACATACACCCCCCCCCCCCACAGCCATATTGTTCTGCACTTGCACTGTCACATCATCTGCACTTTACCATAATTGGACCTGCTGCTTCTTCTTTGGTGTGGTTGAGTGCCTTTAGTTAATTTTAGTTGTATATATTATTATTGTGTGTTTGTTTATTTAATATTGTATATTTTGACTTTTTGCACGGGAGTTGCAATAGAAATTTCGTTGAATCCTGTTCAATGACAATAAATTCTATTCTATTCTAACTCAGTTTGCCTCATAGGGGGCGATAGAGAGCTGAGTTCTAAACTGTCCACAGAAGAAGAAAAGAAAGTATATTGCATCTAAATACCATGTTTGTGTGGCGCATTAGCATCACTTTCTGCAAAATACCATGTTGTCATAGTGTTTAACATTTGCTTCTGCTAAATACAATGTTAGTATATTGATTTAGCATTAGCTCCTACTAAACACCATCTTGGTTAAGCAGTTAGCATCAGTTTATGCTAAATACCATGTTAGCATTAGCGCTTGCTACATATGTTGGTATAGCTCTTTAGCATTGCTATGTATCATGTTGGAGTAGCGCTTTAGCATTAGCGCTTGCTACGTATCATGTTGGTATAGCTCTTTAGCATTACCGCTTGCTACATACTATGTTGGTATAGCTCTTTAGCATTACCGCTTGCTACATACTATGTTGGTATAGCTCTTTAGCATTACCGCTTGCTACATACTATGTTGGTGTAGCGCTTTAGCATTAGCAGAACTAATGTGTATGATTAGTGCTCCAGGTTTATTAGTCATACTGAGTTTCTGGATGTTTTCTTCCCCTAGAGGAGGAGGCTTCCCGCGCCCTGAAGACTCTGCGCAGCTACAAAGCTCCTCTGGTCAAGAAGCGGCAGCTGATGAGAGCCTTGACTGGGGATTACAGGAAGAAGATGGAGGAGGAGAAGAACAAGCAGTTCCAGCTCATTCAGAGCGGTGAGTGAATTGTTTCAGTGAACACTGTTTGTTTCTGAAGCCATTTCGATCAACGCGTTCCTCTGGTCTCGATAGAAACGGCATCGGCTCAAGTCAAAGTGGTGTCGGATTCCCAGAAGAAATCCGTTTTCCACCGCAGAGCTGAGGCGAGTACCGGTCCAGGAGCCTCACGGGCCCAGCGGCGGACCGAACCGCGCGGCGCTGCGACGCAGGAAGACACGCCAGCCTTCAGCTTCGTTCCATCACAGCAGGAATTTCACTTCAATTTCTTCTGATGTTTCTGGGCTGAAAGAAAGATGGAGTTTCTCCATGAACTGAAATAAGCAACGGCTGTTTGTGAAAATTGTCCAAATCCAAAAGGCTTTCATTGGTCTGTTTACATTAAGTTTAAATAAAATCAGCTTTTCTTCACTGTTTCAATATCATGTCTTTACTTTTGTTGTATTTTTTATACATTATTTTTGTATTACGAGTTCTGTATTATGACCACTTAGTCCTCATATTTTCCCGATTCATTATGTTTTATTGCAACTGTTTACTTGTAATCGCGATTCTCTTTATATATAATAGCTGCTCTGTTCATAAAAATTGCGACTTTTCATTTTTGAGGAATTAAATTTTGTTGTTTAATGCAAGCTTTTTTAATATTTAAATAAAAATGTACAAAAAAGGATGAGATATGCAGAGGTGGGAAAAGGTATGTATTATTTTTATTTCAGGGTTCAATACTTAGGTTGAAATACAGAAATAAGATACAAGAGAAAACATTCAGTAGATTTATTATGTTTGACAAAATATTGAACAGTTACATTACAAGTAGGAGTATATATAACAATAATATTACATCCATTTTTTATAGTTGTTTTTCAGTTACTCAAAGACACACGTTATTTATGTGTATAATTTTTGTTTTATTTGTATTTTTTACCTCTAAATGCTGGTTCTTTCCTGTCTCAGAATATATAAGATCAGCGAGAAAAACAACAAGTCATTTTCATTAGAAAGGTGGATTAATTAAGTTTAATTCATTTAAATTTCGTCCACCAATTTAAGGTTTTACTTTATTAACCGCTGTCCAGAAGGTGGCAGTAATGCACACTCAAAGCGTACAATCCACGAAGAAGAAAAGAACCGGAAGGGGCGGTTTGTGTTTCTGCACGAGCACAATTGAGTGTGGCAAAGAAAGGGAAAAGTTTTTTTAAATTTAGAAAAGTTTGCTGTGTTGCTTAAATAACCTTCTAGTTTGCTGTAAGCCTTAACCTTTGACCTTTAGACGCCGTTAAACTCCCGACTCTGACGTCTCCGGGTTACGAAGCTTTAGCGGGCAGAGATAACGGTTCTCTCCGCTAAGCTAGCCTCGCTAACAACATTCGGATTCTGGCACCGGGCCGGTTCCGAGTCCAGGGTTCCGTCGTTCCGAGCCGGTTAATTTGGTTTCGGGAGGAGAAATGTCCGAGTTAAGCGACGAGGCCAGCGAGTCGGACCAGTTGGGGGCCAGCCTGTCCCTCTGGCTGGGAGACTCCCTGCTGCGCCCGGAGGAGCTGGACGTCCCGCTGGACCTGCACACCGCCTGCTCCATCGGCCAGTACGACGCGGTGGCGGAGAGCATCAAGTGAGCAACCGCACCGACCCGTCCCTTAAACTCTGGCTTTATCACAACCAGAGTCACTTACTGTAAAAATATTTACTTTGACTTGAGTCATTTATTAAAGCTCCTTTTAATCAACAATTCACCAGATATGAAAACAAAGTGATAACGATACAGAACGAAGTCGTGATGATACGATAATAAAGTTGTCATAATAAAAGAATTGTTGAAATAATGAGAGAAAAAAGTAGGAAGTTGTAATTACCAGAATAGTCGCAGTAATACGACATAATCGCAATAATAGGAGAACAGAGAGTAATATTACACAAATAACTAAAAATACGACAAAAATCGAATCGTGACCCTAAAAAAATCGGATAAACGCCGAGATATTTTCCAGAATCGTCGTTGCGCTGAGCTCAGTGTCTGTTTCCAGGCGGGATGAGGACCTGGACCGGAAGAACCGGGGCGGATGGACGCCGCTCATGTACGCCGCCTACATCGGCCACGACAACATCGCCAACCTGCTGCTGGAGGCCGGAGTGAACATGAACGCCTCCACGCCGAAAGGCCTCACGCCTCTGATGCTGGCAGCGAGCTGCGGGAATGAAAGCATAGCCTACTTCCTGCTGCAGGTAAAATAATAATAACTGTTACAGATTATATTCTGTTCAATTGATTTGTTAGGAAAAACGCACTTTTTTAATGTCAATTTCCTTTTCACCCTATTTTCCCTCTTTTTCCCATTTCTTCCATTTTTTCTTCTCTCCCTCTTTCCCTTTCTTTTGTTCATTTCTCCTTTTTTCTTTTCCCACCATCTTCCTTTCTCTACCCTTTCCTTTCCTTTTTCTGTATCTTAAAGCAGTTGGAGGCTTTAGTAAAGTGTCTTTATGATGGTTCTGATTAATTCTAAAGAACCAGTCCAGTGTCTGACTGGTTCTGATTGTACCAGTCCAGTGTCTGACGGTTTGTCGTCTCTTCCTGTAGCAGGGGGCGGAGCTGGAGCTGAGGGACGCCAGAGGTTGGACGGCTCTGTTTCACTGCACCAGCACCGGCCACCAGCAGATGGTCAAGTTCCTGCTGGACAACAACGCCGACGCCAACGTCAGGTCGGGGTCCAGAACCAGAACCGGAGCGGGTCTTGCCCAGATGTTTCTAAACCGTTTTCTGCTCGTCTGGCAGGGAGCCGGGGTCAGAGTTCACTCCTCTGATGGAGGCTGCTGCGTCTGGACATGAAATCATTGTTCAATACCTGCTAGATCACGTGAGTGGCCATAATAACGCCCCCTGCTGGTGGCTGAAGGGGTTTAACTATAATGGTTTCTCCTTTTGCTTCAGAAAGTAAAAGTGGGCGATCAAAACGCCAAAGGAGAGACGGCGCGCGCCCTCGCCATGATGTACGGCTACACCAAGATTGTTGGCCTCATCGACTCTCGATCTCCAAGAATTAAACCAGGTTTCTGTTTCTGTTTTAAAAAATAAAAGGCTGGAATACATCAATAATGACCTATTTCACAATAGAAACGTGATCAATATCAACAGATAATAGAATTGATAGAATATTCAGTTGAATCAACCGAAGCCCAGTTCACATGATTTTTTGACCCGATTTTGCCCTTACAACAATCTCAGAACGTTCGAAGATTGTCGCTTCCGACCACCGTAACCGATCATCCTGTGGTGTGTTACGACTGATCGGGTCCAGTTGGTGGAACGTCGGAACCGCTTTGATCTAAAGTCGGGGATATTGAACGTATTTAATCATCTTGGCTCATTCATTGCAATGTCTGTGGTGTTTCCCCGACTGGGAGCGAAAGGAAGTCTGTTGAATGTGACAAGTAGCCAATCAGAAAGCACTATTGGATCGTTGTTGTTTTTAAATGAAAGATAATCATAAAATTATTGCACAGAGTTCATCTGGTTTAGAAGCGCATTCCAATCTTTGGTTGAAATGGCGCATTTGATTTTATTCTGCAGTCATAATACAATTTTAAACAATACAATAAGTTGCAATTAAAGGAGCTGGAATAGGCTACGTTAAGCTTTCGCTGTCAGTTTGATTTTCTAAAAAGGAATATGCAGGAAATGCTTTCTCCTACTTTCTGCTGCTCTGATGTTTCAGTCATTCAGTTTTAAATGCATAGATTCTACAACAACATAAACACAGCAAAAAATTATAAAATTATACGTAAACGGTTAATTAAACGACAAAACTGAAAACATTAAAAACAGTATTTTTTATGAAAAAGAAAAAAAACCTTGCTCACGATATCTCCAGTTCTTAATCCAAAGCTTTGATTTTTGGTTACGTCTTTTTTGGGTTAAAATAAGTCCACAAACTAAAGTTTCCACTTCACCGTCGTTGTCCATGTTTGTTTACTCCAAATTCAGCTGTGTTAGCACAGAATTTTAATTTGAAGGGATTTCGTAGCTGGAATTAGAATGTGTTCGAGTGAAACCTCACACTCTACGATCGAACCCGTTACATTTTAAATCGGCGAGTGTTTGGTCTGTGTCTCACGTTTTCAGAATCGGACGACTTTTCGAAAATCGTGAACTGGGCTTCACTCGTTCTCTAGCAACAACCTGCTGAGTTACTGGCAGCAACAGTTTCAAGTTTCGTCTTTGTTCCTCATAACTACTAAAAAACGACGTAGAGAGAAAACTGATGGAACAGGAAATGTCATCAGTTAAAGCAAAAAGTGATGATGTGATTCTCGTCAGGACACTTTGGAGACCTGAGCTCCTCGGAGGACTCGGACGGCTCGCCGCCCAGGACTCGGTCCGGCCGCAGCCGGGTCAAAGGCGCCAGCATCCACGACGGGCCGCAGGCCATCGCCAAGTTCAGAGTGGGAGGGAAGAGCAAACCGAGCGGTGAGTCACGTTAAGTATTCACAGCCCTGACCTGAGCTGAACCACAGCAATGATAAAAAGCAACCGAGAAACTGATCAAATCAATTATTGAATATTTAAAAGCTATAGTCATAAGATGAACCAAAATTAAAACAATGCATGTAAAAAATAACAGTTACAAAATAAACTCAGGCAAAAGACATTTTTCCATTTCAGTTTTTTCAATATAAATGAAAAGAAAGAAAAACTGCAGGCGCGTTTCTGTCTGGTTGATTAAAACACAAAACGTTTGTTCTTTTCATCTTATTTACTGTTCAGTGTCTTTCAAATCTCAGAACTCCAGTTATCAATTAATCGATTTCCATATTAGCTCATGGTTCATTGATCACAATTAATTGTTTTCAATAATTGATTATTTGTGGTAAATTATTTATTTCAATGCTTGATTATTCTGATTAATCAAAACGAATTGTTTAACGATCAATTAATCGTAATTAATCGTTTCATATCTGACCTTGTTAGGAAGCAATGAAGATATGATTTCTGTTTGTTTTCTTACCGGACTTCCTCCCGTCCAGAACCGCCCGCTGCGCTGCCCGGCTTCGCGCCGTATGGCGAGCAGAGCGAGAGCATCTGCTACCGGGACGTGACGTCACCGATCAACGAGCTGGACGGTCAGAGCCACAGCAGCAGAGGTCAGAGGTCAGACCCAGGAGGTGAGCCGGCGTTTGATCGGTGTTGGTGAAGAGCTGATGTCTCTGCAGACGAAAGTCCGTTCTTCGAGAGCGACATGCCCACCATGAGGAGCAGCAGCAGCAGCAGCGACGGCCTGCCTCACGCGGTCGGACTCAGCTGGGAAGGATCCGTGGAGAGCAACGAGGTGCGTTCGCCTCGCCACCGCTTACTCTGACTTCCTGTTAGCCGCTGAAGCTCATGTTCGTCCACCAGGACTCGGATCAGAACCGCAGGAGCAGCTCCCGCCGGACGAATAAGAGTCACTCCAAAGGAAAGACGCGGCACGCCAACAGCGACGCGGTTCTGTCCGGCGGGACGGGAAACGGCAGCAAACACGGCGGGCCGCGGCCATCTTACTCCGGTCCGAAGGTTGGGCTGCTTCCAGGTCACGCTTCGATTTAGCGTCTGCGTCAGTTTTTCACTTCGTTTCCCTGCAGGATCTGGCAGAATTCCTGGAGCAAATCGGCTTCTCCAAATATCTGCCGCTGCTGGAAGAGCAGGACATCGACCTGCGGATATTTCTCACGCTGACAGAGAACGATCTGAAGGAAATCGGGATTACGTGAGAATTTTTCTACTGCGGAGAACCAGCGCCAGACTGAGAGATTTTTAGTTTCTAGAATAAAATCATAATGATACGAGAACAAAGTCATGATAATATAAAAATGAATGTGATCATTTTTAGCTTTTTCAGTCGTACTAATAAAACCAAGTTGTAAATAATACAAGAATAAAAAAGTAACTGACAGTTAAGATCAGGAGAATAAAGTCGTAATAATAACAAACGACTTTATTATTGATTTAATCATTTCAGAAGTTCTTGGTGTCTGTGATACATTTAAGCGCCAGTCTCAGCTTCCTGGCGGTTCTGAACGGCTCTGTGTTTTTCAGGCTGTTTGGTCCCAAACGGAAGATGACGTCAGCCATCGCGCGGTGGCACAGCAGCGCGCCGCCGCTCACCGACGCCCTGGAGCAAGCGTACGCCGACCAGCTGGAGGCAGAGATGCAGGAAATGGCCATTCAGCTCCACAAGGTGAGCGAAGCAGATCACAGCTTTTCACACACTGCTGGGCGTTTATGACACCGGACTGCACCAAGCACAAGCTAGGAATGTGTGAAAAGACAAGAATCAGTGTTGGGCCCGACTAACTAATCCGAAAACATTCAACAAGCATCAGATCTCTTGTCCTCCGGCAGCGATGTGAGGAAATCGAGGGCCTGGAGAGCCAGGTGTCCCAGGAGAAGGAGCTCCGGACGGTGATGGAGGGCTGCCTGATGGAGGACAAAATGGCCTGGAAGAAGGTCCACTCCGAGCTGGTGGAGAACCACCGGCTGGCTCAGGACATGAGCAACACGCTGACCAAGGCCCGGGCCTGCCGGGCCGAGCTGCTGGCCTGTTTCACGCCCGACCGGAGCAGCGGTTCTGACCCGGCAGGTACGGCGGTTCTGATGTTAAATCTCGTTTATTCTTAGCAAAACGAAGTGACTCTTATTTTTTTCTTGCACTTGTAGAGGAGCTGCGATGGTCCAATATGGCGGAGCTCGTGAAGCAGCTGGAGTCCTTTCAGGACAAAATGGGTACAGAGTTCAGTGCTTCACATTAACTGGTGAAGATTTAACTCTGACGTTTGATGTGGTTCCAGCAGGGACCGTGGAAACCCTGCAGCAGAGCCTGCGGCGGCTCAGCGCCCCGGAGAAGGTCTCCGACAGCTGGGAGCGTCCCTGAACCTGCTCCAAGCGGTCAGAACTAGATGCTAACTGGATGCTAACGAGCTGTTAGCAACTTCCTAGCATTCCTGCGTCTCTTCTGGCAGGATGACGTATTATTTTCGTTTGTTTTGTTTTGACGGTTTAGCTTCTTCTTCTTCATCTCAAATGAACTGAAACCAGCTTCTCTCCGCTGCTTTTTAAAAGGTTACTGTGAATATTTGACGGAGGGTGAGCCAACCACCCCGAACCGCCGCTGGAAGAGTCGCAGCGCCGCAGCGAGTCGAGCAGCCCCAGCTGCCTCTGATTGGCTACCTGTCGTCCGCCTCTGATTGGCTAAAGGACCTGCGCTTGCCCAGTTGATGGCGGGAGAAACGACAGGGAAACGACAAGCAGGCAGGAAGAGGTCATGACCCTCACCGCTTGTGCTGGTGTGTTGCACTCCGCGTGCAAAGAGAAGAAGAAATGATGGAAAATTAAATGTAATCTGTTTGTCTTAGTTTTAGTGAAAGTCCTGCTGATTTTGAATGAAATTACTTGTTTTCTTATATCTGAAATGTGTTGCCAGTGGCGCCCTCTTGTGGTTAACATTAACTGTTTTCATGGCAAAAGTAAATTTCACAAATTTTGAGTTTAATCTCAGAAATAGATTTTTTTCTTGTAAATGTACTTTTTTTGTTGTATGACGGCCCATATCATCACTAACGCCAGAATATAGACGCCTTATTACTTAGTATTGCAAATTTTACCAAGCATTTTTGTCTGGTTTTTAGTGCAGATATCTTATTACACTTGAAATATGACAAAACAAGTAAAATTTCAGTAAAATATGAGCTTGTTTTATATCAATTCCTAAATATTGATTTTAGATCCACTGGCAGATTATTTAAATTATAAACAAGATTCAATAAGTCTTAAGATTATTAGTGAAATCTGCCTTTTGTTTCACTGTTTAAAACAAGCTGTTATCATGTAGTTAAAAATTTACTTAGGTTAGTTTTGTCTTATTTCATTTGTAAAAATATAGTTGCACAATAAACCAAATCAAAAAAACTTGGTAAAATTTTGTGATTTTGCATTAAATGACAGTAGAGTGAAAATAATACCAGAATAAAGTAAAACACTATTTGTTCACATTAAATCTTTAACTCCAGAAGCTTTTTTTCTGGTTAAAATTGAATCTTTATTTTGCTAATATTTTTATTCTCATAATAAATTCTCGTAAATTGGCCTCAATACCCCAAACTCACAGGATAAAAATATTTTCTGTAATTTGTTTTTGATTTTAGAAAAAAAAAATTTAAGTTCAGAAATTATTCAAATTGGATTTGATATAAAAAAAAAATCTAAATTAGTTTTTTTTGTTGTTGTTGTGACTAAATATAAATAAATTAAAGGGATATGAACTTTTTAAAAATTCTGTCTTCCTGATCTATTTGATGTAAACAATGTGAAGACAAACAGGCTTCCGGAGCCGAACTTAACATCAAGTGTTTTAATGTTTCGCTCAAATCCATTTTCCTTCTTATAAATTAATGTTACATTATCTACAGTCGCTCAAAATAAGTGTTAGCATGTAAAACAGTAACTCAGATCTGAAAACTGTAAAATGTTGAACATTTCCATCGCTGGTTTTACATTCGGGGGTCTGATTGACCTGTTGCTGTGACGTCACATGAAGGCCAGAGGGGGCGGCAGAGCGCTCCGAGGCGTGAAAAACGTTCCCCAGGTGTGCATCGGGTCTCAGGTGTATTCACACAGGTGGCCGCATCCGGCAGGGCAGTGAGAGTTGTTCTTCAGCCAGTTCATGATGTGCTCCAGGTGTCCGCCGTGGCTGCAGCCCTGGCACCAGACGAAGAGCCCCTTCACCACATGGTGGCACACCGCACACGCACTGACACACTGGCGACACCTGCAGGCCAGACGCACACGCTTATGGTTTTCAAACAAGGTGCAAAAAATAAACATTTTCAGTTAGCAAAACTGCTAAAATACTAAACAAATAATTAGCTCTGCAATTAGCGCATTAGCAGAAGTGACCCCAGTAGGTCTAATAATAACCAATAATATTTCTAGAAAGTAACTAAAAAGTTCGATTTAGTTAAATTGATCTGAAATATCTAGAAAGTGAAGAGTTTAAAAAAAGCAAAGATGTAATCTTTAATGTTTGTACCTGTCACAGATCCATCCCTTGTTGCTCATTGGCCGCTTGCAGTTGCTGCAGTTGATGTGCAGTGTGGTGGAGGTCTGGTTGAGGCAGGTGATGGCGCTGCAGGTACTCAGCTTGATGACCTCGTTGGAAACGTTCCACAGTTCGAACCGCTGCAGCAGGTCAATATAGGACATGTACCAGTGCTCCTACGGAGGCAAAGCAGGTCCAAAAACTGTCCAATCACTTCACAAAACGCCAATAAACGCTGCTGCTGCTGTGTCTCCTGACCTGAGTGAGGTCGTCGATCTCCTTGCGAATCCTCTCCCCCAACACGATGAGCACGGACACGGCCATCTGCACGTCGCCGCGCTCGGCGTAGTGGCTCAGCATCTCGCGCACGATGGGGCAGAAGAAGCTGGCGTGTAAATGCGGGCTGTACAGCGGCTGGGAAATGGAGATGAGCGAGAACGACTCGATGGGCGTCAGGCAGGCCACCTCCGCCTCGTTGCCGCTGACGTGCGGCGAGTCGGCCTTGTCCTGCTGCAGGTGCTCCGGCGCCGACGGGTTGTCGATGATCTCGTGGCGCAGCTGGAAGGCCTCGGGAGGCAGCGTGTACACCGGCTCCTCCGCCACTGCAGAGAAAGCAGCTTCAGGCTTATTGCTTCAGGTTAGCGCAGCTAGCGGTGCCCAGTGCAAACCGCTGAGGTGAGCTGCTGGGATCTGGGCTGACCCGTTTGGCTGTCGTGCTCCATGGGGTAAAGGTCGTCGTCATCCAGCTCTGCGTCTCCAAACATGTACTCTGTGGGGCCGTCGCTGCCCTCCGTCTCCTCGTTCTCTGGAAACGAAGCCAGACTGATTCACGGGTCGACGGTTTGAATCCCCGGCTGCGAAGCGGCAACTTTACCTTCGTTGTTGTTGCTGATGTGCGAGTTGCCCGGCTCCAGGTGGATGTTGTCCTGCCGGCTTTCGCCTTTGCAGCGCTCCAGTCTGCTCTCCGGACCCATTTCTTTCATGCTGAAACTGAAAGCAGAATCATTCAGGTTCGCTGTTCCAGAAATCCGGATTCCAGTCTGAGAACCGGATTACCTGTTCATTAGTGGTAAGCTGCCCAGTTTACTGAGGCTGTGGTTTGGACCGGGTGCCGGGTCAGAAAACATTATTCTCAGCATGGTCCATGTTGTCGAAACCTTTCCATTAAATAAAGGTTTGTTATTTTGGTCAACAATCGGCTGAACTTTTCCACATTTAAACAAAAACTTCACATATTTTTACAGGATTTTATGCAAAATACCAACAAAGATCTGATGCCAAAACTTTATTCCAGCTTTTCAAGATATTATTTTTATTGTTTTCTAATATTTTGACTTTAATCACAAAACATTTTTATTTTGTTCCCATCGTTTTGACATTATTCTTGAAATGTAAATGTTATCTTTCAATGGAAAAAAAACATTTATTTAACGCGCTAAAATGGAAACAGGTGGTGAACTGATCGATTGGCCCATTTTTTACACATTTGGCAATATTTTAAAGTTCGCTCAAAGAATACATGAAACTTTATGGAAACAGTGACTGCTCAAATCCTTTCCTTAAATCACATTAAATAACTTTTATTTTTCAATTAAAATGTTTTTTTTCCCTTTTTTTTTCTCACTCAAAATAAAAAAACTTTGCAGAGAAAAGTTTTTGTCCACTTTTTGTGGGTTTTTATTTTTCTTAATTTGCCAACAGGGAACGAGAAGCTTTGCTTTTCCAATTGATCGACATAATTCAGAGTTTTTTCCTATTTTGTGCCAAATTTTAAAAGTTGCTCATAATTTGCATGTTGACTGGAAACATTTACTGTCAGCATTTCTTTCTCATGCTGAAGTTTGCATTAGAAAATCTTTATTTTTAAATAAGTTAATAAAAAGCCTGTGGTGTTCTGATCGACCCAATTTAAATTTTCTTTCTATTTTTTGTGATATACCAATAATTATTGATCAGGTTTTTGATGTAAATATGTGAAATGCTGCCCAGATGATGCTGGTTTTGTTTTTCATTTTTTAAGTGGGGAAACTTGAAACTGCTGCTGTTTATTCTTTGCTGTCTGTTGTGATATTTAATGCTATTCATTTATTAATGCTATTCATTTATTGGCTTTAGTTCCTGGTTGCAGCAAAATAAAATGAGGAAATTTAAAGAATGAATATAATATAATTGAATGTTAATATAGATTCCTCTCCGTATTGAAACGGATCAAATTCAGATTAAAAAATACTTCACTGATTGCAGAAGGACCTGCTTCGTTCTGTCTTACCTGCGGTCGTTTGAGCTCCCGGGCCACCGTAGCGTTGTGGTCGCACAGCTCCGTGAACGGCTTCCCACTGAGCAGGTAGAGTTGGGCCGTCTTTACGAACCAGTCCATGCGGCTGCTGTCCAAGTCCGTCTCGAAGACGCTCAGCGCGCTGGACACGTGGGCGAACTGCTCCGTCGGGTTGGGCTTCTTGAAGGAGAAGAACGGGTAGCGGCGGTCCCCTCCGGGGTACGGCTTCCTGCCGGCGTCGCCGCTGACCAGACTCTCGTTGACGGCGAAGGCCAGGTCGCCCATCAGGCCGAAGCACAGGCCCTCGGGGTTGGCCTTGTTCACGGGCCGCGTGGCGTCCTTGAACATGTGCTGGTAGAGCGTGCTGTCCTTGGACCCGGACAGCAGGTAGTGGGGGTCGTGCTGGTGGCGCCACACGATCCCAGTGGTCACGTCTTTATGCTCCTCGAAGGTGGCGAAGGGGATGAAAGGTCTGCGGATGTCCCACACGTAGATGTTGTGGTCCACCATCATGGAGCAGGTGGCCAGGTGGAACTTCTTCTCCGGGCGCCATTTGACCCGAGCCACCGACGCGATGGTCTGGACGCAGTAGATCTCCTTGGCGCGGTTGGTGGTCATGTCCCAAACCTTCACCATCTTGTCTCTGCCGCCGGTGGCCAGCCAACCCCTGAACCAGGACAGCAGAAAGCAGATGGTTTCTAAAACGAAACCCTCACCTGAACCGTTAGAGCAGGTGTGTCAAAGTTATTTGGGCCAAATCAAGATCATGAAGGCTCTTAAAGGGCCGGTAACACATTCTGGCACAAATGTTCACAAACTGTTAATATGTCAATGAATTCTTAAAATTACATAATATTATTGAAGATCTTTTCAGTCCCTTCAGGAACTAATGATAAATGCGACTGTTTATTTACTCGCTGTATGAATCATGGACTATAATCACACATCAACTAAATTCTCAAGAAACTGGAGGGATTGATTGATATAAATTGGCAGTAAACCGATAAAAACTGCATTGATATGATTGATAATATATTTAATCACACTTAGTGTTTAGTCTAGACTGTGGAGGGCCACATAAAAAGCTACGGCGGGCCAGATTTGGCCCCCGGGCCTCGAGTTTGACCCATGTGCTTCAGAGCCACATAAAGACGGTTACAAAGTCCGTCTTCAATCAGCTGAAGAACATTTCTGGGTTTAAAGAAGAAACGTCCCAGAAAGATCGAGAGAAAATCCTGAGTCACATTGACTGTAAAAAGCAGGAAGTTAGTTTATAAATCACTGAACGGCTGAAAGATCAGCTGCATCCAGACGTCTCAGGTCTTCTGGTTCTGGAGCTTCTATGCTCCACAAATCTGGAACAAACGTCCAGAAAACGTCCCTTTAATTCAACCCCTCCAGGTTAGAGCTGCTTCTGAGTCCCTGGATCAGCTTGTCAGTTGTGTGTTGATGTTCGTTCTGCTGCGCTGCTGCAGAAACGCGGCGGCGTCGTACCTGTCGTCCGGATGCCAGTCGCAGCAGAACACGGGGCCGGTGTGAGCCGTGAACATCCGCTCGTAGCGATCCGGCCGCCTGATGTCCCACAGCTGGACGTTCCCGTTTTCAAAGGAAGCAGCGAAGGTGAAATAGTCCTTCATGCTGAACTGGACGTCCCTGACGCTCTCCGACTGACCTGCAGCCAAACGCAGCAGCTTTTCACCGTCTGCTTTTCTGACCACTGAAATTTTACCTCTAAAGGTTTAGTACGGTTCAGTGGAGCATCAGTTCATCAGAACTCAAACCATAGAAGGTCTTCAGTCAGAGGCTCAACCAGATCAGTTGCAACACTGTCTGCTACAGGAGATCCTTCCTTCAACATTTTTAGATTCTTTAATATAATGTTTATTTACTGTCACATTTTCACTTGATCTGTAGTTAATTTTTAAATCTTTATTGGTGTTAAAGCATTTCAGTTTAAAGTTGCTGAAAAACTTTTGGCTCTTCTGCTATTTTGATGCTTTATGATCTAATATCTCTGTTAAATGTCTTTGATTATGTTTCTGCTTCCTGTTTGTTTCTGTAGCTGGTTTACCTGAGAAGGTGCTGACTGACTCCTTCTTGCGCAGATCGAAGCATTTCATGAATCCGTCCTGTGAGCCGCTCAGCAGCATGTAGGCCTCCGTCGGGTGGAAGCACACCTTGTTGACGGTGCGTTTGTGCTCCGTGAACAGCTGGTCCTGCTTGTTGCGTGACGGTTTACCCAGGTTCCAGGTGACCACGGCGCCGTTGGTGGCGGCCGTGGCCAGCAGGTTTTCCTCCATCTGGTGCCACATGACGTCGGCGCAGCTGAAGTTCAGCGACGGTTTGCGGCCGACGCGCAGGTTCAGCTTCTCCACAAACTGCTCCTCCTCCAGGGCGTAGATCTTGAAGATGTTGCGCCCGGCGACGACCACCTGGGCGGCGTCCCGGCACACGCTGATGGCGTTGGCCGGAGCGTCCAGGTGGCAGAACATGGTTCGGCCGGTGATGCTGCTGCTGCCGAGGGCCGTCGTGACCCGGGACATTTTCTCCATCTTCCTGCTGCAGGAAAAACAGGAAAGAAGAGTCAAAAAATTATTTCAAGAAAAAAAACTATCTGAGAAATCTGTAAAAAAAAACAATAAAATATAAATTACGCCAACAAATCAGAATTTAAATGTAAATGGAGGAATGAATAAAATATGTAAAATAATAAAAAAATAAATGAAAAATGTAGATAAATTGAAACATTTAAATAAACCAACAAATTTAAAAATAAATATGTAAAAAAAAAAAACAGAACATAAATCCACACGTAAAAAAACAAAACACATGAAAAAATCCTAAAAATGCATAAAAAAAATCATAATAATTCCTCGTTCTGGAAATTCTTAATCTGTTCAAAATTCTTAAAAATGGATCTAAAAATGCCATTAAGTTGTACGTCTTCCCTTCTCCTGTCAGTGAGTTTTACACGTCCACTGTATGCATTCTGAATAATAATTGATATTTTTTATTTAAGAAAGAGCCAGGCAGCTCAGCAAACCTCATCTGGTCATTTAACTTGATTATATGACCAGTTCATTATTATAAAACTTATTTTTTATATAAACTGATGGAATTTGACTCAGTATGGAACCGTACTGAATAGTTTTAAATAATATCTAAGAAAGATAAATAAAATGGTCAAAATGTTTAATATTTTTTATAAAAAGAGTTCCATATCCTACCAACAGGTGGCGATAATAAATACACAACATTAGAGCCTTAGTTTGTATCAGAAACAATAAATAAATAAACTCTAGACATATTAATAATTATATCAGCTGCAGTACTGACTTTATGAAGAACCGATGGCTTCATCAATCTCTGCAGCTGGACAGTTTCCTCCCAACCTGTGAGAAACATCTGGGTCAGAATTTCACACCATCTGATTCTCAAAAAAACATTCAAGTTTTCTCCAACTATAGAATACAAGGCATCGTGGCAAACTGTAAAATTAAAAGGTTATGCTCTCTTATTAAATAAAAACTGCCAAACAATAATAATGAGTGAAAAAACCTTCAATATTACAATTATGAGTTCATCTTTGAATAAATTAAGATTGATTCAGAGATTTAATTATGAAAATGTCTGCATAATGTTGTAAAACATTCACTATTAGAGTGGTGAGTAAAATGATCCATTGCTTTGAGAATATGACCTTTGACTTTCTGGGTGCTTTGATAGGTTAGAAACTAACCAATCACTTTGTAAATAAGATTAATCAATAGTTTAAATGACCTTTAGTTTGGGAAACTATTGTAGTTTTTTTCTGTAATACAGTAATTAACACTAATGTTTATTAACCATATAGAGTGGAATTAAATGTTATATTCATCAATTTCAGAGAAATATTTCACTGCAATTTATGTGAAAAATATTAAAAACATTTTGTTTTTGTATTTGTTGCGATGCCCGTTTGTACAGCTGTATGTTTGTTGTTGTTTTTCGTGTAACCATAGTTGTGAATGACATAAAGAGATAAAAGCAGCATGTTCTGATCACCTGATTGATAAGGAGCCTCTCGGTGCTCACGTGAAGATCATCCCCGGAGCAACACCAGCTAGCAGAGCCGCAGCCAGGCTGCCCGCTTCCTAGCGAGCTTCTCCCGACTCGCCGCTGCGCCGCAGGTTCATTTCTCTGCTGAATCTGTTTATCCGAAACAGCCCGCTTGATTCCCGCTCTGCTGGTGAGTTGGACAGAAAACGGCTCAGCTCGCAGGAGGCTCAGCTCACTTCCACCATAAACAGACCGCAGTGTGATGCTAACATTAGCCGGTCCGCCAGAACCGACACACGGACAGCGCGAAAGGCGGGCAAACGTTTTACGTATAAAACTGTGAACAACTCCGTTACAAAAAACAACAAAAAGTACATAAAGTTGAGGAATACCGAAAAATAAAGCGGTGTCAAACTACAAACCTTATGTTCTGAAGCTGTTGCTCAATGCTGGTAACACCGGAAATACTATTTTACTGTAATCTCGCGAGAATTACGCAAAGCGGCCCAGTTCACCTTCCCCAAGAAGAGATGACAGTTTTTCTCAACTGGTACTGGAAGAAAACCTGGTGTCTAAATATTTGGTTATTACTAATATTGAATAAGTTTTAGCCATTGTTTTTATCCCTGGAAATTTTAACTGAGTAAAACAGAGGTTAAAGTAATTATTAAAGATGACATCAAAACAATTTGGCAAGAAAATTATATTCACAGAATAAAGAAGGCATCTATCTATCTATCTATCTATCTATCTATCTATCTATCTATCTATCTATCTATCTATCTATCTATCTATCTATCTATCTATCTATCTATCTATCTATCTATCTATCTATCTATCTATTCACAATTTTAACATTTTCTATTTAGTTTTCTGTTTCTATTTTCTCTGTCCAGCAGGTGGCGGTAAAACTGCGGTTGTAAATTGCCAACAAAACATGCAGAAGAACAAGAATCTAATCCGAGATTATTTGAATTGAAATACGTTTTTCAATGTGTTTTTATTGTGCTTTATGCTGAAAGTTTAAGCAAACATCTTTCTTCTGCTGCGATTTTTAGTTGAAGCCGTGCCCTCTCCAATATGGCCGCCCTGTTCGGCTGCGGGAAACCGGAAGTGTGGAGGAGAGTTTATGAGAAGTACCGGGACGTGATGGAGGCCGCGGCCAAAGCCAGGAGGCCGAAGCTCCTGCAGCTGGACAAATGGTGATTTCTGCTTTTCAGCCCTGAACGCAACACAAAGCCGCGTCAGCGCATTAAAGACAGGACAAAAGTAGGACATTTTTAGATTAATCTCAGAAATTTTGTAGAAAAAAACACGACATTACTGAGTTTAAAAAGTGGAAAATTTCCTAGAAAATTTTTTAGATTAATAAATTTTCAAGAGAAAAAAATTCTGAGTTTCAAAAGTCTAATATTTTTTAGAAAAAATATGAATCCATTTAGAATTAATCTTAGAAAGTTTCTATAAAAACCAAAAATCCTGCGAGTTAGAAAAGTCAAAAATTTCAAGAAAAAAAAAAGTGAGATTATTTTCAGAGATTTTAGAGACAAAATAGGACATTTATGACATTGAAAATTTACTAGATTAAACTCAGAAATTTGGGATTAGGATAAAATATTTTCTAGGAAAAAAAACAATTAAAATTTAGAGTTTGAAAAGTCTTACATTTTTCCATTTGGAACTCAAATATTTCCATGTTCTTTGTAGAAATTTTCTGAAATTAATCTGGGTTTTTTTTCTATCCAACTATTGACTTTCAAGCTCCTAAATTATCTCTCGTATCAAACTGTCGCCACAAGCTGTCAGTTTCAACAAATCTGATAAAGAAAAAGCATTTTTTAAAATAAAAGCTACTTTCTGCAGCTTTAAGGCAATATGTCTGATCAGGTACCAGGAGGAATTGCCGGCGCTGATTTTGAGTCGACCTGACAAACACATCACTCTGTCAGAGCTGAAGATGCTAATGGAGTGGAAGCTAACGGTAAGTGCTAACCCCGTTAGCTGTTTCCATTACAAATGTAAACAAAAATTTTTCTACTGATGTTGGAAAAATACAATTTCACCATTGCTGTTTATACTAAATAAGAAATTAAATTGAAATGATGTGAATATGTTTGCTCACACGATAAGTCACTAGAAAATATCATCATCCTACCACTTCCTGTCATCTTCTTCATAGTTTCTGGCAGTAGTAACATCCTGTCGTTTCCATTGTAATTCTGTAAAATAAATCAATTTCAATGTGGCCCAAAAACCCACGTTATGTTAGTGCAGAAAACATTCCATCAAAAATGTGAGTTTTTGTAAAATTTGTGCCTTAATTTCCAACATCTCAATTAGAAGCGCAGCAACTCTCTTCTGCAAACGGATCCTGCAATAACCACAGCAGCTACGTTTCCATTCACCATAGAATTGGCCGACTTGACATTTGCTCGCTAACAGACGACGTTTTGCTCACATGCGTGATGTGAAGGCAGCGTGTGTCTCGTGTGTCGTCCAGAGGGGGAAGTTCAGGCCGAGGCTGCAGCAGCTGGTGGCCTCCAACGACCAGGACGCCGTCCAGAAACGCTCCAGAACGGCGCTGGGCCTCCTGCCCGACGTTCCGGCCGCCGTCGCTGAGCTCAGCGGCCTGAAAGGCGTCGGCCCCGCCACAGCCTCAGGTTGGCGTCTTCTCACTCCCCTCTGCATGAACACTGCAGCGGTGAATCACAGCGGCAGCTCAATATTTCACAGCGAAGGCTGGAAGTCTGGCTGATTGATTTTCCAATAAGTTCAGAGTCTTGCTCTGTTCAGACGGAGGAGAACCGCGCTCTCTTACCGCCGCACTCGGCTGAGCCTGCAGGCCAAACTTTATCTGTCCAACATTTTTCAAAGATAAAATCATAAAACTAAAACCATCTGCACACAGAGACGCTTAACAGCATCTTAATGATGTAGACATTAAAAAACAATAAAAGAAATTAATTTCCACAGGAAAAAAAAAAACAAGGAAATTTCTGAATTTGAAGAGTTCAAAGTTTGCTTGAAAAATTTCAAATTTTCTATTAAAATTTTTTTTTCTGAGTTTTACAATTTGAAAATTCTTGGAAAAATCTCAGAAATCAGATGAGACAAATTTGATAAGAAACATCTTTAAAAAACTTTTTCTAGAAAAAAACAGAAATAATTAAGTTGAAAAACTAAAAGAAATACGAGAAAAATCTCAAATGTTCTGTAAAAACAATAAAATTCCTGAATTTTAACTTACAAAATTTCTTTTCAAAAAAATCCTATTAAACTTTCTATAAAGGAAAAGAACATTTGAATTTGAAAAGTCAAATAATTTGCCAGAAAAATCTCAGAAATTTGTATTTGAATCTTTAAAATTTCTGAGAAAAAAAAAATAAAATTTTTCATAAAAACTGTGAAATTCCTGAATTTGAAGCCACATGTTTCCTGGAAAAAAAAACAAGAAAATTTTAGTTTGAAAGTCAAGAAATGTAAATTTTGAAATGAATGTCAGAAACGTTGCAGAAACCTGCATATTTCTGCGTGAGTTGATGACTGAGTGTTTTGCTGCAGCGGTGTTGGCAGCAGCGGCTCCGGCTCTGGCTGCCTTCATGTCCGATGAAGCAGTGGAGAACGTTCCCGGCCTGCAGCCCGTTCAGTACACCGCCAAGCACTACGCGCTCTACCTGGACAAAATGGCCGCCCAGGCCGCCAAGCTGAATCGAGGTGAGGCGCCGCCCAGCTGAGGGTTTGCTGAAGAGCAGATGGGAATCTGTGGCTCTGCTTTCTGCTCCCAGTGGATCCGCTGCAGGACTGGACGCCTCACCGGCTGGAGTTGTGTTTGTGGGCCGCCGCCACCGCGGCCAGGCTGCAGCTTCCGGTTCTGGAGGATCTGAATGGCGGCGACCCGCTGACCTCAGATGGCGACCAGAGGCCAGCCAAGAAGATCAAAACTAATTAAAACACGTTGGTGAAGTTAGTAAATTACAGTTTGGGTCATTTAGCCTGATACAAGAGGATTTGTTTCCAAAATCCATATTTTCATAAAGTTACTCACTTAGAAAAGTCAGTTTCTAACTAAAAACTTCATTTACACTCTAAATATTTAGTTAGCAAGCTAAATATTTCTTACTAAATATTTTGCTTCAAACAAAATATTTGTTCAAATTGGAGTTATTTGGCTAAATATTTATCTTGCTGAATGTATGTTTAGTTTGTAAACTAGTTAGTTAGCTAAATAAATGTTTAAATATTAAATATTTAGCCTGCTGAAGTTAGTTAGTTAAATATTTAACTTGCTCACTATTTAAATAGTTAACTAGCAAAGTATTTCTACAGTTTATGCAGAGAAAATATTTTGTTTGAAGATAAATATTCAGCTAGTTACTTTGCTTTAAGCTAAATATGTAATTATTTAGTTTGAAGTGAAACATTTAGCTTACTCGCTAAATGTTTTATTTGCAGTTAAGTATTTAGTTTGAAACTGACATTTATAAATGAATTAATTACATGGTGAAAACATGAGTGGAAAATGAAACCTGATTTTATTTCTATATTAAAAGCTAAATAACTCAAATTATTTAATTAATTTACAAACACCCACACTTACAAATCTCCAAACTGTGGAGGATGTCTAAAGGTTTGTAATTTTGTATTTGCAGAAAGAATAAAGTTTTCTTTATGGAAGAAAGAATGCATCCGCAAAAATTAGCATTGATTTCATATTTTCATAAACAATTTTGTTCTTTGTTATTTTATCAAGTCATGCAGAGAAAAGAGCAGTTAAAACTAGAAAATCTCAGGACCTGCTGCTGAAAATTAGCAACAATGCTAAAGTTAGCTAAAATGTATTCAATATTATGCGGCGCACAAACATGAACATAAATATGTGCATGTTGACCAACCTACCTCTACGGTATTCAGTAAGCTAAACGTCGCTAATGTGTCACATATGAGCTAAAATGCTAACGTTAGCCGTATCATCATGTTAGCGTTAGCATGAGAGCTAGCAACAGGAACAGTGGCAGGATCAGGATCGAGCCGCTTGTAAGGATTTATATTACAAGCATTAAAAACATATTATACATACATGTATAATATGTTTTTATTTGTTATATTGTGGATCTCATTCTGCATTAACAGACAAAAGGAAAGTAAATAATTTAATGTTACTTTCACACCATGCTCCCTTTGCATGACAATAAATCATTAAAACCCCAAATTGAATGAAAATGAATGTCGATGGCGTCAGTTTGTTTAAGATTCACTTTGTAAAAATGAGAAAATGAAAAATCAGCAGCACCATGTGGCCACAGTATTATTCTTTATTTATATTGTTTCTAAATTAAAGCAAAGTACAATGAACAGTACAAAGTAAAACAAAATATATTCATATATATACAATATAAAATGGTTCCATTCAGAACATTTAAAAAGTACAATAGTTTGTGAAGGAATTCATGAGGATTTGGATATAAATTATCCACTCGTAAATTTAGTTTTCCTTTAGTTTTGACCCAGAGAAAAATAGCTTCTTCTTCTTCTTCCTTCTTTTTATTTTTTTTAAATTTTTATTTAATATTTTTTGTAAACGCTGTTTGGCTCGACCTCTTCTCTGGTGTGAGAGATTGAGCCTCGTAAGCTTGGCACCATTTTATCGATACAAGAAAGCAGCTCATGAAAAACTACCACAGCAGCGCAGGCAAGACGTTCGGCTAATCTCAGCAACAATGCTATTGATTGCTATCACAATCAACTGGAGTTTCTTCATTTTGCAAGGCCAATAGTTGCTCAGTTGTTGTGAACGTGTGAATAATCTGCAGCAAAACCAAGAAACTGGAAAAGGAAAATGAAAAGAGCTGAAAACCTCAAACTTTTAAAAACAACAGTCGCTTTGTTTACATTGATGCTAATTTTGTGAGTCAAAATGCGTCTAAATGAGGCGGTGGATATTTTGGTGGGGAATGAAGCTGTTCATTGAAAACATTAAAGAAGCTGTTTAGCAGATTTAAATGTTTCCTGTTTATGAATATATTTGATTTCAGGAGCTGCAGAAGCCTGAAAGAGTTACCTAAACCTACGAACTAAACGCTACCAAAGGCAACCTGGCGCGGCTTGTTGGCACAGAGCAGCTGCAGATATTAGTGCTAAAGCTAACATCCGCTGCAGCTAACACCTGCTGCGGCTAATATCCGCTTCGGCTAACTTCTCTGACAGACTCAGAACAGGTTTATGGAGAACCACGGCGTCGTAGGGACATTGTATAAAAAGGAGTAAATTTCCAGGGAAAAAACTTCAAAATTCTGAGATCAATCTCAAAATTTCTAAGTTTTTCTTGCAAATTTTCAACTTTTCAAACTGAGAAATTTTCACGTTTTATTCTATACAAATGTTGAAATTTCTGAGTTTTTTCTTGCAAATTTTTAAAGCAAAGTTTTTTTTACAAAATTCTAGAAAATGTTTGCTGTTAATTTCAGACTTTCTGAGTTTTTGTCACAAATTTTTGACTTTTTAAAATGAGTAATTTTGTAGTTTTAATCAGAGATTAACTTCAAAATGTCCGTTTTTTTCTAATTATTTATTTTTTTTATTTGAAATGGCCGTAATTCACCATCACATATGGAAAACCAATCAGTTCCAAAATCACAAAATAAACTTCGTCTGTCTTTTTCTGGGCGTTTCCATAAGAAGGCCTGAGGCATTTTGGGTCGGTGGTTTGGCATTAAATACAGATTCTAGATTAGCTTTTTCGGAAACAGCAACAGAAAAATGTAAAAACCCAGAACTAAATGTTCAGATTAATCTGAAGATATTTAGATTTTAGGCTGGGTTTTCGTCAGTCTCAGCCGTGAGGTTTTATCTGCTAACAAAAAGCTGCAGGCGGCGTTGAGTTCACAGCCGGTGTGCAGATCCACTGAGTAGCCCTTTGTTCCTCCTGATTTCCACTGAATCTTAGACCACAGAGGCACACTAACCTCATTACAGGCTAACAGGCTAACACTTCCTGATAAGTTTCAAAGATCACTGCCAAATATTGGCAGCTCTCTTAATGTTGAAGTTGATCTGAAAATGGCTTTTTGAAGCTGCTTGAACTCTTTAATCAGACGCTTCCTGTACCTGCTGATAGTTTCATGACTTTCAAACCCAAAAGCATAAATTAATTTAAATCCCTTCAGACAACTTTTGGACTAAATTACCCAGAAGCATTCAGTTAATGTTACCACCATCAGAAAATTGAATATTTCCAGTTTGTTGTTAGCGAAGCTGCATTCAGGCGGAGCGTAGGGGCAACTTGGAGGTGTGGGCGCTTGCTAAGTGATGCTGCTACTCTATGAACAGGAAGTAAGCAAAACAAGATGAGTTCAGCTACATGAAAGCGTCTCAGAGGTTTGAACAAATCAGAACAATTTCATGATGAAACATCCATTCATTCACACGTTTCTACAAAGTTTCAAACCAACAAGCGTTTCGTTCTCATCGGCCGTATGACGGGTGAAAAAGCCCCACAATCACATCAATATGTCAGATCATTGGAATTATTATTCATCTGTCCGCACTTAAAAAACTGGAAATAAATATTAAATAAACAAACAAATCAATCCATTATTATTTAAGTGAGTCAAATGGGAATTTTATATTTAAATGTGGGAAGAAATAATTGGAACAATTTTTTTTATCTTAAAAACTGACATATTTAAATAAATTAATAAATCGATTTATTTTTAATAATTCTCAAATTTTAGTGTCTTTTCCATCATATAAATGATGAGGAATAGATTTATCTATTTAAAATGTTTATTTCCAATTTCATTCAGCATCTGAAATAAATAATTATTTAATAATTTAAATAAAAAATTGTGGCCCTTTTGACCCTCCATACAGTTTCCTATGGCTTAATATATAAAGCACTGACTAAAGATTTATAAAATCTGGTTGGTGGTTCCCTGACAAACCGGACCGAAGCCGATCGGGATTCATCAGGACGACCAGACCAAATATTTTGCACCATTTGAAATTTTTCTCCTTTTCCCTTCGAAGCGGGAAAATCCCAATAAATACGGTTTGGAACAACACAACATCCAAGGAGAAAACGGGGACAACAGGGTAACACTTCGTCTTTTTTTGTTTTTACACTTACATTCCTTTACAAATGTTTACAGTCCCTAAGAAGAATGAGAAACTGAGGTATTAACTCGGCCTGACGCAGGTCAGAGGTCAGGCGGGCGTCGCCTCTTTGAGTTCAGCTTTCGATCCGAGGCGACGTCGGTTCGCTCACGTTGACAGGCGGTATCAGGCAGCGGTTACTCTCAAAGAAACCGGAGAGCATCGCGTGTGTGTTGTGGTGGAAACCACAGAGCATGACATGGCATATTTTACACGTCAGGACAAACATGGCGGTTGGAGAGGCGTCCGATCGCTGGGTTACAGTCACTTTTCTTTTTCTTACTTTGTCGCTTTGTGTTAGGCGTGTGTGTGTGTGTGTGTGTTAGGCGTGTGTGTGGGTGTGTGTGTGTGTGTGTGTGTGTGTGTGTGTGTGTGTGTGTGGGTGTGTGTGTGTGTGTACTATTTCCTGTATCCACAGTGTAGGTGTCATGAAAAACCAAAAAAATGCAGAAAAATGTTGTTGGATGAGCTGATGCTATCTGATGCTAACGGATCTCTGCTAGAGATGCACCGATTAATGTTTCCTTTGTCTGCCGATTTCCAATATTTTCCTTTTTTTTGTGGATTTTAAACTTAATCAATTATTATTTTTATTTTCTAAGAATTATAAAGTACAAAAATGAGAAAAATTTTTTCCCATAGGTTCTTTAATAGAAGAAGCAGAAATAAAAACTTATGTATTTTCCAGGCACCTGGCGGCCATTTTATAGCAACATCAAGTAACTATGTTCATAACTTCAGTTATAAAAATGTTAGAGATGTCAAATGTGACTTAAAAGACATTTGACTTCCTGATTCCATACATTGAAATTGGGCCTCTGTCTCTTTAAGAAGCTCTGCCTTCAGGAAGTCATCCCAACATGGCTCCTCCATCAATCCTTTAATGTTTTTGCCAGCGTTGCTCTGAGCAGTGGCTCCTATAATGAGCTCAGCAGCTGTTTGCTAATTGCTGCTGGCTAGTCTGAAGGAGCAGTGAGGGGGAGGAGCTACACCTTGAAGGCGGAGCTAGGTACATCCAGGAGTTTTGAACAGTTGAATGGTTGCCATGGAGATTAAAGGACTAATCAAAAATGCTTTGTTTTAGATGAAAACATTAAAACACAGAAAGATCAAAAATAAGTTTTAAAAGACAAATTATTATATAAATAGTGAAATTTATGCCATTTGGAAGCTTGATTTTTTAAGTTTAGGTGACTTTGTGCTGTTTTTGCGATAAAACTTAAAGTTTTACGGGACAATCTGATCAATCAGAGCAAATCAATGGAAAATCGTCCCGATTCCAATCTGATCGGTGCATCTCCAACCTTTTTGAAATAAATGAAAGTTTCACTCTGTCGTGTTTTTCAGTTTGAACTAAGAGCTGCAGCAGGAAAACCTGCCAGCTTTTACACGTCATGACGCGTCATGACGTTTCTGCCTTTCCTTCCAGAGGCACATGTGATGATGTCAGCATCTTCTGGTTTGAGGTCTTTGCATGAATGAAGCAAACGGAAAACAAACAGCAGGTTGATGCGGATGAGGTTTTCTACATATTCATATAAAAACGACAGAAAGCTCAGAGGAGCCTCTGGCTGTTGCTACTGTAATCCCTCTTTAATAAAAGAGAAACATTTCTTTGATTCGCAAAGTTTCAGTAAAAAAGGATCCGGTAACGCTTCGCCTGATGCGAGCGCAGCTCTGACTAAACGCCGTCAGAAACAACATGGAGTCGTGGTGCGAAATGTTTACGGCTGTTTTTACATGTCATTCAGTTAATAATGACACTTTTCATGAATTTTTAATTCAACTTTTGGTGCAACTTTGGACTAAAAGTGTCATAATTTACAGAATAATGCAAAGTTTGCTCTTTACATAAACTTTTAGTGCAACTCTTAAAGTGTCATCATTTTCTAAAGACTCCTCCATGTTGCTGTTTGTCTCTCGCTCGCCCTGCAGGTGAAGAGTTACCGATTATTCTGCCTGGATTGTTTTTTAGTTTGGTGGAACGGGGAGCAACGCGGAGCCGCCGTCATGGCGGCGGCGGGATCTGAACGCCCAGCAGCTCGTAGGCGAAGATGTTCCAGAAGATGGCGAAGAGGAGGAAGGTGATGAAGGAGAAGACGATGACCCACCAGGAGCATTGCTTCTGCAGACTCTCCTCGTAGCTGCGCAGGATGAGCAGCCCCATGCTGATGCCCACCACCGCGCCCGACAGGTGGGCCATGAAGCTGGGCTGCGGCCCCGACGACGGCACCGGCGGCGAGAAGCGCAGCCAGACGGCGCGGCCCACCTCCGAACTCACTGCAGGCGAAACCCAGAGATTAGTGGTGCTGCGGGCCAGACGCTGCAAAACACAAAATATCTGCCAGCAGTTTAATCTGGTTTACAGAGGAAACGTCTCAGCAACTGCAAACAAGAAAATCTTATTTAATATCGATAAGAAAAATGTTCAGGTGAAATAATCTGCCAGTTTATTTCTATCAAAGAAACGCAAACGAGCTCATATCAGCAACAACACAAGAATAAAGACAGAATATTACAAAATAGAATCATAACAGAATAAAGGTAAAAAAGGAATAGAAAAGTAATTTTAATAAGAAAAACCTTCAGTGGTTATTAAGCTCTGCTAACTTTCCCTGCTTCTTATAGAATCAACTTTATAGTTTAAAAGTCTCTAAACGTCCTGCTACTGATGATGATGGAGGTTTAGATGAATTACGTTATTTTATTTGCAGAAGCGCAAAACAGACTCGATGTTCCTCCTTTTACTTTTAGAAATTATTTTCATAAAATTCCAAATTAATTCTGCTAATATATTCTGCTTATATTCTTATTACCACTTTATTGTGGTCAAATAACTTTATTTACAAAGGTTCACAGCTGTGAACCTTTTTTTCTTGGAATTTTACAATGTTTTTGTACTTTTATTAGATTTTTGTTCTGCTGATATTTTGTCTATTTGCATAATTTCATAATTTTCCTGGATCAAAGACATTTATGAGAAGATCAAAGGATTTCATTTGTTTATTGGAACAAATTTTCTTCTTCTATTCCAGGTTTTTAAGAACTGAAAACCATTTTTTACAGTGAATTTACAGTTCGGTCTGATGCTCGTGTTTCACCAGACAGAGAAACTGATTCAGTTTCAGACTGTTTTCTGCGACCCGTCTGTTTGTTCCAGTTGGGCTCGCAGGCGGCCGGACAGATGGAGGGAACATATTGCTGAGCAGCGCTAACCGTTAGCCGCTAGCCGCCATCATTATCACATCCCTTCACATCGACGCTGCCTCATACTTTCTGGTTCAGGGAGTTTCAAGGTTCATTGAAGGAAAGTTTCTGCAATAAAATGTTTAGCACTGCTAGCTAAGTTAGCTATGCTAGCTAAGTTAGCTCCAGGAGCGAAGCAGCTTCATCAATTTGAATGGAAATCAGAAAGATGAAAATTTGCTAGAAAACTATTTTCTAGAAAGATTTTTAAGAAACTAGATTTTACAAGCTGAGATTTTTTTGTTTTCATTCTGAAAATTTCTAAGATTAATGTTAAAATTTCTCAGTTTTTCTAGAAGTTTTATGAGATTAATCTCAAAATATCCTTGTTTTTTTTTCATATCAACATTTCTCAGTTTTTCTGGCACATTTTTGATTTTTCAAACTTAGAATTTAATGTTTTTCTCTTAAATATAATAATAGTTTCTAGAAAATGTGCAGCCTTTAAATGTCCTTGTTTTTTTCTTAATTTTCCCTAAATTCTTATTTTCAGTTAAACTCTGAAGTCCTTTTCTTCTTGGCTGCTTTGTAAACTTCCAGCTGAATAAAGTTCAACGTCTGTTTTGAGGTTTTGGTCGTCGACTGTTAGAGATTTTATCGTGGATGTAGGAAACGTACTGCAGACCAGCGCCAGGATCATGCGGAGCAGTTTGTACGGACAGCGCATCCCGGCCCAGTTCTGCAACACAAAGCAGAAAAAAAACAACTCAGTGCAGAAACACGACAAAAACTAACAGATTAGAGCGTAAACATCTGAGAGGAGGAAGCAGTTGAAGCAGCGATTACTGGTTCCAGTAATTAGGATCAATGAGAGGAAAACAAGGGATGAATAACTGCAGCGACTCTTCGAGACGTCCAAAGCAGAGCAACTGCGACTGGCTGCACGGCCCTGAAGACGTCCTCAAGCAAAACGTAAAGAGAAACATTTGATTTAAAACGCAGATGAACCTGAACTGATTTATTGTCCAGTCTCTGAATAATATCATCTTCATTGTGCGACAGTTTATCGTCCAGTAAAATTTGTAATTGTGACACGAACAGACAGATTGACGGCTCTAAGGAGAGTTTATTTCATTAAATAAACTATTTTTAATCAAATAAACTCTTATTTAATCAAATAAAGTCTTTTAATTAAATAAACTTTCCTTTTCTGGCCTGGAGGCTCAATAACAAACCCAGTCCTTCGACGCTCCTTTCACCTAAAGTTATGAACTGATAAAAACGCCAAGATCTCTATTATCTGACGACCTTCTCACACTGATGACCTCACCGACATCGCTGCGATCTGATTGGCTGAAAAAACTCCAGAAACAGGATGTGGGTCGGTTGGCATTTCATCTCTGAAAAGTGGCTTTTCAGACCGAACAAAGCTGCTGCTGATGATGATGATGGTGATGATGATGGTGATGATGGTGATGGCTGTTACCATGACGACGTTGGCCAGATGTGCGGAGCAGAGAGCGTAGACGCCCCCGGATCCCCCGACCACCGGAGCACGCATGTCTGTGATGGACACCGTCAGCGAGCCTGAAGGACGGAGAGCAGAGGGAGAAACGAGGGAATCAGAAACGACAAGAGAGAGAGAAGAAGAGGAAGAGAGAGAGAGAGAGAGAGAGAGAAGAAGAGAGAGAGAGAGAGAGAGAGAGAGAGAGAGAGAGAAAGAGAGAGAGAGAAGAAGAGAGAGAAAGAGAGAGAGAGAGAGAGAAGAGAGAGAGAGAGAAGAAGAGGAAGAGAGAGAGACAGAGAGAGAAGAAGAGAGAGAAGAGAGAGAGAGAGAGAGAGAAGAAGAGAGAGAGAGAGAGAGACAAAGAGAGAGAGAGAGAAAGAGAGAGAGAGAGACAAAGAGACAGAGAGAGAAGAAGAGCTGCATTTTTCCGCGGCGAGGGACAAAAACAATAGCAGTCAGATAACGAGTCGAGTCACCTTCCTCCAAGTGTTTTCACTTTATCAGCTGATCTTCACATGCAGTTATAAACACACACACACACACACACACACACACACACACACACACAGCAGATAATCTGAGGAAACAGAAATTAAATGAAGGATTTTTCCAGCCAAACCAGACGAAGTGAAGAGATTAAAATCCCCTCAGATGGACGGAAACGTTTGTTCAGCTGATTTAGGAAACACAGATACAGAAGTACATTCAGCTCAAAGATGTACTGATGACGAGCAAAACGATGAAGAGCATTACACACTTTCATTTAAAATACAGAACTTACACAAGTTCAGGTTAAAACTACGACGGAGGATTTATGGTGGTAATAATGTTTCTTAATTAATACGAGTCACAAAAAGTTACATTTACTGTTCGGGCCGCAGCTCAGAGCTTCAGTGCAAAAAATGTCAGTTAAAACAGAAAAAAGCAACTAGAAACATTTAGTTTAACATCATAAATACGCCCAAATATCACAACATTTCTGGCAAATATCTCATAATCTGAGATTCTGATTGCAAAAAATGAAGTCTATGAATTCAGTATCATTACAGAGATAATGTTTGTCTTTGTAAATATATATTCCCTGCTTTGGATCTGAAGATGTATGAACGGCTGATTGTTGCTTATTGAAGAGGAAATAAACTCAGATTTGTTTCTTCTAAATATTCACTTTCATTCAAAACTTTTCTTCATGACAACATGCGACACGTTCGCCGTAAATAAATAAATCCTGGATCGGAGACACTGATCAGCGTGAAATTATTTACTAGTCAACCTCCAGGAGAATTCACCAAATGCAGATAAAACTAGGAACATTTTCACTGTTGATGGGATTTTATCAGCACATTCTGGAGCCGAAGCTGCAAAAACACAAAATCTCACCAAGTATTTTGGTTTCTAGTGAAAATATCTTGTTACAGCTGAAATAAGACAAAACTATCCTCAGTAGGATGTAGACGATTTGTTTTAAATAAATAACTCCTGAATATTGATGAAAAATATGAAACCAATGCAGATTATTTCACTTATCAATTAGAAAAATGTTTTGTTAGAAATTAAATAATCTGCCAGTAGAACTACAAACGGGTTGCTAGGCGACGGGCTGGTCCGGTTGCTAGGCGACGGTCTGGTCCGGTTGCTAGGCGACGGTCTGGTCCGGTTGCTAGGCGACGGGCTGGTCCGGTTGCTAGGCGACGGTCTGGTCCGGTTGCTAGGCGACGGTCTGGGCGTGGCAGATAAAGCGTCAGTGCAACTAAAACTTTTTCATCAATATTACAGAGTTTTTTTATCTCCATTTTCCTGCTGGAATGTAATTTGTAAGTCAGTTGGTCTGATTTCAAGTATTCTCAGGTATCTGAACTATAATCTAGAGAAAGATTCTTGCTCAGGCTTTGTGTTTTTGCAGTGTGCTCCTGCATCCCAGGCCGCCTGGAGGCTGCAGGGCAGCTTCATGTTTCCTCTTCAGCGCGGCAGCAGAGGATCTGTTGCCCTGCCTGCCAGCGCCTGCGGCTGGATCCCCAAGGCATCACTAAACGATCCAGGACAAATCAGCCGGATCCTGCCAACTGTCTGCTGACGACACTACAGCTGCAGCTGGATGCTTGGAGAACCATTCAAGCCTTTAGTTTCCGGTGCTGAATCGTGCATTTCATTATAATAAGTAGTGGAGCTGCAGGTTGAAACATTAAAACCTAATGAACTATTTGGTACAACATGCATTAAGGCTTTGGGAAAAGAAAGAAAAAAACTATTTTCTAGAAAAAACTTTGAAAAAGTCAAAACGTTTCAACTGTAAATGCATTTTTCACTGTATTAGCAGGAGCTAATGCTAGAATAATGTATCAATATGTACTTAACAGAAACTACAGCGCACTACAAACATGGTATTTAGTGGAGGCTAGCTAATGCTAACGTTAGCCTCCACATTAGCTCATGCTAAAGCACTAACAACATGGTAGTTAATGAGTGAAATTGCTAATGCGCTGTACGAACATGATATTTAGCAGAAGAAATATTTGTATGTACACATAAATAAAAACCTTTCATATTTTTCCTTTCAGTTATATTTACATTCTAAATGTCTTTATTGAGAATAAATCAGAACCAAATTCCTGCCAGCAGGTCAGTGGTCATAATGTTATGCCTGATTGGTCTGTTGTTCTGTCATTATTCTGTAATTCCTGGTGGGAGACATTAATATGCTAAGAGGTTTGTTACTCAGAGCCAATTCATCATTCAGAGCAGAACAAGGACAGAGACAGTTTATCTATTCAGGTGTTAACAGAAACAAACCCAAACAAAAAATCAAGTTACTCCCAGGAAAACGGATCATTTGCCTCGACTCTCATTCCACCAGGAGAAGAAACCTTCAGCTCAATGTCTCCCTCCAAGCTGCAGCTTCCTGTTGGCTCCAGCGCTGCATTAAATCAAGCGGCCTTGCGCTGGAGATGCGCTGCCGTCAGCACTTCTGCAGTCACAGCGCCGTCTCTGCTGGCTAATAAACCCAGGAAACGCCGGACCAGATTTATTTACTAAGCACAAATGAGAAGCGGAGGGAACCTGTTAGAGTGAGCTTATGAGGATCTGTGACACACTGTGAGAGCTAACGCTATCAGATCCTGCAGCTATCGCAGACAGAGACGCTTCCTGCATCACCATACGCTGCAAAACCTCTGCAAAGAGCTTTTATTGAAGCAATTCTACTCAAAAAGTCAAACTAATGCAGATTAATTAAACAGAGTGATTGTTTATGTACTTTAATGATTATTGCTGACTTCTTTTCTGATATATTTATTAATATTTAACACTTCGGATGGAGTAGCTTTTGAATAAATAAGTAATTTCAACCTGGGGATGAATAAATTAGATTTTATTCTATTTTAATAAACTAGTTCCTATAAAAGCACAAATTGAAAGGATTTTGAAAGTTGTGCATCTCAGTCAGTGGCTGCGTTTCTATTACAAATGTGAACAAAACTGTCAATATTCCATTAATGTTGAAAAAACTCGAACTAAATAAGTTTGTTGACCCGTTAAGTCATCCAAAACATGCCGCACCGTCATTCTCCTGCCACTTCCTGTTGTCGTCGTCTTTGTAATTTCTGCCAGTAGTAAAATCCTGTTGCTGATCATGTGACTCGTGTGATGTGAAAAAAAGTGTTTATGTTGCAGTTTTGTGAAAAACCATCAAATCTTTACAGGAAAACTTATCGAAAAACAAAAGTTTGTTTTAGTTTGTAGATTTTTATTAAGTAAATAAATTTAACAAGCTAAATACTCAGTTTTGAGCTAGAAATATTTTAGTTAGTTCTGAACTATGCTATTGCTTACAAATTAAATATCTCATTAGTAAGTTAAATACTTAGATCTGGTCCAGGCTTAGAATCTAAATTACTTAGCAAGCTAAATATTTAGTTAGTTCTGGTCAACCTAAATTTGAGTTAGTTCTAAGCTAAATATTAAACTTACAAACTAAATATTTAGTCAGTAAGCTAAATATGTTTATCTTAAACTCTGTTGGTTAACTAAATATTTAGGCACTAATTACTTAGCTTTACCAAATATTTAGTTTTATTCTAAACCATTTGGTTAGTAAAATATTTAGCTTCAAAGTTTGCTTGTTATGGAACTTTTTAATTTAACGCTGAATATTTAGGTGGCTAAATATTTGAGATGGCGACTTTTATGAATGAATGAATAATGTGGTGAAAAACATGAAAAACGAATCCACATTTTTTTCATCTGACTGGTTAAACTACTGCAGTTCATTTTTTACAGTGTAACTTCACAACCATCGCTTTAAACGAACTTACGTTTGTTTTTCCTCAGCCGACGCAGAAAAACTTGTTTTCTACTGATGATGTTAAATCCTCAAAAGAAATGAGAAACCAAGGGCAGCCATTCAGGGACTGCAGGTAAAACTGACTGATGAAAAATCATTTTGCAGCAACCAAATGAGATCCTGAGAAAAACAACTTTAACATGATGACAGAGCAGGAGATTTATGATGCCGAGGAAATCACATCAAAATAAACGACTAAAACTGGAGAAGAAATACAATCATTTAGCATTTAGAGCCAATTTTCATTGTGAATATTTAGAAATGTGTGTTTTATTGTGAATGTTGTCATGAGTTTGACCTGCTGCAGCGTTGAGCCAAACATTAGCAAACAATACACAGCGAAGCCATTTTCTCACCAACAGCAGATGAAATCAATTGACCTCCACTCAACATGCACTCTGCGCATTTTTCACACCGTCTCCATTCATGTAGCAGCAACATGAGCACAGGAGAGGAAATCTGAGGAGCTATTTAGAGACAAAATGAAGTATTTCAGTTCATCAAATCAACAAACTAAATAAAACCTGGAGACGAAGGTATTATCGATTTAGCACAGAGCAACAAAAGGGCAAAATAACAGAAAACTCTTAACTCAAAGCTTTAAAAAGTTATTCTTGTTTCTCACTGTCGGCTGCACTACACACAGACCTGTTGCCATAGCAACTGGCTGACAACAACTCCACTAGCGTATCAGGATTCAACACCAAAAACATTCAACCATTTCCACAGAGAACAGAACAT